TAAATATTAAATTTTCAAAATTGTAATTTATCCGGCTTTAAAAAATGTTGTATTTTATTCTTATTTTTAAATACATTTGAGTTTTGGTTACAAATGCGGACCATTATAAGAAACAAAAAACGAAAAATCAGTATTCGGCGCTCGCATGCGCATTGGCATTGTTAGAAAGTATTTCATATTAATATTTATTTTAATATATTTTGATGATTCATGATTTGACGTTAAGGTCCCCATGGTGATCGCCTGGTAAATTTCAAAAATATCGACTGATAGAATATGACTAGTTGTAAAACCAAAACAACAATATATATGTATGTATATATAATTTGCCACTGGACTTGTGGACACCATGCATCTTGGAAGTTGATATATGTCATTTTGCTTTGTTTCGGTCCCCCATGATCCCCCTTAAGTAATGTTCCTGGTACCTCGCCTCTTGCTTTCGAGGTAGCTCTACATCATCGTCCATCTATTCAAAATCACTGGGGCACTGGCGTTGCTGCTGCTTTGACACTGCGCTGCCACTCTTCAAACTGTCCCTCAGGCAGCGGCTGGTCCGAACGCTCACAAGCTGTTTGAATTTACCAAGCAAATACCAGCAGTACCGCGCAAGGCAGTGGCGGAAGTTTCAAAGATAGGAAACTATAGGAGAGGTGAATTGTTGTGATGCATGGACGGCAGAGCGAACACACTCATGGATCGAATGGCGGCTGAGGCTCTCTCTCTCTCTCTGTGTCAATCTCCCTCTGGCTAGCTATCTGTCTATCGTAATTGAGCGGCATCGAAAACCGGGTAACGATTTGGCTTTCGCGACGGCTGTCGCGGTTCTTTCGCGCGCACAGTTTTGGCTTTTGCAGCGACATGTGTTTCGCAATATCTTTCGCGGTGCACATGAATATTTAAATGCACTTCTACTATCTACCTGCTTTCGCCGCTGCTTTCGCGCCTGGAGGTTTTGCTTTTGCGCGGGTTTTCCCACACGAACCCGACAACTAAATCCATTCATGGAGGTTTTTGATGCTGCTCAATTGAAGTTGTACTTGTAGTGTAGTGTAGTTGAAGCCTAGTGTAATATAGTGTAGTGACAGTTGCAGTTGTAGTTGCAGTTGCAATAGCAGTTGTAGTGTAGGTGTAGGTGTAGTTGTAGTTTCAGCTGTAGGTGTAGGTGTAGTGTGGTGGAGTGTAGTGTGGTGTGTAGTAAAGTGTAGTGTGGATCCTCCTTCGAATTGGCGGGGAGGTGTCGCACCCGGCTTGTTGTAGTACAATTCCATGGGATTTTGAAAAACCCTACAACAAGAGTCGGTTTTTGGGAGTTTTGGCCCTTACAAAAAGCATAGGGTTTTAGCACCCTCATACGACTTCAAACACCCATACCATTTTACCAGTAGTACCGCACAAGGCGGTGGCGGAAGTTTCAAAAATAGGAAACCTATAGGAGAAATTGGTTGTGAATCAGGGATGGCAGAGCGAAGCCACTGATGGACTGAAAGGTGCTTGATCTCTCTCACTCTTTCTCTCTCTTTCTCTGGCTATCTACCTACCTACCCATCTATTTCTATGTATCTATCTATCTGTTGATCTAGCTATCTATCTCTCTCTTTCTCTCTTTCATCTCATTACCTATCTACCTATCTACCTATCGACCTATCTACCTATCTATCTATCTATCTATCTTTCTATCTATCTATCTATCTCTCTCTCTCTCTCTTTCATCTGTCTATCTGTCTAGCTGTCTAGCTGTCTACCTGTCTATCTATCTATCTATCTATCTATCTATCTGTCTGTCTGCAATGTAGTGTAATTGAGTGTCATTGAGTGCAGTGTAGTGTAGTGGAGTGTAGTTGTGGAGTTGCAGTTGTAGTTGTAGTCTAGTGGAGGGTAGTGTAGTGTAATGCAGTGAAGTGTAGTGGAAGATGGTGTAATGTAGTGCAGTGGTGTCTATCTATGTACCTGTCTATCCATCTATCTATCTATCTATCTATCTATCTATCTATCTATCTATCTATCTATCTATCTATCTATCTATCTATTGTTGTTGTAGTTGTAGTTGTTGTGGTTGGTGGTGTTGTTGTTGCTGTTGCTGTTGTCGTCGAAGTTAGGGTAGTTAAGTTAGTGAAGTTAGTTAATTTAGTCAAGTTAGTAAAGTTAATCAGTGTCTACTTTTTCGACATCTTCACGTCAAAAAAGGCTCAAAACCCTCAGTTTTTTACACTTTTGACTTCGAAATGTGCTTCGCGCCACAACGGCGTGCACTTTTTTGACACTTTTTCGACATCTGAACTCCAAAAGTGGTCCGAGACCGTTAGTTTTTAACACTTTTGACTTGGAAATGTGCTTCGCGCCACAACGGCGTGCACTTTTTCGACATCTCAACTTCCAAAAGTGGTCCGAACCTGGTGTGTTTTGTACATTTTGACTTGGAAATGTGCTTCGCGCCACAACGGCGTGCACTTTTTCAACATCTCAACTTCCAAAAGTGGTCCGGAGCTGAGGTGTTTTGTACATTTTGACTTGGAAATGTGCTTCGCGCCACAACGGCGTGCACTTTTTCGACATCTCAACTTCCAAAAGTGGTCCGGAGCTGAGGTGTTTTGCACATTTTGACTTGGAAATGTGCTTCGCGCCACAACGGCGTGCAATTTTTCATCGCTCCTGTGGCCAGCGGGCTCCGCACCCGCCGCTTTAGCGAGCCTACTTTTCGACCCTCCGGAGCCACAAATCATTGGAAAAACACAGTGTTTCGCGACTTTCCTACCTTTTCGCGCATCTGCATCTTCTTTCTTCCTGACTCTTTCTCTTCTGATCTTCTCTCTTCTAATCTTCCTCTTCTCTCTGCCTCTGCCCTACTCTGCTTTTCATCTGTCCATATTGTCGGAAGTTTGACTTCTAAACTTCCTTCGATAAGGTGACGACTTTCTTCATGATATGGAAGTTGTATATTTGTCGATGACCTTTTTCCAAGAAGTTTTGATTTTAGATGGCGTTTTCGGGCATCATTTTGTAAGGACACAACTTCTGGTTCCCTGTTTCTGGTTTTCCCGGACTCGTTGACTTTCAAGCAGCTTTTTTGTAAGGATTCCATTTTTTGCCACCTTTTGGTTTGTTTTATATTTTTTGTATTTTTGCTTCTTTGGCCTCATTGCCTACCAGAACTCCTTTCATGATGTGTCGCGTTTGTATTATCACATGAGTACCATTGGGATGTGGGCTGGGGCCTTTTCGGAAATAGCCAAAACAGCTATCAAATGATTGACGCGAATCAAAAACATGTACGAATCTGAACAATACTTTGTATCAATGCCTAAAAAGCATATATTCTTACAAAAAGGTTCTTCTACTCTTGACGACATCTCCTTACAAAATGTCATTGCACACCCTGCTGAGTTCTTTTTTGTTTTTTTTGATGTTCAATAACAGCATCTTGAGCTTACAAAAAGCCTCAGAAAGACAAACTCGATGGTCTTATAAAAATGACTTGGCGCCTCAAAACTCTTACAAAATGAACACTTGAAAATCCACAACTTTGCCTTTTGGGCCCTGTTACAAAAAGGCCTGGTTAGGGGTCTTTTTGTAACTACAAAATGACCCTATATAAACCATTGTAAGAGGGTCGACACCTTCCATTCTGTAAGGGAAATTCGATCGGGGATTAGTGTGGTGTGTAGTAAAGTGTAGCATAGTGTAGTGTAGCGTAGTGCCGTGTAGCGTAGTGTAGCGTGGCGTAGCGTAGGGTAGCATAGTGTAGTGTAGTGTAGCGTAGCTTCGCGCAACAACGGCGTGCACTTTTTGAACATCTCAACTTCCAAAAGTGGTCTCAACGTGGCGCGTTTCGCACATTGTTTACTTCGAAATGCGCTTCGCGCCACAGCGGTGTACACTTTTTTTGACATCTCAAGGTCCAAAAGTGGTGCGAACGCGGTGTGGTTTTCACATTTTGACTTCGAAATGTGCTTCGCACCACAACGGCATGCACTTTTTCAGCATCTCAGCTTTTAAAAGTGTTCCCACAAGGTGTGCTTCCCACATGTTCACTTCGAAATGTGCTTCGCGCCACAACACCGTGCTCTTTTTCGACATCGCAGCTTCCAAAAGTGGTCCCACAAGGGTGTGTTTTTGACACTTGACATCGAAACGTAAACTTTTTCAACGCCTCAACTTCCAGAAGTGCTGCGACAATGGTGTGCTTTCCACATGTTCACTTTGAAATGTGCTTCGCACCACAACGGCGTCTTTTTCGACATCTCGACTTCCAAAAGCGTTCCGGAGCTGAGGTGTTGTACATTTTGACTTCGACATGTGCTTCGCGCCGCAACGCCGGGCGCCTTTGCCACATTCCAACTTTCAGAAGCGCTCCGACAATGGTGTGATTTGCGCATTTTGACTTCGAAATGTGCTTCGCGCCACAACGGCGTGCAATTGTTGACCTTCCGGAGTCACAAATCGTTGGAAATTACAGTGGTTCGCGACTTTTCTACCTTTTCGCGCACCTGCATCTTCTTTCTTCTGACTCTTTCTCTTCTCTGATCTTCTTTCTTATTCCTTTCTCTTCTCTGACTCTTCCCACCTCTGCTTTTCCATCTGTCCATATAGTCGGAAGTTTGACTTCAAAACTTCCTTCGATAAGGAAAACATAGGAACCTAGAGTGAGATAAGTCAACTCAAGTACATCTCAAGAGCTATCACAGGCTAAAGCTGGCCTTTGCACTCGACCAGTTCCCAGCACCTTCAATTGACAGCCATCAGTGGGTCACAAAGCTAGTCCACCCAAAGATATCCAAAGATGCACAGAAGGAATAGAAGACATGCGTTACTTCACCACTACTTGCCAGGGAGCGCACGCAAGTATTGCTGCCAGCGCAAGAATTGCTCGGGGCTGTCAGGGTTAGAGCTTTCTCACGTTGACAAACAAGCTGTCCACATCCGTAGATTGCTTGCACCGTCTCACTTGATCCAGTCTCTCATTCAAGCTGCAAAAGAACAGGTCGGTTGGGCGTAAGAAGTGGACCAAATGCTAGCCTTGCAACCATCGGCTTCAGGTTTCTATCAGTTGCTGGTCTCCATTCGGGAATGTTTCTAACTACTGCAGTCTTTGCTTGTTTCCACATGTTTCCACGCTTCTGCCCGATTTGGTTTCCAACGGCTGCCAATTTGCAGGGATGCCAGCAGGTGGGCCGGTACCTTAAGCACAGGGTTACGACGGGTTACGGATGGACAAGGCGAATCTTCACCATGCTTGGCAGTGTCTGCAGAGTTGTGCAATGCTTCACATAAGCGCATGGCCATTGGTCAAGGCCAACGGCGCAGCACCTTGGTAGGATCTGATCGCGGCTTGACATGGCTTGCCTCCTCAATCATGCTATCACAGCACTGTGCCTTCGCCAGACTCCCGTTCTTCTGCATGTTTGCGAGGCCGGTTAACGCGGTCCTGGATCATCACTTTGAAAGCCTCTGTCCAAGAAAAATGAATTCGTTCTTTATTGCAGCACCTTGAGAGCGGCAGTGAAGGATAGGCTCTGCGGCTGAGGGTCCTGAGAGTGCTGGCGCTGGGAAGTGCTCATTCTGTCCCCAAGCTTACAGATCTTATAGTACCATGAATCCGTTCCTCTGTGTCAGCGTATATACTGAATCTGCATTCCGACATCATCCGACATCCACTCCTTCTGCGCCGCCAATGCAGCAGCTTTTGAAGCTTTGGTGACCTGCCAGGGCAGCAGTCAAGCGTGCTGATCCTTTTGAAACTACGCGCAAGTGGTGATAGCGGAGATTGGGAAGATATGGGGAAAGGCTCCTGATCGACTTGCCGGCGAATGTCCTCGTTGGCAATTAACTGGTGCACTAGCACCTGCACGGGAAGAGCGGCGTACTGCCTCAAACTTTGTCGACAAACAGACTAAAATAATCAAGAATATGTATACAAGAATGAAGATATCTCTTCACAAAAAGCTGCTGCGTAGAAGCTTCATCACCTAGACATCCTGGACTAGCCATGACTAGTCGTGACTAGATTGACTAGTCCATGATGTCTCCGTAGAGTCTACTTAAACCTGGATTGTGTGGAGTGGTGTGGCCTCTTTGCCACAGCCCGGGCAACTGCTCTCAACTCCAGAGTGTGCCAGCCGGTCAATGGCGCAATCGCTGCCTGAAGGCTGAGCAGGCTGGAAATGAGAATGATTGACATGGACATTATTTGGCTGTGAGATTTGAGTCATTTGAGTCATTTGAGTCATTTGAGTCATTTGAGTCATTTGAGTCATTTGAGTCATTTGAGTCTCATGCAAAATGTTGACCCACAGCAGGGCGCGAGCACGGCCTGAGCTGTGGAATTGCGAGGTCCCAAAATGGACCAAAGGATCCCAAAGCCAACACTTTTGGGCACAGCCGAAATACACAACCGATGACATGTGCATGACACGTGCATGACATGTGCATGAAATGTCGCCTGCCGAAAGAGCTGATGGCAGAGTGGGCATTTCAGCGATTCCTATCAGAGCCATGAATGCTTTCGTGGGGAAACTGCCGCTGACCTGACCACAATATTCCACAAACATGGTTTTCACAGGTTTTCACTTTTTACCCCTGGCATCACAAGTCATTTGCGTTCTCCCTGTAGCAGTGCTGTCCAAATCTTCACCATTCCCAAACCATCCAAATATAAAGTCTACCAGCCTCCACACGCCGGGCGCCCTTCGTGAATGCCGTGGTAACCTGCAGAAGCTTGTCAATCTGTGACGAAGCTGGAGTAAAAGCTGTGCAAAGCTGGCCCAAGCTGAGCAGAGCTAGATGTTTACAGAAAGCGTGGCATAGTTTGGCCTTCTCTTGCACGGTATCCCCAAGGATACGCTTCTTTTCTTCAGCAGATGCTTCATGGTCAAAGATGTAGTGACCCGTGCGCCTTGTCTGTGGTGCATCATGCCACATCATAGACATCATGGCCTATCTCTAGCGCTTCTGTTTCGTGCTGGGATAGCCTGAGGTCATGCACCCAGGAAGCGTGAGTGTGACACCCCCAGCACTCTTCTCTTGCGCTTCCTCTATAGAAACCTGGAACAGAACGAGTCAGCACCAAGTAGAGAAAGTATGTCTTCTTCTAGAGCTGCATGATGCTGCATGGTCAAGCCTTCTGAGATCCACACTTTTCGGAGGAATTGCCTTGGAATGCCTTTGGCTGGGCGAACCTAGGGCTTTTCAAGTCGACAATCGGCTGATATCAGATATATCTGCCATATCTGCTCGAAAATCCATTAGACGACCCGCGCCACATGACTTTGTATGTGATGAGGCGGGTATAATATGGTAATTATATATAATCTTGGTCACAATCTTGGTGAAGCCTTGAGAATCTGTCAGGCTGAGGTCACTGAGGTCTCAGCCTTGCGAAGATGCTCAGGGTCATCGTTGCTGGGACATTCCTTGGCGCTCAGCTCTCAGCTTGCCAGCTTTAAGACGCTGGCGGCTGATGATGCTGATGGCTGTGCCAAGATTCCCAGACCCAATGAGCACCTGTCAATCCACACCTGAAGCCATGCCATTGACAAATTATTGACGTTGGTGTCATTCTGGGTGTTACAAGTTGTCGACTTAATTCACATCACGCCGCTGAAGGCACATCTTGTGTTGCAGGCGCTGTGAAAAACACTAGGCACATCACCGCTGAAGCCACATCACGAGCATCGTTTTTTGCAATGATTCATTGCGGGCGCCAATGAATTCCGCAAATCATAGAGAGTGGCTGGAATCAAGGAAACATTGCGCGCGCGCGGGGTCAACATGCACTTTTTCCTTCGAAATCACCAGCGAAAATCAACAAAACAATGCGCCAACGCGCAGTCATAATACACTTTTGCTTTAGGGCCTTTGGGTTGCGACGCGGCGCCGGTCAGAGCCAGCAGCAGCAGAAGCAGCGGAAGCAGCAGGAGCAGCAGCAGCAGAAGCAGCACAAGCAGCACGAGCAGCACAAGCAGCACAAGCAAAACCAGCAGCACCAGAAGCACCAGCAGCACAAGCTGCACAAGCTGCACAAGCTGCACCAGCAGCAGCACAAGCAGCACAAGCAGCACAAGCAGCACAAGCAGCGCGAGCAGCACAAGCAGCGCGAGCAGCACGAGCAGGTTCGCTGCTGCTGCTGCTGCTGGTGCTGCTGCTTGTGCGTTGCTCTTTCTGCTGCTTGTGCTGCTTGTGCTGCTCGCAGCACCACTGCAACTGTAGCATAAGCAAAAAGAAACGCAGGCAGAACGAGGTCCAAACGAGGCCTAAACGAGGCTGAAAGGCATACCAACCCACCAAGGCCCTTTTGGGCCTGAAAACGAGGAGGGAAAATGAAAAGAAGCCCTGCACCCTGGACAGCATCTGGCGAAGCTTGCCACCGCAACAGCACCAGCAACGGCACTGTGACAGCAGCACCTCTCTGCCTATACTTGAAGTAATAACTTAACCTCAATAGCTTCGCTATCTGGGGAAAAAAACTACACGAGGAAAAAAGTCAACTATGGAACTATAGGTCAACCATGGAAAAAGCGAGCTGGCGTGCTGGTAAAACGGCAATCATGTATGATTTAGTACAAATATCAAATCACAAGATTTGAGTAAAACTGTATTTTGTGTGGCAGGCGCCAATCTAGATGCAATTTCAACAAGAAGATGCGACTTAAGTCAAGACCATGCCAGGACCCTAGTAGTCTGGGTGTTAGTCTGGGTGTTCTTGTGGATGTCATTACGAGTGCAATGCTTTCTTCAAGTCTCTTCCATGAGTTTGAGTGTTACCGGTACGTACTGTAGCACAACGCGGAGCTCATTCTGGCATCCAAGTTCAAGGGAGCCAATGTCAAAGCAGGATCAAATACTTCCCTTCGGGAGTTACCAAAAGCTGCCATGCTTTCAAATGGGTATGTCTCGAAATGGTGTGAACCCGTCAAAAGGCAATGTTCGTATTGAAAATATGGGAAAAGGACAAAAACCATTGGATTTAGTGGGACCTTATTCTCAAAGAAGATCCAAATGCTTCTGAGAGACCTATGGCAAAGGTATGTCTCCGGTGGAGGCTCTTGTGGTTCTTGCACAACCTGACATGCAGGTCTCCCATTTTATAGGAGTCCAGTCCCTTTTCCCGCGCGATCAACCTTCACAATGCTGATTCAGAGATTTCCCTTGTCCAGGAACAAGAAAAATATTTCGAAGGCTCAATAAAGAAGAAGATAATGTTACTATGTGTTACTTGTGCTCCCACAGGTTCAGAAGAACATGGACGGTTCACTGTACACACCGGTTTGACTTGTCTATTCTGTTGTGCTCTGGAAGAGGCTGTGGTTTGGCTGTGTGCTCGCTTGCAAGGACCAGGTCTTTGTCTTGAACAAAGAGCATTGATACAAGAGCAGACCGCCCAGCTGCATGATGGGCAAGAAAATGATGTCCAGACTAGAATTGACTAGAATGATAAAATCAATCAGCTATTCATCGCATCAGGGAAAACTTGTATGATTTGTATGGAATTAGCTACATTAGTCTCGCAATGCGTGTCCTTTGCCCCAATTTATCAAACTTGGCATTGTTCTTCAAGGCGAGCTCGCACTAGATGCGTGCAAAGAAGAACAACTAGCATCCTGTTGTTGTTACGATGGCGTATGGCACGACAAATGGACACATGGTACAGTGCTCTCTGCGGATTGAAGAGAACACGAGAGAGAATATATACTAAAACAATCTAAACCATACTAAACCCATGTAAACCCATGTAAACCTATGTGCTCTCTGGGGGTACTGTTTTTAAAGAGTTGTGGCACCTCTTCATCGGAGGCACCATCATAGCCAAACTGTCTCCGCTCACCTCAAGCGGTTGTCACACCTATAGTTACAGCATGTTGCAATAGCAAGGTCACAATATGTCACACTCAGTCGGATGTGTTGTGGCCAGCTGGGGTAGTGGACTGCTTGCCGCGGCATTGTAGGACCGATTGAAACCTGGGGCCAGCGAAAGGTCCACACGAATCATCACGAATCAAACATGTGCAACTCAGGCCCTGGGTGACCCTGGCGATGAGTTGGCCCAGATGAAGACAGGCCCAAGCCAGATACGTCGTGCCTAAGCGATGAAGCATTTTGTCGCGGAAGCTTTGCTGAAGACTCAGTATCATGGTGAAGACACCAGCCCGCTATTGGTTAGAAAGAATATGAAAGTTAAGAATACAACATCATCGGCAAAAATGTCCTTTCACAATCTTGCACTGGTTTTTTTTCGCCGACAACCAAGCAACTTCAGCTCAAGCATCTCACAGGAAGACATACCAAGATCAAGGATCCAGACTGCTGGACTACCCTGTCCATTGCCAAGTCATCGTCGTCATCCAACCCTCCAACTGTATCCAAAGCTAGGGAGCCTCGCGCGCCGAGCAAAACAAATCACGAAGGTGACGTAAGATATTTATATATATACCATTATTGTTGTATATTATATATATATCATTATTATTATCATTGTTCTTATTATAATCATTATTACTATTTTACGATTATTATTAGTAGTAGCAGTAGGAGTAGTAGTAGTAGCAGTAGCAGTAGCAGTAGCAGTAGCAGTAGCAGTAGGAGTAGTAGTAGTAGTAGTAGTAGTCCTAACAGTATCATTATTATTATTGTTATTGTTATTATTACTATTATTGATATTTATCATTATTATTGTTGTTATTATTACTATTAGTATTATTGTTACTATTATTTTTACTATTATGTATATTATACATATATTGATCTTTCAAAGCACACATTGCCTGAAAGCTGCCCTTCCGCTTTGGGTGTTCGGCGGACCAGCACCTCACGGAAGTTTCACACCAAAAATGCAGGTCAGAACATCCAAAATCTGTAGATTTATCATGAATCAAACAGTCATTCACAATCAAATTATGAATGAGCACAGTAAGCAGAGCTGCAGATCTTTACGGCTTGAGCTGCAGAGCCTGGACAAGACCGTCCTGGATCAAAAGCACCTTCCAGGAGTGTAGAGGTTGCAGAAGTTACATAGTCTCGCCAGTCTCGCTGAAGAAGACCGAGACAAAATTCGGCAAATGCAAAACAGGTTTTGAGGATTCTCCACATGGCAATCTTCCGTGTTTGCACATCTTTCCGCTGTTGTCATTGCGGTACCTTTGGATCCAAGGTGGTCCCTGTCGCATTGTCGTCAAGATGAAGGTCCTCAGCGTGCACACCCGGCCAAATACACCAAGCAGTACATACTTTGAATCGCGTAGGTCTCACGAATCGCATACAGTTAAGGAAAGGTAAGCAGAAGATGAAACATAATTGGAGTCCATGCTTCTCCTCTATCATCCACTATCAAGAGGCTTTGATCGGACCGTTGCATCATGGTCACATCTCTAGGCCATTGGCTGTTGTGGTATCGCTGATTCGTGCCTGGCACCATCAGGTCTCGTGAACTTGAGAAGCCTTGACCATTGACCAACTGAGAGGATGATCCATGGTATGAGCAATGGAACGGCCAGTGATTCAAACAACTTTTGTAGCTGTACTCCATTTTTTACACCTTCTTGGCTCAACTTGCAGCAAGCCAGGCCCCAGAACACAAGTCATAGTGTGTTACGCCTTTGTTTGGCCGGAATTTTCGGCACCGTTAGGACTTAAAATCTTCCATGTTCATACTTTTAGACTCAAAACCGTGCATTTTGAACAGTTTTGGACTGCTTTTGGAAACCCCTCGAAGGGGAAAACTCCCGAACGTCCCTTCTGAAATCCTACTAACTATAAAACTAATTATATACATTTATTCAATTTATTCCATGTTTTACACCTTCTTGGCTCAACTTGCAGCCAGCCAGGCCCCAGAACACAAGTCATAGTGTGCTACGCCTTTGTTTGGCCGGAATTTTCGGCACCGTTAGGACTTTAAATCTTCCATGTTCTTTTAGGCTCAAAACCCTGCATTTTGAACAGTTTTGGACTGCTTTTGGAAACCCCTCGAAGGGGAAAACTCCCGAACGTCCCTTCTGAAATCCTACTAACTATAAAACTAATTATATATACATTTATTCAATTTATTCCATTTTTTACACCTTCTTGGCTCAACTTGCAGCCAGCCAGGCCCCAGAACACAAGTCATAGTGTGTTACGCCTTTGTTTGGCCGGAATTTTCGGCACCGTTAGGACTTTAAATCTTCCATGTTCTTTTAGGCTCAAAACCCTGCATTTTGAACAGTTTTGGACTACTTTTGGCAACCCCTCGAAGGGGAAAACTCCCGAACGTCCCTTCTGAAATCCTACTAACTATAAAACTAATTATATACATTTATTCAATTTATCCCATTTTTTCAACCTTCTTGGCCCAACTTGCAGCCAGCCAGGCCCCAGAACACAAGTCATAGTGTGTTACGCCTTTGTTTGGCCGGAATTTTCGGCACCGTTAGGACTTTAAATCTTCCATGTTCTTTTAGGCTCAAAACCCTGCATTTTGAACAGTTTTGGACTGCTTTTGGAAACCCCTCGAAGGGGAAAACTCCCGAACGTCCCTTCTGAAATCCTACTAACTATAAAACTAATTATATACATTTATTCAATTTATTCCATTTTTTCCACCTTCTTGGCTCAACTTGCAGCCAGCCAGGCCCCAGAACACAAGTCAAAGTGTGTTACGCCTTTGTTTGGCCGGAATTTTCGGCACCGCTAGGACTCAGGACTTAAAATCTTCCATGTTCATACTCTTAGGCTCAAAACCCTGCATTTTGAACAGTTTTGGACTGCTTTTGGAAACCCCCCGAAGGGGAAAACTCCCGAACGTCCCTTCTGAAATCCTACTAACTATAAAACTAATTATATACATTTATTCAATTTATTCCATTTTTTACACCTTCTTGGCTCAACTTGCAGCCAGCCAGGCCCCAGAACACAAGTCATAGTGTGCTACGCCTTTGTTTGGCCGGAATTTTCGGCACCGTTAGGGCTTAAAATCTTACATGCTCATACTTTTAGGCTCAAAACCCTGCATTTTGAACAGTTTTGGACTACTTTTGGAAACCCCTCGAAGGGGAAAACTCCCGAACGTCCCTTCTGAAATCCTACTAACTAAAACTAATTATATACATTTATTCAATTTATTCCATTTTTTACACCTTCTTGGCTCAACTTGCAGCCAGGCAGGCCCCAGAACACAAGTCATAGTGTGCTACGCCTTTGTTTGGCCGGAATTTTCGGCACCGTTAGGACTTTAAATCTTCCATGTTCTTTTAGGCTCAAAACCCTGCATTTTGAACAGTTTTGGACTGCTTTTGGAAACCCCTCGAAGGGGAAAACTCCCGAACGTCCCTTCTGAAATCCTACTAACTCTAAAACTAATTATATACATTTATTCAATTTATTCCATTTTTTCCACCCTCTTGGCCCAACTTGCAGCCAGCCAGGCCCCAGAACACAAGTCATAGTGTGTTACGCCTTTGTTTGGCCGGAATTTTCGGCACCGTTAAGGCTTAAAATCTTCCATGTTCTTTTAGGCTCAAAACCCTGCATTTTGAACAGTTTTGGACTGCTTTTGGAAACCCCCCGAAGGGGAAAACTCCCGAACGTCCCTTCTGAAATCCTACTAACTATAAAAAAACATTTATTCAACTTATTCCATGTTTTCCACCTTCTTGGCCCAACTTGCAGCCAGCCAGGCCCCAGAACACAAGTCATAGTGTGTTACGCCTTTGTTTGGCCGAAATTTTCGGCACCGTTAGGGCTTAAAATCTTCCATTTTCATACTCTTAGGCTCAAAGACCTGCATTGTTGTCCAGGCCCAATGGGAGGATGATCTCCGGTGTCAGCTTGTTTTACAAAACATCACGCCTGCTCGTAGATGGCTGTTCGAACCCGCTGTAGAGTGCATGGCCTCAGAGTACCCTCAAGGCATCTCGTTGCACTAGCAGAACACCAGAACCTTCAAACCGTGGTCAACTGTTGTCAACATCTAGAACTACACGGTCACGGTGTTCTTGTGCAAGTGAACGGTACTTGTGGACACTTGTTGTGGACACTTGTTGTGGACACTTGCTGCAGAGCAACCACATTTGCTCTGAGATACAAGCATTTAAAACTAGTAAAACTCTTACCTCCGGTAAAAAATGAGTCAGCATGCGTACATTGTCTGGACTCAAAGATTGGACTAAACCATCTGGGTCACGTTTATGCAATTCAGGTCCAGGCGTAGTCACATTGAGCAAGCTGCGGAATGCCTGAAGTCTTGTACGTGCTACTCCCAACTTGCGCTGAAGCGTGGAGTTGCAGAGAACGCTTGAAATCTCCGTATTCACTGTGATTCACTGCGCCAAGAATCATATTGCAACCATATTTGTGCATGTATATCTATGCATGTGTATGTATATACCATATAATCCATATATATATACATACATATAATCATAATGTAAAATCTATTACGGCATATTATGAATATGTAACTTATTGTAACTTGTTCTTAGTATTTTGATCTTCTACCATTTCTCTTTCGGAGACGTGTCTTGGATTCTCAGATCTTTAGCGCCTTCTCTCCACGGAACTTGAACTGCACTGGCATAGCGACAGCTCCACTTCCAGCTGCTCATGGCCATTTGATCATGTTGCGATCGAAAGGAAGGGAAGCCATGCTTTAATATCTTTAATCAGTTTGAATCAAAATTGAATCAAAGAATCAACTTGATTCGGTTTTGCAAGAATTGCGTCGGATACACGCCAGCAGGTCACAAGCTTGATTCTATGTATTTCGTGAACATGGTGTGTACTTTTACTGTATATTGCCCTGATACCCCGCGAGTTTCTTGAGTGGACCTGACCTAGTTTCTATTGTACAATCTAATATGTGATATATATATATACATATTATATTTTATTATATTATAATATATATATATTATGTGTATATATATATATATTATATATATATTATGTATGTCTGGACTTTAGGAAAGCGCACAAAAGGCCGCGACAGATGACTCGAGAGCCCCAAGGGCCAAAGCTGTGCAAGTCCCTGGCATCTTGCAGCATAGTCACTACACAGCTCCCTTTGCCAGTCGGTCCCTCTGTCTCGACTGTGCACTAAACCTGTACAGCCATCTTGGAGATGGCAACACCGCAGCCACAGCCAATCAAAAAGATGCGACTGGCGCCGCTGCAAGGGCCAACGCTACGGATTGGCTGTTCGGCTGAACAAACAAGCTGCGTTTCTTGCAGCAAAGGACTGTCCGTGGGGGCGGAACCTCTCCAGGTATACTGAGGTGCCAAATGCTAGAAAATGGCACGAAAATATCAGAACGTTGTACTGCACTGAAATCAAAGTGGCAACTACAAATGAGCGCCACAGTGAGTTGTATTACAATATGAAAAGATTGGCTATGCGCTCTGAAGAAAACCATCTCGAGCGAAGCTTTTGCATCACATCTACTGTATTCCCATTCCTGACATCCAACGCAGAACTGAGGCAAGAGCGCATAGCAAAATGTTGGTCCGGTCTTGTGCAGACTCCGTTGCACAGCTTTCGAACCCAGGGATTAAGGGATCAGAACATATCAGAACTTATTATCTGATTGAACCAACTCCACTGAATCAACTGAACCACATGAATCATGGGCAGGGCCGGCAGAGTTCGCCATACCTCTGAGATTGGCCTTCTCTGCACTTTGGAGCACCTGTTCAGATCCACAACTGAGTAATTTCTGCATCACTGGTCCAGACAATCCCAGGAAAGGTGATGAAATGGGTATGACAGTGGTATGACGCTTTCCACATATACGAGTTCGGGCAAAGAAACAAGAGCCAGAAAGGACCAAGCCTCATTGTAGAGATGGCTCATATCGTGTGAAAATCCACAATCCCATTTGATCCTGGGCGAAAGCGCACTCACAAATTGATTATCGTTCAGTAATCGGAGCACAATCTTTTAGTAGTGAGGCAAATGCCAGGAGGTGCGAATGCGCGAAAGAGAGAGAGAGAGAGAGAGAGATCGAGCGGAGTGTGTGTGTATATATAAATGTGTATAAATATATATATATATTATTATATATTTACATACGTACACAAATATGTGATATAAAATGATATAAATAATATAATACGATATGAGATGATATTGGGGAATCGGGAGAAGTACTACAAGAAGATCAAGAAGAGGGACAAAGGAAAATGCGAATTTATGCAAAACTCGGTATAATATGGTATACAGTAATTCTGTGCAATCATTGATTTCATCTCAAGTTCTGGCGTTAGCCTGGGGAGTGAATTGTGTGCAGACTGTGCCGTCTTCGTGGCTTTCTCCCAAGGAGAGATAGGAGAGATAGGAGAGATACTGTAACGTGTTTTGTGTCAAAGGTAACCCTCAGGCGTCAACACAAAGACACGTTCAATCAAGATTACATATTCAGCTTACTTCAAGCATGTAGATGTCGCACATGCTCCGCAAAACTACGGAGGGAACATGACATTTTTTTCATGTTGCTACCTTGGAAAATGCATGGTATCATCTTTTCTGTAACTTGGCGCATCTGTGCAAGCAAGGCTCAATTTCAAGAATTCTAATTCACCTGCATTAAGCTCTTCTTGCCGCAAGCCACTGACTTTTGCATAAAACGTATTGCCTGGAAAGCGTCTCAGTAGTGTGACACAGTAGCTGCTCAAGCATCAGAAAGCACGCGCAAAGAAACTGAAAACCCCTGATTTGTACCTGGATTTTTGAGCTACGGGTATTTACAGGGTGCTTGCTTCATGGCGCAGCACCATGGTTCCATGGGATCTTCGCCAAATCACAACTCATGCTCGAGACAAATGCCAAGGATTGCCAAGGCACTATAGATCTGATCTTCATGAAACTTGACACTGACCACAAGGCTGATGGCCAACAGGCGATGGATAGAGAACGCATTCACAACCTGCATTTCTCCGAATGGAGGCAAGATAGGCAAGAAACAATGAGACATCAAAACAGATCAAGACAGGCTATCACTGATGCTGCCCTTGATTGAATTGAAGGACATTTCAAAAGCTACAAAGACCGTATTGTGTCTTCCTGGAGCTCGTATAATGTGCTTGCGTCGTTGCCTCCCTGTTTTTGGGTGTCGATGTGTGCAAAGAGAAGTGTGACTGCAAGTCTAGATAGTCTAGTGAGTAGGTTAGCGCGCTCGTGAGTGGTGGGGTATTGCTAGCCAGAGCAAGCAATTCATTCAGCCATAAGAATTGGGTGATGTGCTGGTGTATTTGCTAGGTGTGCGAGCATACTTAGACTCTAGATTTCTACAGAGCACAAATTCGCTATCGGTAAACAGTGGACTTCTGCCTAAGCGGAGGATGTGAGGTGAAACCGATAATTTTCTTGTTCGAGCCTGTCACTTTTCCAATGTCAGAACATGTTCATATATCCAGGCACGTCCATTTGCTGTGACAGCATATTGGTCTTTGCCAATTGAGACTGATATGTCAGTTCCTCAAAAACTTTCGCTGGGATCCGCTGAGTACCAACTCAATTGCTTCATTTCATGGCCTTCATATTATCATGGTGTTCCATTGGATGCGATAAAATAGCATGAAACAGACTGATATCTTTCACAACTTCACAAGTGTGTAAAGTCCGACCGGGCGCTGTGTTGCTCCATGTTCAGACCTAGAGATGGCACACGACCTAGCAATGGCCGAGGAACAAAATTTGGACAAAAGTCCAGAAGGCGAATGATGTAGATCAGTGCAAGAAGAAAGCAGGAGTCACTGCAACTGAAGTGTTCTCTCAAGCGCTCAAGGTATTCTTCGATGCCAATGCTGGGCTTTCGAAAACCTGCGTTCTGATGATGTTCTGTCTGCCCCTAGCAAGGACATGGTGGAATCTTCTCACAACAAGCAGTTCTATGCGTTGCCACAACTTTCAATACGGGGACAACACGGGGACAATGCAAACAACCTGAACTAAATCACCAAGGTGCCATGGAAGCAGCTGCTGCAACGGGAGCTGAGGTCAGGAATTGCCTCATTGGTCATGCATGAAAGTCCAAATGTCCAGAACACATCTTTCATCGTTTGAATCATTCGCATTCACTTGCACGCTTGCAATCAGCTTGCAATCGCCTTGCAATCGACTTGCAATCGACTTGCAATCGGCTTGCAATCGGCTTGCAATCATTACATGCACAGCTCTATGTGACAAGTGCTGGTAGGTACTACTAGCAGGTGCTAGTCCTGGTGCTTGGGGTGCTAGAGCTCAGGTGCGAAGGCAGCGGTTGCTAGAGTCAAGGGTTCCTGCTAAGCATTACTGTTATGCTCAATAGTTCTATATATATATATATACACAGTCAATTAGTAGACTACATTATACATACATCATTCATATCGGTATAACATTGATATTTCATGTTACATATACTTGTAGTAGAATATGTAGAATGTAGTAGATATCTATGTATGTATATGTTTGTACATATATATATATATATATATGATGTATAACATTCCAATATACGCAATATAAGTGGTCTTTTTCCCGGAATGCCCAGGCACAGGATCCATCACACCAGAGTAGACTTTGGCCAAAGCTGCCTGAGCGTCCACAACAAATTCTAAATTTCCACTGGATGGTGGTGTAACATTGTGTAATATGCTTCCTGGTAAACCAAATGTAACCAAATGTAACCAAATGTAACCACATGTAACCAAATGTAACCAAATAATTACTGTAACTCCTGCCAACTATCGGTCACTGGCCGCCAATTGTGTGATGCTCTTTGACATTCTTTGACTGTGTGTATGTGTGCGTTGACGCCCTCAAATGTATCTCAATGTCATTGTGTGTTGCTGTCTTGGTTTCGTAGCATTTTCTATGAGGCCCACATGGCTGCGGGATATTCGTCAAGTTTATAACCAAGAAACGACGAGCTTGCTTCCATCGATATCCGTCTTATCGCTGGTGTTTCTGTCGAGATCCTCGCGAGCAATTGATGTCAGGCGTTTGCATGCAAAAGACGTGACAACGACTGATCCTTGCAATACATTGCATCAACTGTCAGCGGGTAGGGTACCGGGCCTTGACCGCACTGCTGTTGCTAGCTGCTAGCTTGATGTCTTTCAGAACTGCTGCATGCCTTTCGGTGCTTGATGCTGACTGAGCATCTTAAGACTGTTTTTTAAATACGACATCATGCCGTGGCTTGTCAGCACCGGCCTTGCAGGACTTGATTCTGTATCGCTCCTGTCGCTTCTGGGCGAATCTGCCAGCTGGGACTCCGAAGTGTCCCGCCCTTGGACTGCATTCCAGTGGCAGTCAATGGCAATCAAGCTTCAGACGAATATGGGGGAACTCAATTGATGGAACAGGTTCTGAGATCATGTTCAGACATGTTCAGACTGAAAATTCATATAGAGGAACTCAGGCCGAAACAGGACAGGCTAATATGTTTGGGACAGCGTCAGACAGTTTAGGGGTAAACAAGCGACATCTCTAAGAGTGAAAGTGATGCTTGCTGATCTTGCTTCCCTCTTTACAATCTTTGTGACTTGGCAACTCAGTTGCTGGCGCAAGCAAGTGGGCTGCCTCTTAGTGCAAAGCCTTTTGGAATCAACATCATGTCAAGATTTAGGCGCTGAGTTCTTGTCATCTTGTTAAAATGCACTGAGCTGCGAGACTCACAAGATCTGCCATGTACCAGATACCAAGCATGTTGAGGTCTGGGAGTGTCATAATGAACTTCATTCCACTGCCTCCTTGGAGAGAGAGTGTTCCCCATCCTCGCGCATGAAACGCATTGAAAATGCTTCGATGGAGAAGCAAAGATGAACACTGAAGAATCCATTGAGAATCGATTTCCATCCATTTCCCTATTTTCCCTGGGCACCCTACTGTATTGGGATTGCGAGCTACGGCGCGCAGAAACTAAGCGCCCGCTCCGAAGGCTAATTTTGAGCCTCCCAAAACCGCGGTTGGCGTGGCCGTCCCTGCTTGGCCGCCCAACCACCAGGGATGAGGCTTGACCAGCTTGACCCTACTAGCGTAGTAGGATCCCAAAAAGGTCTTGATTCTGACTTAAGAACATCACTGGATGCAACCACCAAGGGAAGGATGATTAGTAATGATTAGGTATGCGACAACATCCTCAAAGGCAAAGGAGCAAGAGCTGAAACTCTGAAACTTTCTTGTGAGCATTGCCAATTTGTACACCCTGGTATATCAAGAAAGGCTTCGTGGAGAGCCTCAATGTCCTGATTTAAGCTTTGGCTTCACTCTTGACCTCTGTCTTTTTTGTCTATGCAGTAGGATTGCCTCGATCTTACGGCATTGTTTGGGTTTGGAGGGCTCACAACAGCAAGTACCCTTTTTACTTTTTCAAAATCTTCTGGGTGTGACAACAGTAGAAAAATACCCATGGATGGTCCGTGTTCCTTGAGGGTTGCGGCACTGGCAGAAGAAACACCTAACACTACAAAAAATAGCACGGTGAGTAGAGGCTTGGTTTCAAACAGCTGTCCGACTATCCGATTGCTCATTTCTCAAGTTTCAAGTTGAGAACAAGAGGCCTCCGTTGCAAATTTCTCCACTGGCGGAATTGGACAAATGACGCCATCTCTTCATACCAATTTGTCATAATTTGTCTGTACACAATCCCCAGATATACCTCAGCCTTCTGCTCATCTGCAGCAGTCCATCAATCAGCATTGAGTTTCGCTTTCTAGTTGTTTGGACAGTCAAGGTCCAGGCGCATTATCAGGAAGAGCATCTTGTTTGACTTTGCAAGAGCTCAATGAAAACGCCAGCAGGCCGAACATCTCGAGGTTTACCAAGGAATCTTTCTGGGTTGGCTATATGTTCAGCCACTATCTGTGATAGTGATGGTACTGCAACCTGACAAAATGTGTTAAACAAAAATTTGATGCGCCAATCTACTAACATTTGCAAGGTGGGCATGCATTCCAAGAATTTGAGATTGATTTGTGCCCACTACCAGTGAAGGATGCCTTGGCGCCATGAAGTGTTGCAGGCAATCACTTTAGATCGAACTGCACAAACTGCACACTACTTCTTGTCCTTCTCCTTTTTTTCCTTCTTCTCCTTCTCTTCTTTTTTCTTCTTCTTTTCCTTCTTTTCCTTTTTCTCCTTGACTTCCTCTTTGGGCGCTTCTTCGACGTGATTTGTCTCTGCTGCACTCGCGGCTGCACTCGCCGCTGCACTCGCATTCGCTCCACCCACACTTCCAGGAAGCTCTCCACCGCCCAACTGAAGTCTCCAGGTTCTAGGACTCATCAGCTGTTCTACACTGGACGCTGTCTGAAAGTTTTCCAGGCGCATGGCAACCAGGCACCCGGCTAGACTTGTTGGCTTTCCATCTGTCAGCTGCAGGTCTTGAGCTTCTATGAAAGCTTTCAACTCTTCATGTGGGATGCCATCATTGCTTTCTAGACAGGTTGCAATGAAGTCCAACTCATCTTGAGTGATGTCTCCAAAGCACACGTGGCTTCCGACCTGCAATTCATCTTCTTTGAGCAATCTGAATACCTCCGGCAATTCATCGATTTGCGTCTGGCCACTTCTCTTTTTCTTGTCAACCGTCTTCAAAGCCTTGAGAACAGGATTCGGTGGTCTTGTCCTCATGCTCAAGAGACACCTTCACAATGATGGAAGTTAGGTCATCTGGGTATTGGGAGCCTTTGTTTACTTCAGCTGCCAAGTCCTTTGCATGATATGCTACTGATTTGTTGATCAAGTTCGCAAGATGTCTACTACTGCAGCTTCACAAGCGGCTCTTTTTTGCTTTTCAGGGACGCCTTCATTGTCACCACTCTGCTGCTTTTCGTACTCTGCTAGGTCTCGATTGTACTTCGCTAGGGCAGCTTGATGTGTATCCCATTTTTTCCTGGCGGCATCATATTCCTTTGTCAAAGCAGCCTTCTGTTTCTCTGGAACCGCTGAGCCATCCTCGAGCATCGTAGGAATACCCTTGGCATCAAAGTCGCTGAATTTTCCCTCGTGCTTTCCACTTCGAAAGACTTCAGAGGGCTCAAGCCTCCGATAATTCAGAGGGCTCAATACACAGTACAGCTCAGAGTATCTTTGCTGACACGGTATCCACATAATTCATTATAATATATTTATATTAATTATAATTCTATGTACACTAAATGCAATCTTGCCCGCCCCAAAATCTTTCAATGCCATGGCCTTTTGGTTCCTTGGGTTTTTTTGTTTTTTTCATCTTTGCAGCTTTTTCTGCAACGTCAGGAAGCAAAGACAGGGGTAGAACGGGTAGAGCAGAGCGCAAATGGATGCTTTGCATGACAGACTCAACAGCAACTTCCAGAGCAAGAAATGAAGCTGGGCAGGCCGATTTTCACATCCCAAATAGAAGAATCATCGCAAAACGCCTAGTTGCGAGTGAAATCCAGACAATTCTGCAAAAGCTGGCGCCAAACAGTGTGTTTCCTTAGATCAGGACCATCAGTCTGTTCAGAGGATCTTGTACATCAAAGGATCCGAAGCACTTTGCCTGGAGTATTTCAGGCTCCATCAGGCTTCATATTTGGCTGTCATCCCTGACCCGTGTGTTGCATATTTGGCTGTCACTGTGCAGAGGCAGAGGTCGATCTTGGGCGACTGGAATCGCTGAATATACGTACTACGTACAAGACATTGCCATACATTGCCACTGCTTTCATTGCACTGCATGGCACTACACAATACATTGCATACTCTCCTGCTTACTATTATTGATCCCCATTCATTCCAACTGTTTCCCAGATTCTTCCCTTCAAGAGATTTCAGGAGATGTTAAGATATTTTAAGGGCCTGTTGTAGTCCAGGCTTTGGACAAAACAAGCAGCATCGTGGCGAGGCTCCTCCAAGCCTTGAACTTTTTGAGCATGTTCTTATCCTGCAAAGGTGTCTACAAAAATCGACGAACTGCCTTAAACAATCTTAAACAAACATGTTTATATGTAATGTATATATATATATATACATATTATACCATAATGAGACAAACTTCACTTCAGCATCTTTGCGAAACACTACCGAGCCACATGACCCGCCTGGCCAACCCTGGACTGAGATGGACGAAAAGAAATGCCACACTGGGTGATCTGGATGTGATGCCAGGAATATTGGGAAGAAATAGAGGCTCGTCCTTGTGAACTTTCGCATCTAGTCGGTCGGCGGAGATTTGCTGTAGCCTGAAGCTGCGAGGGTTGATGTGATTCGGCTATCTTCCCGGGCCGGTGCTCTCTCATGATTCCTGAAATATGAAAAGTTGGGGCACGGCATCAAAAGTCAAGACTAATAGCACAAACTCTGTACAAATGCGATACGTTAAATGTAAATATTATGTGTATATACCTATAATATATATATATATATTATTATAATAATACTAATATAATACTAATAATACTAGTAATAATAATAATAATATAATTGTATAGTCTAGATCTGCAATTTGAGACAACCTTACCCTCCAGCAATATTTTACCATATTTTACCAGTTTCATACCAGTTTAGCCGTTTCACTGGGTGGCGGACTCATCTGACCATATCGCTTTTGTTGGGTCCTCGGGCACCTCTTGGACAACCACCACCAATGGTGCCCTTAGGTGCCACTGAAACGAGAGCTGAGGGCTGGTGCAAAATGCTGTGGTAACCCATTGGTAACCGATTGGTATGTACGTGCCCAAAAATACCACTTCACCCTCGAGTTGTCTTGCAGGGAGATATGGGGGTCCCTAAGTTGTCTTGTGGCCTACAGCTCCTACAGCAAACATCAAATATCAATGCTGCCTCTACATGTTTCTGCACGTGTTCATAGAGCCAAGGCGTCAGGCTCCGTGAATTTTCGCTCCGCCAAAGCTGCATAGTCTTAGAGCTACCAGCTACGATCACTTCCACTTGCACTGAGAAACTGCGAATGGAGGATGCTCTGGACTTGGAACCAAACACTAATTTGACAAATTGATGATAGGAACAATATGGAACAACATGGCACAACATGGAACAACTACATGTAATTACTGTAAGAAGCAAGTTATGTTCTTATATGTTCTTATGGTGATGAAGTTTCGAAGGATTGCAGAAATCGAAAATCACCCCAAGTCTGTATGGCCTTGCCAGCACTTTGCAAGCAAGTGAAACTTGCCCGAGGCAAGCAGAAACTGGATGATAACTTGAGAAGGCATCAACACTGGATATCCATCCCTTAGATTTGTTCCCCAAGGAGTCTCGAAGGATTCATTCCCTGGATATCCGGAGTTGGTAAAAGAATGTCGATATCCGACATGGCACAGGCACTCTCACTTCAGCAGCAATGGCAAACACCACGACACTTGACAAGACAATGCGTGAGGGTGGTCATCATGGATGAATTGGGCCTGCTAGAGCGGCTTCCAAGACTGTCCGGCGAGTTCATGCTGGAGTTTCTCCCCGAGAGTTGCGAACGACTCTTGATGAGAGGAGATGGCACAGACATGGAGAGACCAAAGGAGTTCCGCGAACGTGGCGGAACTGCAGCGATGGCCTCTTTGAGCTTCTCTACGACCTTTGCGGAATGCCCGTCCTGTGCAGCTTTTAATGGAGTGAGCGTCCCATGGCCACTGACAGTCACACTCCTGGTTGGATCTGCGCCATGATTCAGGAGGAGTTCCACTACAGCAACATGGCCTTTCAGCGCAGCTCCACAAAGTGGCGAGCAGCCATTGGAATCTGTGGCTTCGACATCTGCTGAGGAGGTTAACAGCAATTTCGTCACAGCCTTGTCGCCTTGCCAAGCAGACACATGGATGGCCCGATCCCCCTCCTGTGGTAGGTTGGGATCAGCTCGAGCTTCCAAAAGTAAGGACACTACCCGGGCTTCTCCGGCGAAGGCAGCTTGTGTCAACGGCCACCGAGACTCCGAATCCGCCACGTTGGGGTCGGCCCTCTCTGAAAGGAGCTCCTTGACTCTGTTCGCATCCTCTGTGAAAGCAGCGTGCGCCAACTGAGCTGCTTTGTGACGCCGGATGGTTTCCTCCAAAATTTGCCTGTCTTGCCGCTGGGAGTTCTGGGACGGGAGCCCAGGCCCCCAATTGCTCATGCCTCCAGATGGCCGCATCACTCAAAGAGGACGAAGACCATAGGAGCCATGTTGCGCATCGGAAAGGACCCTGTGGGTTCAGCTTCCTTTTTTTTGACGGCTGGGCTGGATTGGCTGGGTTGACTTGCAAAAACTGAAGGGTGCACGGCATGGTTGTACAGTTATAATCACGTCAAGCGTGCTAGGTACGCTTTTCACTGGATAAGAACTTGGAGTACATATGGTTGCCATGTGAGGGCTAGTGGTGTTGTACATACATGTTACGTGCATGTTGCTGGTTGATTTTCTTGGTGGCCTTTGCAAAGCCTAGGGAAAAGAATATGCCTTGAGGGCGCTCAATGGCTGAGGAATGAAATCGCTATGTTGGATATGCAGGAGCCTTGAAGAAAAAAAAATCGTGGTTTGTTTCGACATGTTGGGGTTCTACTACTCTAACTGAGCCAGCGTCTAGACACGACGGGTTTTCGGCATCTTGCCAAAGATGGCTTAGAAGGTGTGAAGATGAGAAGATGCGAAGATGAGAAGATGTGAAGATGAGAAGATGTGAAGTGAGAAGATGTGAAGATGAGAAGATGTGAAGATGAGAAGGTGTGAATATGAGAAGATGTGAAGATGAGAAGGTGTGAAGATGAGAAGATGTGAAGATGAGAAGGTGTGAAGATGAGAAGATGTGAAGATGAGAAGGTGTGAAGATAAGAAGATGTGAAGATGAGAAGGTGTGAAGTTGAGAAGGTGTGAAGATGAGAAGATGTGAAGATGAGAAGGTGTGAAGATGAGAAGATGTGAAGATGAGAAGGTGTGAAGATGAGAAGATGTGAAGATGAGAAGGTGTGAAGTTGAGAAGGTGTGAAGATGAGAAGATGTGAAGATGAGAAGGTGTGAAGATGAGAAGGTGTGAAGATGAGAAGATGAGATACAGACCCCACTATTGGAAGAACCCTGCGCTCAGACGCTCTCGGGAATGAACCAAAAATACAAGAACTGAAAAACAGGAGAATGAAAACACAAACGATGCGATCTGCAGGTCCCTTGGACATTGTGACATCTTGGACCTTCTAAGCTTTGCAATGGAAAGCTTGGATCCACACCAGCCACAGGCGGCCCACTGAGGTGCAGGATGATCCTTCGTGCACCACAAAAAACAGGACGTTTGGCCAAGAAGTTTGCCCATTGCACGCGCACTTCAAGGAACTTCAAGACACATTACACATCATTACACTGCCTTTTGGACAATCTCTTAATTGTTTGATCTCGGTTCATGAAACAGTCAGTGCTATCCTGCACGGGAGCTGCAGTTGCATGATTTCTGGTCTTTTCGGTCAATCTTAAATCTGCGAAGGCAGCAACACCAGTGGAGGCTGTAGAAAATGAAGAGGAGCCCGATCTTGCGCAATCATAATGTCTGATTCCAGCAACTTCGCGATCAAAGTGCGCCAGATTACGATTGCAACAAGCATCAACAAGCATCAACAAGCTGCAAATGTCTGAGGTGATTCTGTGCGCACTTTTTGCTTTCCTGGTGAGTCATCCACAGGTCATCTGATTCTTTTTGATCAGGTCTGCGCAACCGACGCAACGTGATGGAGGTACGCTCACCTAAGGGGAGTTCTTCATCTGCGTACCTCAAGGGGTGCTTGACAAGACTGAAGATGATTGAAGCCTCACTGCATGGGCACAAGCAGCAACATGTTCTCACTGGTAGACATCCTTGCTTTCGTAGACCTTTTCGCGCACTTTGATATTCTTTCTTCTAACTCTTTCTCTTTTGCTGATCGTATTTCTTCTGACTCTCTCTTCTCTGACTCTTCCCACCTCTGCTGTTTCATCCGTCCATTTTGCTGGAAGTTTGACTTCTAGACTTCCTTCGATTAGTTAGTGCTACAGGAACAACATCACATCTGGGAAATGCAAACCCTGGTGCCTGTGGGGGCCTTGCTTGATTCCGTGTTTCCACTTCCATCGAACATGGCCCGAGAATACGTAGACAGATCCCTCCTTTCATCGGGCCACCAAGGGGGGGAGACTAGAACCTATCGAATCGATACTTTTTTTTTGTGATCCAAACAGATTGAGTGCTGCATTCACTCAGTCCTCCAGTAGCACGTGCTTTGCGTGACTCCGGGTGGGATCCTTGAAGAACAGATTAAGTTAGATGAAACTTTGCTCACAGCACGACTCTAGCTGAACAATATGGTTCAATTGGACTGAAATGGATGAAACTGGTGCCATACAGTGATATCGGAACATATCGGAACCATAAATTGCAGCACGCAGCTGACGCAGCTTCATCGTGTTCTTGGGTATCTAGAGGCTCCAGGTCCATGACCTGAGATGCTGTCAATATCTGTCAGCGGCTGTCACCGGGATTCCACTGAGACAAACGCAACGGCTGCACCCAAGCTGAAGCCAACTATGATATCCTCAGTTCAGGCAATGAATGGCTCAGGGAAGCTAGGGGTCAATCAATACTTTTCTGGATTTGTGTGGCACAAAAATGTGGTGCCAAAGTCCAAGCATCATCGAAGTTGGCTCGATCCACGTGCATCCGAATGCCCTCACACCCTGGGCCCGGTGCCGAAATACCCGTGGGGCACCGAGGCAAAATAGCCGTGAAGACCTGCCTTCTGGATAGAAATTCACAATCGCCTGGTCAAAGGAATAACGTGCAGGTAAAACTCCTTAGGTGCCACGTGCTGTCGCCATATGCAGATCAACATCAACATAACGAGACATGCAAAGTCGTGGGATGTAATCACATTGCACGCAACTGCGCAAAGGGAATTCGAAGTATCCAGGCAAAAGCTGGTGATGTCCTTCACTGTCTAAGACAAGACACCAAGGTGACGCAAGCGATGCAAAGCGGGCAAACAAGTTTCGGGAATGCTGGCAATCTGAGCGCCATTTTGCCTGGCGCGGACTACCAAGACCAAGAGTTGAGTCGATAAAGAAACTGGTCCAATCAAGAGTCTAGTCACTAGTCTTAAAGCCTGGTTGCATCTTTCATCTTTTTGCCTGGACTCTCTGTGACCTTTGCCATGGAAACTTTGCTCTACGTGCATATTTCATGCTCCGCTGCATCAGTAAACTCTGCCAGATTGACCAGCTATGTGTGCGTGGAAAGCCATGCCAGTGAACCTCACTGCATTACCAATCTGGAAGAACTGACTCAAAGAATCGCTTTGGAAAAAAAGGGAGCGCACGCGGCGCACGCCGTTTAAGCCCATTGTGAATGGGGTTCAAAAATATTGAAAGGACTCTTCTGCAAATAGGATGCTTCCATCATGTCTCAATGCTTCGATAGTCTTCGATTCTTCGATGCTGGATGCTTTAAAGGCACCCCCGGAGTCGCAGCAAGTGGACGGCCAGTGGAGAGCGTCTCATCCTTTGGGCCTGCAGCCGCAGCATCCTTCAACGCTTGGACCTCACAAGTAGAAGCGGAAAGGCTTCACTCGGTTTGACTCAGCTTGACTCGGCTTGAACCTTCAAGGCTTTTTTCGGGCTCTGTGTGTGACTTTGATGCAGTGCGATGGCAAACAAGAAAACTGCGGAAACATGATCTGCAAAAGCGGTGACTTTTCAGTGGTTTAATCTCCGAGGTTATATAGGGCAAAAGGAAAAAGATGCTGTTGAACTTTCTCCGCAAATAAACGAAAATGATTTTGAAACATGTTCGAAGCGAAGTGGCCTCCTCCGGCTCTAAGAAGTTGGGCAAGTGCGTAAAGCCTTCCTGCAGAACACGCACGCTGCACACTCTGCAGCTGCTGCCAAAGAACTCCAGGCTAATCTTTCCAAGTCTTTCCGCTTGTCACATGTCGTAACGTCGTGGTATTCTGAATGCAGGCTCAGCATCCACTAGAGACAAGGAAGGCGATGGCTCAAATTTTTGGAAGTCTGGTGTGGCCATGGCTTCGCCATCGCTTTTCCAATGTCTCCGGCACCGAACTGGTTAAAGCACATTCAGGCTCTTAAAGCCAAAAGGCTCCATTTTCCACAGAGTGTGAGTGAGCATAGGAAGAAGAGTCTGGTGTAGTAGTCTACCAATCCTCACCAATATGTTTGTGAGCGCCATTCAATGCAAACATGAAAGGTGCAAGCACCAACAGGCAAGGCGCACCCCCTGCGATTGGAACAGCATCAAATTCGAAAGCCATTGTTAACATCTCCACCCTGCCATGGCTCGCAAAGACTGGAAACATATATATATATGTGTGTGTGTGGCAGGGACCTTTCGGGTCTATTTCGTTCCTTTGCATACAAGCATATAATGCTATTCCTTTTCTTCTCCTTTCGTCGTTGAACTTGTTCCTAAGTAGACTAAACTAGACTAAACTAAACTAAACTGGACTAAACTAGACTCTACTAGACTCAACCAGACTAAACCAAGCTAAATTGCACTAAAGTAGACTACAGTAGCCTAAAGTAGATTGAAGTAGACTAAAGTGGGCTAAACTACACTAAAATACGCTAAAGTAGACTACCGTAGGCTAAAGTAGCCTAAAGTAGACTGATGTAGACTAAAGTGGCCTAAACTAGACTGAAGTAGACTAAAGTAGACCAAGGTAGACAAAGATAGGCTAAACTAGACTGAAATAGACTAAACTGCATTAAGCTGGACTGATATTTTTTTTGGTTAAACTAGACTAGTTATATAATGTTATATCTAAATGTTGATGCTTATGAAAATCTAACACTACATGACACTGAATTACACTAAATTAGAGAAAACTAGATTAAACCAAGCTAAACTAGGCTGAATTAAACTCAATGAGGCTAAACTTGACTAAACTGTATCTAGACTACACATGACTAAACTAGATTAAAACATATTAGATTGAACTAAATTTAGCCAAAGTGGAGTAAAGAGAACTAAAGTACATTAAACTCAGTCAAACTAGATTCAATTAGATTAAACTGGACCAAATTGGATTAATCTGTGCTAAAATGAATTAAATTATAGTAACAAACTAGACTAAACTACACGAAAGTAGACTCAAAAAAGACTAAAGTAGACTAAACTTAAGTAAACTAGTTGAATCTAATTTAGCCTACTTTACTCTCATATAGTTTAGTTCAATTTAATCTAGGATGGTCTGGTGTCATCAACTCCAATCTAGTTTAGTTTAGCCTAGTTTGGCCTAGTTTAGTCTACTTTATTTGGCATTTCTTCATATACCTTGTCTCATTTAGTCTAGTTTAGTGTAGTTTAGTGTTGCTTAGTCTTGTTTAGTTCAAGTTGGCGTGGGTCAGTTTTGTTTCGTCTGGTCTAGCCAAGCTTAGCCTAGTTTAGTCCAGCTTTGCCCAATTTAGTCTGGTCTAGTCTAATTTTGTTTAGTCTAGTTTAGCCGAAGTTAGTTTAGTCCAGTTTAGCATAGTTTAGTCTACTTTGCCTACTTTAGTCTAGTTTAGCACGCTCTAGTCTACTTCAGTCTACTTTAGGTTACTTTAGTCTTTAGCCTACTTGAGTCTAGTTCAGTCTATTTAGTCTACGTTAGTCTGCTTTAGTGTAGTTTAGCCTATGTTAGTTTTGTTTTGTTTAATTCAGCTTAGTTGAACTTAGTTCAGGTGTAGATTTAGATGCAGATGGTTTTGCTTAGTCTAGTTTAATCTGGTTTATTCTAGTTTGGTTCAGTTTAATCTAATCTAATCTAGTTTGGTCTAGTTTAGTCTAGTTTGGTCCAGTTTAATCTACTTTAGTCTACTTTAGCGCATTGTTTCCTCTAGTTTATCTAGTTTAATCAAGTTTAATCTAGTCTAGCTTAATCCAGTTTGGCCTAGTTTAGTCTAGTTTAATTCAATTTAATCTGGTCTAGCTTAGTCGATTTTAGTCTGGTTTAGTCTTGTTTAGTTTAATTTAGTTTGGTGTAGTTTTAGCCTAGTTGAATCTATCTTAGCCGAATTGAATCTAGTTTAGTCTAGTTTAACCTACTTCAGTCTAATTTACTCTAATATAATCTAATGGTTTTCTAATTCAATCTTTGTTATCTAAATATATAATCTAAGTTCGTCCAAAATCAATCCAATTTAGTTCAGCTGAACCGAACTTAGTCAAGTTTAGCTTGATTTCATCTAATTTAATCTACAGTAATAGAATGTAGTTTAGTTTAATTTGATCTACCTTAGTCCAGCTTAATCGATTTCAGTGTGGTTTAGTCTCGTTTAGCCCAGCTTAGCCTAGTTTTGTCTAGTTTAATGTGATTTTATTCAAATTGAGTCTAATTTAATCTTGTTTGTCTAGTTTAGATAAACTTAATCTAGACTAGTTTAGTCCAATTTATTCCATTTTAGTTTACTGTACGTAGTTTTCTTTAGTTTAGGTTAATTTAGTCTATTTTAGATATTTTAGTCTACTTGAATCTACTTTAGCCTACTTCAGAATATTTCAGTTTAGTTCAATCGTGTTTAGTTTATCTTGATCTAGTTTCATTTATTTCACTCAATTTAGTTTAATTTAGCTTAGTGTAGTTTAGTCTAGTTTAATCTAATTTAGTCAAGTGTAAGGTAATTTCACCTAGTTTAGCCTATTTTAATCTAGTTTAGTCTAGTTTTGCCTCTAGTTTAGTCTACTTTGGTGTAGCTTAGTGTAGTTTTGTCTAGTCTAGCTTAATCCAATTTACTCTAGCTTTATCCAGTTTAGTCTAGTTTAGCCTACTTTCCTCTACTTCAGTCTCCTTCAGTCTTTCTTAATCTATTTTAGTATACTTTACTGTAGTTTAGTCTAGTTTAGTCTTGTTTTGCAATCTATAGTTTAGTCTTGTTTTGTTTAGTTTCGTCCATTTCAGTCTACTGTAATGTCGTTTAGTCTAGTAGCCTAGTTTGGTCTAGCTTAGTTTAATCCAATCTACTTGGAACTATACTAGGCTAGTTTAGTCTATTTTCATGTGCTTTAATCTTCTTTCGTCTAGTTTTGCCTACTTTTGGCCTACTTCAGTCTACTTAAGTGTACTTTAATCGGATTTAGTCTATGAGTCCACTCTTGTCTAATTTAGTTTAGTTTAGGTTAATCATGTTTAAACTCAATTAAACTAAACTCAACTACTCTAAAGTAGGCTAAACTAGATGAAACTACGCGAAATAGTAAGCTAAACTAGACTACACTGACTACACTAGATTAACCCAAACTAAACTAAACTAGACCGAATCAGATTAAAATAGACTAACCTACTGTAGACCAAACTAGACACAACTAGACCAGACACAGACGACCATTTTGGCAACCGGTGCGAAGGGCTGCAACTCTCCCTGCAAATGCCCTTCTCCATAGCCAACGAGTTGAACCGCTTTGTGTGATGACTTGACTTCGGTTGTGTATCTACCAATGTGATGAATGGCCTTTTGTACACAAGCCAAAAGGGGGCCCTGGGTGGCGACAATGGATTTGTTCAGCTCAAAGTACAGGTTGACAAGAAACAAAACCTTTGCTTCTCAATTATCACAAGTGCTTTGCAACATGTGTGCTTTGTTTGAAAGGCTGTACAAAGGCTTCGAAATTCATAATCTCCACTGCCCAGCCCATTGGTTTCGGGCTAAATCATGCTAAATCAATGGCCATATGTCCGTCAGGTCCAGCACCGAGAGGTAATGCATCTGTCAAGACAGAACCCTGAATATCCCTGTGTTATGACCTCCGGCTGGAAAGCATCGCGCAAGATTCGCAAGATGAGCCCATAAAATGGATGGCTTCCTGCAGTCTTCTCCAAAGAAGTAGCGCTGTTTGTGTGATGAACATGATATACTGAATACTACACAAGCATTGGTCCTCCGCATCAGCAAGCGTTTCTATGCCTCAAATACTTCTGAAGTTCTTCCAAAAGTCAAATTTGATCATCAGCCAGGGGCGGCTCGACACACAATCCACAATTACAAGCCGGATTCTCCACCTTGAGCTCTGCGCGCCCGTGGCAAACCACGGGATCTTGAGTCAAATCTATTGAATCAACAAGGGATTAATTACTGTGAAAACAGCATGAAACAGGTCAGAGAGGTGACCACCTTCGCGTCTGGATGCAACTCTTTCAATCAAGACTTCACAGTGGCATAGTGCAACACTTTCAAATGACCTGTCTGGAGTCTAAGCCTAAGCACTACATGCCGACAAATTCAGCTAGTTCCTCCTTCACCGAAGGGTCACACAAGCAGCCCAAACTGGACATAAACCTTCCTCCCGCATTGTGTTCAAACGCACAACTTTGACTTCGATTCTGCATCTCTCGTGAACATCTTCATGTTTCCTGAATGTCTAAACGGTTCTTCTCCCTGTGTGCAAAGAGCTACCCGAATCTCATTATCTCATAATTAATGGTGATGTTTCCTCCCTTGTGTATGCTTGATTCCTTGTAGATGTCTGTGTAGTTCAATGTATACAAGTGTTGCTTTCTTGTGTGTCAGTGTGTGCGTGAGTGTGTGTGCGTGTGTGTTATGTGCGAAAAGCTCTGCTGCCATGCATGCTTTGTTGAGATATTCCAACAGAAGCTTTCTGACGTCTTTGCATGCTTTGTCCATCTGTCCCCTGGGAAGCTTCATACTAAGAACGATGCAGCGGGATAGCTCACTGCTATCTGCTTGCTGCTTGCATGCACACGTGGAAACACCTCGCAGAAACTTTTGCAAGCTTTTCCCACTTCCGCAAGGAGCATCTAGGAATGGAATGGTGTCAATTTTAGGCTCAGGCGCACCAAATCATCCTGACCGGCTCTTCACTTCGTGGAGAGGTTGGCTTTAATGGCAGCGAACATACAATCTGCAAAATTCCGCAAGTCCCAAGAGCTGCATTTTGAAGCAGAACACAGTTCCTTCACAGCTACTGTGCAACTTTGCAGTTCTCACTTCCAGCCGTCTGAATGCTGGCACTGTCGGAACAGATCTTTTGGGCTCTACCAAAGAATGCAGCGCTTGTGGATGCTTCAAGGCACATTTGCTCAGCAGGCACTGTGTGCTACACGGTCCCACATATTGAGATTCAACTCAGAGTTTCTATCTGAGTCAGCGCAAAGTCAAAGACTTGCGGCTAGTGTACAAAGGTCGTAAGGTGGCTGCAGGCTACGAGCAGCTAGGACGAAGTATGCGTTGGCGTTGCGGAAGACCTGTGGCTGCTCAACTGTCGAGTGCACGGCCAAAGCAAAGCACAAGGCAAAGCCAAGGCAAAATAAGGCAGGCTCCGGGTTGATGCACGCTCACCGAAGGGACTAGCCTGGGTCAACACAGATCACTCAACTTCACCCTGGACATTGGCTCGGCACTGTGCCGATGAAAAGGACCGAGAAATATCGAGAACATTGTTTTGCAGCAGGATCCTGCGCATTAAGGACAGCTGAGGCAAAAGCCTTTGTGCTCGCAACTGACATCAATTCACCCTCCTCTTCCTTGCAAACATAAAAAATACAACTTGCTGCAGCAATGGCATTAAATTTAGGGTTGATGCGTATTGAAGCTACACTTCGAAGCTATGCAAGAAAGTGATGTGGTCCTGGCCTCCACACTTGTCCTGGCAGCCTGCCAGTCTTGCATCACACTGCGCTCGGCCCATTGCATATTCGATGCATCTTTGCATCTGGTCCGTGCAAAACTTGTGTAGCTGAGCCTGCGCGTGTCTGACAGATTGCTTCAAAAGGGCCTGAGCAGGGCGCTCCACTGATGAAACTCCTTTGACTTCAAAGCAGCAAAGCGGAGGCTAAGGAAACAGCAAGGGTATCCACATGACCATGCAAACTGGCATAGTATGCTGGACATCTGCCCATCTCGTCCTGAAAAATGGTCATTGGAGTCAGAGCAGCAATGGCGGGGAAGAGTCTCATGCTTTTGCTTTGTGCGATGGCAACGGTCTTGGTCACGTTCAAATCAACAGTCTGGTCAGTCTGGTGGTACTATCACTGGTATAGCTGGTACCTGCTCTGCGGGACAGTTCTTAAGAAGCAGTTAAGCATTTCTCGCGTTTGCGGAATGATCCCTCATTGAATACAGCAATTGTTGCTAGTTGCAGAGCAGCACATGCCAAGTAAAAGGCTCCCCTTGATGTAAAGGGGCAACTGTGCCGGTCGTTTCTGCTGAATTGGCAGGAAGGCCTTATTGTTGTACTGACCTAGAAATCGCAGAAGACATGTGCTTTTGCAATATTTCAATAAGCTGGCTTCGTCCATTAATGGAACCAGCAAAGCCCCGCTTGAAACTTGTTGTGATTTTGGTGGTTTGTGTGTGTGTGCCCTTTGTTTCTCAGTTCGCATTGAATTGATGAATCCTCAGTCGAACATGGCGCAAGGCTTTCAGGCCCAACGATTGGCTGGAAGTTTAGGGCGTTCTTTACATCTCTTTGCTGTGCTGGAATAAGGATTGGGACGATGCTTACTCTGCAAATGAGTGAAATCCTGCTGTCCTTCCTCCCTCAAGCCTCTTGAGGAATAAATGCGTTCCAAACATGCCAATATCATCCATAAACAACCAACAACAAGAACAAGAACAAGAAGAAGAACAAGAAGAAGAAGCTTGAGATGACACGTACCATTGTCTTCTGTGGTTCATGATGTTCATGTTTTGCACTGACTCGCTGCGCTGCAAACTTGTCTCTGCTTCGACAAAATGGTGCCCGTTCCACGGTCGGCCGACGAACATCGCTCCTGGTGATCAGCATCAGCTCGACACTGCAGCCTGGGTGTTTTGTCAAACTTGCGCTCTCAGCTTGTGCATCTTTTGCACTGAATCTTTTGAATGCTATAGCTGCTATAGCTGCTATGGTTGGGTGCTCAGTGAATCCTGGATAGCATCCAAGACACATCACCGTGAAACTGAGGAAGAAACAAAAGCTGGCAGATCTCCGTTCGACCCTCTGCTGCTGCCCAGTGCAAAGCTGTCCAACAAGCTCCTAGAGCATGAACAAAATGGACAAATAGATACAAATAGATCTGGCGAGCTGAACATGATAGGAGCATACAGACTTTTTGCCTCCACCTGATGTTCGACACTGGGTTATCTTCCAACATACTCCAACTATTTGAGCGTCTTGGGATGTCTTGGGGGACTGGCTCGAACGACTCGATCCTGCATTTTCACCACCATGCAAGGCACTCCAGCCATGCTGGGCAACAATTGAAATTGCTGCCTCCAGGCGTCCGAACGGAGCTCAACTGAGCTCAACCAATTCCACAAAGCTTCACCATGTTTCACCATGTTTCAACCACATTCCCGCTTGAGAAAATATTCAGGCATACTAGCCATACTGAGGCTAGGACTCTATAGACTTGAGGGAGGTCTTCAAAGCCTTCAAGCTTTTGCAGAGATGTTTTGAAATGTGAAGAGCGTAGTCAAATTTGAGTTGACACCCATCGTGTGTATGTTTCACTCTGCGAAAGAGTGGATTTACATGGATTTACCATGTCCGTATTTTGCTGACATGTGTCACTTGCAACGTTTAACCTCATCTTGACCTTCTTTGAGGAACGGTATGGTACGGCAATGTGCCACTCAAAATACTCAAGTAAGGGTGCCATGTACTAGCAGAACTCAATAACATCCCCATAGTCCTATGCAAAGACGTCTCACTCGCAGCTCTTGAAAAAGGACACATCTGCAATCTTGCAGTTTTGCATGCTCTTGAAAGTCACTATGCAACACTGAAACCAAGGCCTTTTCTCCGGAACTGTCTTCTTGCTCTGGGAGGATCTCCTGTACATATTGTATATGAATGTATATGAACTGTCACTATCAACGGGGAGAGGAAACCTGCAGAAAAATCCAGGAACGCAGCTGCAGTGTAAAGCTTTGTAAGACTGGGTTGAACGAGCTGAAACTGGAATTGTCCTTCAACTCTGATCTTATATTAACACTGTGAAAGTCCCAAAAGAAGCAATCCATAGCAATCCGAGCTTCACATAGATTCACATGGATCAGTCTCCGAGTCACTCTCCATCACTCTCCATCACTCTCCTCGCCCAGCTTCCAGGCTTGACCCTTCCCATGCTGGATCTAGCATCGGCACACCTGAGCACTTTTAAAGTCAGGCTGCACAGCCTGAGACAGGTTGAGGTCTTCAAGGCCGCAACTTTCGACCTCTTTGTTGATGAAGGCTAGATATGCCTGGCATCTGGCAACATCTGGCAACATCTGGCAACATCTGGCAACATCTGGCAAAATGATGACACAACTTGTAAAACGTTTGTCTGGACCAATAACTTTCTCTTGCTTGCACCTGCATCAAGGACTGCTGCTGCTGCTCGTCCTCTCACAGTGGTGAGAAGCTCATGCAACACACAACCCGTACAAGTTCCTGACCCACCTGATTCATTCAGCTGACTTAGATTTCATCTGTACTGGAAAGACATTCAAAACTGCACAGAGTAACTTGTTTTCCACTTATCCTCTGTCCAAGCTTTGCTGCAGGTCTGACTGCACGCAGCGCTGGAAGGGGGCCTCAATGGATAACGCCATACGTCTTGTCAAACTCTTCAGTGTGTCTTTGATAAGTCAATTTGATCGTGGTCAAACTGTTGCAAGTCTCGTTTGGTGCCTTTTGCAATGCTTTTCATACGCCCGAACGTTTACTAAGTTTACTAAGGCTAAAGGGGCAATCCTTCTGAACATCCCATGTTGTCAGTCAAGACACTGCCATAGTGGGCCTTCGCCAACCAGCAGCTTGCTTGCACTATTTGGAGTATCCAGCCTCGGTGGTGAAAGCCTGGGCGCTGGTGCTTGGCTGGTGACTGGCTCCAGTGGCACTGTACTTGGCAGCACGGGAGGCACGGGTGCAGCTGGGCCCATGGAAGTTCCAGAAGCTTCTGTCCCGGGGAAAGTTTCTGTGTTCGCAGCCCTGGGCGGAGCAGTAGGCAGAGGCGGAGCAAGAGCTGCAGTAGTTGCAGCTGGTTCGTTTGCAAATGCCACGCGGTTTGCACCAAATGCTGCCCTTCGTGCTGTGCCATGAGCTGACTCAGGATTTGTCTCAACAGCAATCTTTGGCTGTTGGGTGAAACTCACTGCAGAATGGCCAGAGCGCCAAAGCGATGTACCTTCGGACATCCCCGAAACTATTTCTTGCATTTCTTCTGCCTGTCGCTTCAACTCCATATTTCTCCTCTCCACCTCCTTTTCCTCCTGGTCCAGTTGTCTGAGTTCGGCTTGCAAGAATTCCTCTCGCCGAGCACCCTGGGATAAAAGCACCTGTTCGACCCGCAGGGCAACATCGTGTCTGGATTGTTGCTCTTTCGCTTGCTTTTCGAGCTGAATTTGTGAAAGAAGTTCTTGTTCTCGCTCCTTTTCCTCTTTTTCCTTCTTTTCCTTTTCCTCTCTTTCTAGAAGATTCCGAACTTTGCAAAGTTCAAGCAGCTCCTCTTCTTGCATTCTTCGCATGGCCCCCTGCTCAGCCTTCACCGCTGAAATGGCCTGGTGCAGCTCTTCCAACGGCTTCCGCGCCTCCCGTACGGAAGGAGAAGCTGGAGCACTTGGAGCATTTGGAGCATTTGGAGCACACGGAGCCAGCCTTGAGTTGCCAACAGCTTCATCGGGCTCCGCCTGCTCCGCCGTCTCTGCGAGGCGAAGTTGTTCCAAGATCGAGCTTTGAACGTGCAAACGTTTGATGCGATCAACTAAGATGTCAGGCAGCTCCATCTTAAGTCGCTTGGCCAAGTCCAGGTCCTCTTTCAGCTGCCTGTAGTGATCTGCTCTGCTCTCCCTGTTAGGCGGGTCCATAGAACCGCTTGAAGCTGCCCGATCAGCAGTGGAATTTGAGGGAGTGGAAAGTCTCAAGGGCTGAGCATACTGACAACCTTGAAATTGCCAGCCCTGAAGAGCCGAGCTTACATGGGGTCCCACATGACTTTGACTTTGAGCATGACTTTGAGCAGTGCTTACCTTATTGACTGGGCTGACTGGGCTTTGCTTTGTTGGGTAGCAGCTCGGTTCAGTGTAAATGACAGGCTGACCACTGTTCAAGGCAGGAGTCGAACCGCTCCTAACTGTCAAGCTGGGGCTAACAACACAAAAAGGTGCTGAGGCATAGCTGTTGTTGAAAGCTTGGCTCGCTGGGCTTGAAACATGTTGGTTTGGGTGGTTGAATATGGTCTGATATGTTGGATGTGTTGGATGTGGCAAAGTTGATTGAGGGTCCACGGCATCCACGACATCCACGACTTGCGGGGGAGATTGACTCTGGACGCAGGAGGATGGTCGCTGAATCCGTGGCCGAGCTTGGATTTCATGAAGTCTCTGGAGCTGTGATTTGGTATGCAACCTACAGCGCTGGTCCAAAACACAGACTTGACATGACTTGACACCAAAAGACTCAATTACTAGCCAATTACTCTTCGAGTGATCTCCACTCTGAGAGATTGATGTGGAAGAGGCAAAATCTGACATGAAATGACATGAATTCTTGAAAAGCATCTGATGCTTGTATCAACTTGTATCTGACAGTCTGACATGTATTCTGGCACATTGTCTGACATATTTGAAGTCAGCGAGACTCACAGAGCTGGAGAGGAAGGAAGAAACGAAGAAAGGAAGGACAGCTGACAGCTGACGTGAAAATCAAGAGTACCTCACCTGGCACCTGGGAAACTGCAAAAGTCACGACAATGCAGACCACGCATGCTTCATAATGCTCTGTCCAAGCAGCAATGGAGACGCCATGCACTGCACTCCCTGCGCATTGGCTTACTTGAAGTGAGAGCAGGATCATCTGATAATCTGGATGAATCTGGATGAATCTGGATGGTGATTTGTAACAAGCAAATACTTGGACAGTTGCCTCAAACGAGATCACGGTGCAGCGGAACGTCCTGACAGAGAAGTCGAAGTGCGGGTGTGTTGGAAGTGTGCGCAGGGTCATTCATCATCTTTGTATTGAAGAAACATCAAAGCTGGTCCTTTGTCAATCATCCAAGTCCCAGCAGATACATCTCCCTTCCAGGCTTCCATTTCATCCGGACCCCGGCAAAAAGATTAACTCAGCAATCTTCAAGGTCTAAACTCTGATAAAGGTTTGCATGCGCCTTTAATACTATTATTGTATTGTATTGGTTGCAATGTGTTCAAGACTGTTGCTCCCTCGTGCAAAACAAAAGCCAAGGAGGTTTGCTTTGGAACCGGAATGAACCATGATCTTACACATGGTCTCAGACAATCTTTCATGCATCTGCTGAAGCAAGCAGCTGGAAGACAGTACTCAGCTTGGGAAATTTGTCAAGATAATTTTTTCAAATCATGCCATCTTAACCAGCAAAGTTCGGCTGAATGGAGCAATCGCATGTACAATATACAGCCACGACTCTTTGCTGCATGTGGGTATATGTGCATATCACTGCATATCATTGCCGTGCAAAGTGTCCGCTCTGCAGGCTGGGCTGTGCCAAATAACCTAAAGCTCACACCGAGCTGGTGAAACTCTGTGAAACCGCGCAAGTTTCACTCCTGAAACTACAATTCCTCCTGGAGCAGCTGTGTCGCACCCAAAAAGCTTGCAGAGTCTTGGAAAGCAGAGTTTGGTAAAGAGTACAAAGTCGTCCTTTGGAAAGCAACATCGATCGTAGTTGAAGACTCCATCCCAACCTTGGCATTTCGAAGACTATGCAAATCCATGCAATGTCGAGTGGTATCAATCTGAGAGCGGGACACTGGGAATTGCCACTAGGCCCAAACTTCGGATCACAACAGGTGTCGTAGTTGAAGCCTGTGACAGTGAGGACACTTGGGGCAGATGCAGAAAAGGTTTGAGAAATGTTGAACGCAAGGCAAAACCTGCAAATCGAATGCTCCACAAACTCGCCAAGCTGGCCGTCTATCCAGCAATCAAAGTTGCCCATGACAATCGCCTGCAAGAACTCTTGAAATGACAGCTTCCATGGATAGACGTGGCTCTACGTGGCTGTACCAATGAAGCTGCTTGAACATAAGTTGCCGTGATCAACACCAACACATCCAACACCACACCAAAGAAAATCTGGGCAGGCCATGACAGGCCATGACAGGCCAACTGCCTGCTGTCCTGGTGGATAGCAACTTCTGCTGCCACTGATCCAGCCTGTGATTGTGAAATTCGCAGACCAACGACACAATCAACACAGTAAGATGGAAAAAAGATGGAAAGAAGCAATATAGCAATCCTTCTCCAGGGAGAAGGCACATACTATAGTTACTACAGTACTTTATTCATGTTATGTGTTTTCCCAATTTTTCCCATGGTTTCGAAGAGTGATTGAATGCATTGAGAAATCCGATGAATTGGAAGCGATGAATTAACGGCCTTCTCCCGCTTCACGGCCATCATCTCCAAGCCTGAACCTTTTGTCAAATCATGTCACATCATGTCATGTCAAATATCTCAATCTCCAGTCAAATTAAGTCAGACTATAGTGCGAAAAACATAGCGTATAGGTTTGTAACTGGTTGTATACAAGAAAAACTTTGTTATACTTTGTTGACATTTGGGTTGTCTAACCTGTTCGTCATTCCAAGGCGGCTGCCAGCATTTTTGTTCGCCTTCTTCCTGACCCCAAACCCAAAACCTCGGAACGCTGGGCGAGGACAATGCCCAATCTTGTGTTGGCCGTGTCAGATGTTTTTTTTCGTCCATCATGATCTGAGTCGTTGTATGATCTATATGTACATGTTATATAAATTATATAAGTTATATAATATAGATGTAATTATTGCTGTATACTGTATATAACATACAGTGTGTAACATCAAACATCATTAAAAATATCATCATGCCTGTTCTGCAGGAGTTTGATTCTTTTTCACCTTTTTTCACCTGACCAAGTTTGTCTCACACAAAAAAACTTCACTGTTCGATCCCGATCCCCACGATGCAATCGTCTCATGCTAAGTTTCCGGCTCGCACTCCGGAAGAGACTGGCACACCTTCAGGAAGCAGCGTGGCAACAGCGTGGCAACAACGTGACAACAACGTGACAGCCCAAAGGCTGAAAAATCAGCGAGGATCTTGAGCAAATATGAGGAAATGATAGGAAATGCATACAGTGAGTACATGTGAGTGCTGTTGTTGGCACACTCTGCATGGTTGCAAATTGACATTCACATGTCTCTGTGAACTGTAAAGGTGTATGTGTGGCTTTCCCTGGCTGCTGTGAGAAACTTCGGCCTTTTCACCACCTTCGCAGTCTACAGTCAGGTTCCATTGTCCAATTGTCCATGCTAAACCTGCTATAGAAAAGCCCTGCTAGACCCTCTGGGAATTGGAGTCGCTGGCGGCCGGGGATTAAGACAAATCCCGACCAATCTCAGAGTCTGCCTTAGAAGGTCTACAGGAGGATTGGCCTGACCCTGCAATCCACTCCGAATAGGAAGGACTTGAAGTTTTGGCGGGACTACGGTCACGAAATGTTGGCTCTTGGAGTTTTGGAGGGTTCCAAGGGCATGGCCACGCATTTTAAATGTTAAGTTGTCACTCGGAAAACACTGATCCAAAGACCAAGGTATACATTATCTGTATGGCCAGTCAAGGTGGAGCAGATATCTGTTGTCCAATGCTTTCACAGTCACCCTCGACTGGCCGAAGTTGAGCCTAAATCTGGGATTTTTCTAAGGAATCCTATTGGATTCCATCGGCTCATCGAACGTCTGTGCTCTGACTCCTTTAGAGTCGCTCGCAGAACTTTTGTGCGGACATGCGTCAAGCACTCCGCAAGATTCCTTCATGTCTTACATCTCTCACCCTCCGCGTCAAGCTGAGAACCAGTCGAGCTATATCCTCAAGCTCTAGCACCTTCGGTCATCAAAAATCTGCTGTTTCCTCTGTGTCACTGGTCGTTCGAGCATCTTTTGCAATCGACGGACGTGTTTATATCCAAGGTGCCCCTTCTGGATCAAGATCCTCTTCTGTCTCCGCATCCGCACACGGCGAGTGTTCCCGCCTGAATATGTAAAATTCATAACAGCGGCTACATTGGCGGATCTTGTCATGCTGTAATATGATGCTGCAAAATGTTGCAAGCCCATCTTGGTAAGGGCAGGCAACAAAAGGCACGTGTTAAGTAGGCAAAACTGGTATGCGGCATGCTATGATATAAATAATGCAACTGCGGCTGGTCACCACTAAGTTTCCCCACCCAGATTCTCCTCCCTTCTTCTTGGCCTCACAATGCAAGTGCTACTTTTTTGTGATGCCATTTCCTTCACACCAACATAACCTGTTCTTCACTTCTCTGGCTGCATGATGCTGCATGGATTCTTGAGACAACTGAAGTTCATCTTGAAAACGTATTAGCCACTCGGGCTTGCTTTGGGTCCTTTGGGTCCCTCAAGGATTTTTGTGGACCTTTGTGAAATAAAAGCTTTAGGCGTACCCGGCATCGATGGCAAGGCGTACGCTTTGAGTTGTAGTCATCGTACTAGGGAGTGAGCATGACGCATTTACAAGGGCACATATGGATCCAGAAATCTATACTGTTGCTGCCTACTGAACTGCTCTGACACCCCTGCTGAGACATGACGGGCTTCACACCTTGTGTTTCTTCTTCTTGGGTGCATCCTCTGGAATCAGACCAAGGCAGGTTGACCTAAGATAGTCGGCAAGTTCTTTCAGCTACATGGAAATTCTCGGGTTCTCTGCGAGTCACGGAACAGGATCACAGGGCCCCTTACGCAATGCCTCTCACTTTGGCATTTTCATCCTTCAAGCGAACTGTCATTGCCTCCAGCTTACACAGAAAATGGCATTGAATCCTCCAAATTAATGCTTACAGATCCAACAACGGCGAAACCAAGTGCCGCTGCCTCTCTGACCGTGCTTTTGTGGCTGCCAAGCCTTTGCGTGTTCATGGGTCCAGCAAACAAACCACAATGACTCAGTGGAAGAATAGATATGTTGTCAATCGTTATCCTACCATCTATCCTGCCGTCAATCCTGAGATGTTCCTACTCAGCAGCCTCGAGTTCGGGGCCAATCCATGCCAGTCTGTGAGTATGGTTTTGTATTACATTGCTTTGGATATCCTTTGATCACAGCCTATCAGTCTGCAGACACGAAGAGGCAGTGTGCATCCAAGGAACTGATCGGATCTCGCCAGCTCAAGCAGGGATTCCGCGGCAGCCTCAATGAACAACTTCATGCTGACATCGGCGTCGACAAAGCGGTTTTGACGCAAGTCTTCGTCCCATGTCCCATGATGTCCCATGTCTATGGCAACTGAAAATCATCACTCGGCTGAGGCACTTGTCTGACTTCAGCACAAGCATCAGAGAGGCCGCGTTTCACTAAAGACTGAATGCAGACCTTCAAACATCGCAGCATGCATTGTCGATCTTTGGAACTGCAGGTCCTTGTTGTGAAAGTTTCTCGTGGTTCTTGATTTTTGCTTAGATTCAGCTAAGCAATCAAGATCAATCAAGGACTGATGGACACTGTTCTCTTACATTAAGGCTCTGACGTTGTGGGGAATCCGCTCGGAGACTCCCAAACGACAAATGGAGGTGGCAGCGGCTTCTCTGACCTGCAACTGCTTTAGATGAGTTTAATATTTGACTTGAATCAGACTTGAATCATTACACATATTCTGAGTCTTTCTGAGTTGCCTCATTTCAAAACTCTGCTGGCTATGCTGCCAAATGCTGCTATGCAATACAAGTGACTCTACAATGGTGCTGCCCTGTGGTGCTATTTGATACCCAAGTTCACAGCCTGAGTGTTTCCATCTCTCATTGCATCTGCCAAGTTGGTCGCTGCTGAAGCTGCAAACGGCCTGAGCACACTGCAAACCAGCGTGGCAAACCACGAGAAACATTCAAATATGTTCAAACATCCCGGGTAGCAAATTACAACCGTTCCCTGTCAAAGTAGGTAAATACAAAAGAGATGCAAATATGAAATGTACGGTCAGAAAAATCCCAATACCAACATGATGAACCAGAGAAGGAATCCAGATCCAAAACACCAACAAAACATCGCATACATTATCCAAACATCATCGTGAAGCCAGTGAAGCAGTGTTGCACATGTAGCCAACGCGGGGTTCTTTTAGCTCGAGCTGCTGGAGCTACTGGAAACACTAATTATCACACCCTGTATTGTTCCTTTGGTCCAACAACGCAGACTCCATGGCTCACATATCTCACATCTGAGTTGCTGCTACCAGGTGGAAGCAAGCAGTGCTCTTGCGCTTTCAAGTACGGTGAGTTGACCAACGGGCAACTGTGTCTTCTTGGGGAAATTCTCAATTATCTAGCGCAGATCTACCGCCAGAACTACGTTTAGCCTAGCCATCAAAACTTGAAAAGCAAGTGTTTTCACTTATTTTCCTAAGTCACGTTTGTGATGCTGGCCAAAAAGAAGGTGAAGCGGCAATGCAGCAAAAAGTAAGGCTACCGTGGAGTTGCCCAACCATGACCGGGAACAACAGGTGCAAAAAAACAAGGAAAAGAAAGCATCGGGCCGGACTATGTTTCGCTTGAGTGGCCTTGTAAAAGCATCTAGCGCCACACTACCGCGAATCTAGCACTAAGCTGCAGGAAAGCGATTGCACTGCATATAATAATATATACAGGACTCCGCCTTCTAGCAAAATCTAAAATACATCCCTGCCCAAGTATTTATGTCCTTCGGATCAAAAGTTCTCTATAGGCATTTTAGAGTGAATCTCATATCCCTATAGACGTGACTTGCACTTCAACACGCCGACTGCCAAAAGGACGCGGAAGAGTTTGCAGAATATCTTAAACTATTCAGATCGCCCTAGACCTTTGGAGGGGTGTGAATTCTTTTGGTTGTCCCAACTATGCGTTTCAAGCATGTGTGTGTGCACTCGTACATAGCTTGAGCACTCCACTTTAGCAAGACACTTGAACTTCGTTGAGGTGCGCACGTTGTTGCACGCCCGGGCGCATGTGTTTTCGCGCGCCCGTACTTGAAAGCGCTGCTGGGGATTGCGTTTTTGTCACTGGCTTGCGGATACGTACCAGGTTCAAGTGTATGATTATGTGTGTATTGGATGCCACCTTTGGCGCAAGAAGCTGACAGCAAGGCAATTTTCCCAGTTTACCCTCTTCCTCTCCCTCACTCTCGGGCCCCAAATCCTTAAAAACAAATCAGTCTAGCTGATGTTCATGAGAAAAGAGAAAATAAAAAGAGGTGTCCCTGTATTGCTGGCAAGTCAGATATACAAACAGTTGCGCCTCAACTAAAACCATTGGTTTTAGGCAAAACTGCCTTGCCTAAAACCAGTCTAAAACCAGTGGTTTTAGGCGAGGGGTTGCCAGCTCTGTTTCTATGTTTTTGGATAAAAGAGAATAGAAAAAGAAAAGAAAGAGCAGAGATAGCTAGAGTGATTTTTCTTGAGGATTCGGGGCGCGAAAGTGGAGGAGAGGAGGAGGGTAAGAGGTTAGGAGGGACGGAGGGTATGAGGGTAAGAGGGTACAAGGGTACGCTTGGTAAAACGCTTGTAGCGGAGGATTGTGCATTATAGAACATCAGTTAGGGTGATTTTTTAAAGGATGCGGGGCCCGAAACTGGATTCGGGGCCCGAAAGTGGAGCAGAGGAGGAGGTTAGGAGGGTAGGAGGATATGAGGGTAAGAGGGTATTATGTATGAGGTTAAGAGGGTAAGAGGATAGGCGAGGAAAACCATATGCAATAAGGAGATGAGCAACAGCCACATGGTGTAACCTGCTTTATATCTGGGCACTAGCAATATTGAATTTGTAGTTTCTGATCCTTGAAAAATCTTGAAGATCAACAGGTTGGCCCAACCTACCACCAAAAAAAAAAATCAAAAAATGAAATATCAATATGAGTTCCCCCCTCTCGATTTCAAAATAATGTTTTTTTAAATGAAATGTTATGACTTATTTTATGATTTTCAGATATGAGTTTTTAAAAATCGGAAAAAAAAAATACATGTTTTTTATGGTTTCTTTATGATTGTTTATGTGTTTTTATGATTTTGTTTATGATTGGTTTTTGTTTTTTGTATAATATCATAGTTTATTAGTTTTAAAGATGTGTTTATGTTTTTTCTGATGTGTTTAATGTTTTTCTATGTTTTGTTGTGTTTTGTTTGTGTTTTTATGTTTTTTTGATGTTCAATTTTTGACGATTTGCCTTACGAGTTTTTATGATTTTCTTTATGGTCTTTCTGATTTCTTAATGAATGTTATGTTTTTTGTTTTTATGTTTTTTTGACGACATTTTTAGATGTAAAAAAAGAAACATTAAAAAAAAAACATGAAAAAACTACAAATTTAAAAGCGACAACAAAAAAACAAAAAATAATAATCATAAAAGGAAATCGAAAAACATTGAAAAAAGAAAACCCAAAGAAAAACATAAGTTGTGTTTAAATGTGCTTAAGCAATTTTTCAAATCATAAATTTCATTAAAAAAACATGAAAAATATTGTTTTACAAAAATAAATATATTTTAAAATATTTTTTTTGGATGTCTTCGAACTCTCAAGTCTAGGGTGATCTATTCAGTCAAATAGAAAACGCGCTGGAAAAAAAAAAAAAGAATTTCCCTGGAAATGCAAAATCGTGTTGGTGGTCTTTCATTTTTTGTTTCCGATGAGATCTGCACGAGTTTACTTTATCACACGGGACGCAAGCTGCCTTTTCCTTATGTAGGCTCCGCCGGTAAGGACAGGAAAACGCTGAAGATGTCATGAGCCACAAGTGTGCCGGATTGCTTGATTTGTGTATTGTGCCTGCGCGCATATGTGCACCTATGCAATAAAGATTGATACATGGCGGGGTTTGCACCAACAGACACATCACCGACACTCCACCAAGCCACCACCAAATTGCCACTGACATACCACCAATGCATTGACACGCCGAAGCGACACCATCCTTAACCAAGACACAACAACAAACCCACACCCAACAACAGCATTACAAACCGGCGACAGACCACAAAGGCAGTGGGCTCAAGAGGACGCAACAGATGAGCTTGAGATAAGGCCAGCATGGCCTAAGAGCAGCATGCCCCAAAGGAAAGGAAAAAATAGTTGAACATACCATGAAAACATTTTTCTTGGTATCTACGGTGTTGTTTGCAAACGCCTGCCATGGACCAAAACTCAACGACACTGAAATGCCCAAGTCCAAGATAAAGGCCAACACAGACACAGACCTCAAAATAGCCAGAATGGCTCAACATAAGCCCAATATGGTCCCAACGTGTAAGCCCAATATGGTGAAGGTTGGCGCAAAATAACCCCCCACATTACTCAGACACAGCCCAACATGGAGCCCACTTTTTTTGCAATGTTCTTGAGGAACACTCCAAGCACTCTTTCATGATGCCTCTCTTCAGACAAGTTGCCCAATGCGTCCCAAAGAGACTGCAGCTGAACGTCGGACTACGTGATCGCTGTCTTTTAGACTTTGGGTCAAGCGGGGCCTCGTGGCTCAAATATCACCGGCCACCGTTGCTCCGTTGCTCACTCCCTTTCCAGTCGTGAAGCGCCACTGAGAATATCACACTGCGCTTGCTGTGTGCTTTCCGCCAATTTGGCCTCAGGAGAATGGCAATGAAATCTCAAACCAGTCAAAAAATGCAACCCTCTGCATTGCTGTGCATTGTCATTGTGTTCTCGTAAGTTGCAGAAGTTGCAGAAGGAATGTTTGGAAGTTGTGATCGAAATTGTCAACCTTGGACCAAGATTGTAGCCCAGCGCTTTAGCTGCTGCCGCTCGAACATGACTTTGGCCATCAGAGAGGCAATCTGCCAACGAATCCACGGCGGTCACAGCACCTAGTGGACAGTGGCAGTTGCATCTGTGCACCAGCACAAACGTGTTCAAACGTGTTCATACGCGCATTCATGGGATGACAGGATATGAAAGGTCTGGTTTGTGACAGGCACTCAGCATACCAAGTGCTGTCGCCACCGCGCTTTTAACTTCGGAGCCTTAAATGCATTAAATTCGGAGATTGATAAGACGTGACTTGACGTAACAAGGTGACTAGGCCAAAGAAGACAAGCCATGGACTCCATGAGCAATCGAAACTGAGAACCCAACTCGGGTCTCGCAATGCATCCGTGAGCACCTCTAAGACAGCACTGGAGCTCAGTCCTTGGCAGCGGACATCATCTGGACATCATTTGGACATCATCTGGACATGTGGACAACAATGGAGCGAAGATCAAATTTTAGCCAAGCCAAGGCACCCAGAAATCCTAAAGCTCCAAGTGCCTCAAATGTACACGAGGGATGATTGAAAGATATTGAAAGATATTAAAAGACTGAAATGGTATCACTTCAATGACAAATGTTTTCACATGTTTTCACATGTTTCTTGAGGTTCTCTCAGGGAAGGATGGCTCGATATAGGGAGAAAAAAGGGACATCGAAAACATCATAGACCTGGAATGTGTGACGAATGTGTGACGAATGTGTGACGAATGTGTGACGAATGTGTGACGAATGTGTGACGAATGTGTGACGAACGTGTGACGAATGTGTGACGAATGTGTGACGAATGTGTGACGAATGTGACAATGTGAGGCAGGCGCCGCAACTCGAACACTTTCTTCATGATCTAAGGATGCTTGCAGCAAGGCTGGGAGGGCCTCCAAACACAAAACGTCACAATGTTGGTGACAGAAAACTCCAACATTACTGTGAAAACTGTGAAAATATGTGAAAACTGAGTACTTCAACAAAGTCCAACAGTCCAAGAATACCTTTCCGTACAAGGTTTGGCTGAACTGTGGGTCGGGTGTGGCACCCAACCTCACTTGCTGCAGGCCCTAGTTGACCTAATGCAGTAGCCACCTCAATCGCGGTGAGCCAATGCAGGTATCGTGTTTCACCCAACATGGCTCAAAACAAGAGACAGTCAATCCAGCTTCGCTCATGAGTGGTGTTGCACAATGTTGCACAAAATCGGTTGACATATGTGCGTGAGGTAGGTCAATATTGGTGAAGTAGTTTAAGGTGACGGCGCCCATGGAAGGGCGGGACTGTTGTCACTTTTTCACATTTTTTTTTCTGGGGGGGTTGGGGGGGGTTGGGGGGTTGGGGGGGTTGTAATAGCGTCCTGTGGTCTGCGTTGTCAATAACGATTTCCTGCTACGTTGTAACATCTTCTTCAAGTAATTTGCAAGACGTTCCTGATAGGTTGTAACATCTTCTTCAAGTAACTTGCAAGACGTTGCTGATACGTTGTAACATCTTCTTCAAGTAACTTGCAAGACGTTCCTGATACGTTGTAACATCTTCTTCAAGTAACTTCCAAGACGTTGCTGATACGTTGTAACATCTTCTTCAAGTAACTTGCAGGATGTTCCACAGTGATCAAGGAAGAATGGCCGAGATGTTGAGTGGAACATGTGAGCCACAAAGATGGACAATTTACAAAAATTGTCCCACATGGATCCAAAGGATCACGCGTAGCAGGAACACAGGTCATTAACCGAACATGGGATCATATGAAATCATACATCCCACGTACTCTCTCTTCAATTAAACTAAATGCACATGGAACAGCAGCTGCCTTGATGAAACACTGCCTAATATGGCAATGGTTGCACGAAGTGTTAGCTCCTGGCTACTCCCTATGGGATCAGTTAAGAAAGCTTGTGAAAAAGCACAACAACAGAGTTGGACTATGGCGTCGCGCATGAAGATGAAAAAAGAGTGACGATTGTCCACTTTCAGAAACGCTGAAAGCGCCGCACTTCTACAGGCGCCGTAACCTAGTTTAACACTTTCATGGTCTAGGCATGCAAGGTGTCACTTACATTCATTTCCATTCATTTACATTCATTTACATTCGTTTACATTCATTTACATTCATTTTACATTCATTTACCAGTTTGGAGGATGGAAACACTTGCATTTTGCCCTGGAGATACCTCTCCCGTAGAATGGGAGATTGAGTGCTCAAGCACTCAGACTCTGGCAGCAGCACGAACCTCTTCTTCTCGATCTCGTAGGCTCATAATCAAGTTAGGCACTGCTGGCCCAGCATGTTCTCCAAGCCTTTCATGGATGCGGGCAGTCTGTGGATCTGTGTGTTCTTGTGGTGTGTTCATCTGACAGTTCAGTGCCTCCTGAAAGGTAACCATTATATATATATATATATATATTTATTTATTATTATTATTATATCGATAGTAAAGACTCTGCAGACATGTGGGCTACGTTGGCTTGACCTCCTGGGCTGTGTCGAACTTGTTTTGGCATCGAAAATTCTTTAACTCCGTAGAATGTCCGTAGAACCTAAACTCCATGCCTCTCGAGCGCTCGTGCTGCAGCTCTTCGGACAAATCCTCGGAAGGACAGCTTCGCAGTAGGTAAAACACAGTATTTGCTCTGGCAAAGTTTGGCAAAGCTCAGCAGTTTGTTCATGCATTTACGTACAAAGTAGACAAAGTAACTTGGAAAGAATCGAGCTGAATAATTATGACCTTAAAAATGAACCGCCATGACAGCAAACCGCCGTCATTGCAGCAGCGACAACAACAAGGGAAATGGAATTAAAACAGCGACAGCATTCGACAGCAATGGATGCCAACCTGAAGCTGCACTGCGACTTCTGCTGGGTTGTGCTGCAAAATGCAATGTACAAGCTCTGCAAACTCTTCAAAAATTGCCAATCATGGTCAACCATTCGTAACCGTTTAATAATTTTAATACCCATAAAGAACATTAAATAACCATTATGATATACCTTAGATACCCAATCAAGGTTGATAAAGGTTGATCATCTGATTGCTGCTGAAGCTCTATCCGAGTCTTTGAGACAACTCATCAGTGCTGGCACCGCCGAGACGACCTAAACTGAGTCCGGAGTGTCGGGGGCTGAAGAAAACCGACCTTGTACATTACAATACATATACAATGGTTAATTAATGGTGGTTAATAATGGCTAATAATGGTTAATTAATGGTGGTTAATAATGGCTAATAATGTTTAATTAATGGTGGTTAATAATGGCTAATAATGGTTAATCAATGGTGGTTAATAATGGCTAATAATGTTTAATTAATGGTGGTTAATAATGGCTAATAATGTTTAATTAATGGTGGTTAATAATGGCTAATAATGGTTAATTAATGGTGGTTAATAATGGCTAATAATGTTTAATTAATGGTGGTTAATAATGGCTAATAATGTTTAATTAATGGTGGTTAATAATGGCTAATAATGGTTAATTAATGGTGGTTAATAATGGCTAATAATGTTTAATTAATGGTGGTTAACAATGGCTAATGCTGGTTAATAAGGGCTAATAATGGTTAATTAATGGTGGTTAACAGTGGCTAATAATGGTTAATCAATGGTGGTTAATAATGGCTAATAATTGTTAATTAATTGCGGTTAGCAATGGCTAATAATGGTTAGTCAATAGTGGCTAATCGAAGGAAGTTTAGAAGTCAAACGTCTGACAATTTGGACAGATGAAAAGCAGAGCAGGGCAGAGGCAGAGAGAAGAGAAAGATTAGTAGAGAGAAGAGTAGAAGAGAAAGAGTCAGAAGAAAGAAGATGCAGATGCGCGAAAAGGTAGGAAAGTCGCGAAACACTGTGTTTTTCCAATGATTTGGGGCTCCGGGGGGTCGAAAAGTAGGCTCGCTAAAGCGGCGGGTGCGGAGCCAGCTGGCCAGATGACAGATGAAAAATTGCACGCCGTTGTGGCGCGAAGCACATTCCCAAGTCAAAATGTACAAAACACACCATTCTCGGACCACTTTTGGAAGTTGAGATGTCGAAAAAGTGCACGCCGTTGTGGCGCGAAGCACGTTTTCAAGTCAAAATGTACAAAACACACCACGTTCGGACCACTTTTGGAAGTTCAGATGTCGAAAAAGTGCACGCCGTTGTGGCGCGAAGCACATTTCCAAGTCAAAATGCACAAAACACTAGGGGTGCGGACCACTTTTGGCAGTTGAGATGTCGAAAAAGTGCACACCGTTGTGGCGCGAAGCACATGTCGAAGTCAAAATGTACAAAACACCACATGTTCGCATTTTTGGAGGTTCAGATGTCGTTTCGCGTGGCAGGCGCAAGGGATTGTGCACCTTGTCACAAGTGACCAAAACGTGAGGGTTTTGTAGCATTTCCAAGAATGATGGCAGGCATGGGACATTTGAAGAGGATCTGCAAAGATGCATTTTCGTGGCAAGCGCAGTACAAAAGACATGTTCATGAGAGATGTTAGGAGGCCAGGGCGCTGATTTCCTGAGAGGGGTTGCATTTTGGAGTATCAGATGTGCAGGTTTGCTAAGATGATTTTGCGTGACAGGTGCAGCACTTCGTATGACCTGGCATCAATTTTCCGTGGCAGGCGCAGTACTTTAGACAGGTGGACTGAAAAAATCGCAAAACGCATTGGTACGAGGCTGTCAGCTCTGCACTCAACTTTCCATTTTTGAAGGAAGTCTCGCAAAATTGTTTTGTTTTTGATGTTGTCAAGTTCAAAAATTGAAGAAGTCTCGCAGAATTGCTTTGTTTTGGATGTTGTCAAGTGCGAAAAAAATGAAGAAGTCTCGCAGAATTGTTTCGTTTTTGATGTTGTTACGTTCAAAAATTAAGGAAGTCTCGCAGAATTGCTTAGTTTTCAAGCTTGCAGATAGACAGACAGACAGACAGACAGACAGAGAGAGAGATGGATGGATGGATGGATGGATGGATGGATAGATCGATAGATAGATAGATAGATAGAATTAGATAGATAGAATTAGATAGATAGAATTAGATAGATAGAATTAGATAGATAGAATTAGATAGGATAGATAGGATAGATAGGATAGATAGGATAGATAGGATAGATAGGATAGATAGGATAGATAGGATAGATAGGATAGATAGGATAGATAGGATAGATAGGATAGATGGATAGATGGATAGATGGATAGATAGGATAGATAGGATATATAGATAGATAGATTTAGATAGTTAGATAGATAGATGTGAGAGAGAGAGAGATAGATCGATAGATAGATAGATAGATCGGTAGGTAGGTAGGTAGATAATCAGAGAAAGAGAGAGAAAGAGAGCAAAAGAGAGAGAAAGAGTGAGAGAGATCAATCACCTGTCAGTCCATCAGTGGATTCGCTCCGCCACCGCCTTGTGCGGTACTACTGGTAATAGCTAATAATGTTTAATTAATGGTTAATTAATGGTGGTTATTAATGGCTAATAATGGTTAATTAATGGTGGTTAACAATGGCTAATAATGGTTAATTAATGGTGGTTGATAATGGCTAATAATGGTTAATTAATGGTGGTTAATAATGGCTAATAATTGTTAATTAATGGTGGTTAATAACGGCTAATAGTAGTTAATATTGGGATACACCTATTATACCCGATTACATCCTATCACATCCCAGAAATACATTGCTGAGGGATCTCCTTTGCTTTCTGTCTTTACTACCGAGGTCGGATCCTGTCTTTCCAAACATGTTGGACACAGATGAACTGTTTCTGCCGACATGTAATGGGAATTGCATAGGCTTCAAACAACGTGGACACCATCTCTGTGGCGACGATATCGAGAGCCATCCGGAAGTGCTTCAACCTGAGAAATTCATCAGGCTCCGTTGGAAACAAGACAGCGATGCCAGCGCATGCAAACACCGAGATATCGGAAGAGTCATCATCTTTAGTTTGGGCTAAGCTTGCAACTGAAGTGGTCTGGCCAGCCATGTTCTTTAAAGCCTGCCAACCATAGAGACTCAAAACGACCCCAAACATCTGAGTAAAAGCCTTAGAGTCAGCAAAACATCACATTATGACTGTATCATTCTCTTTATGTTTCTTTTCTAATTCTTTTCTCATTTGCTCAGATGCTCAAATGGTGTTCTTTGGCATTCTTTGATGCACTGGTTCCCATGACATCCCATGACAAGGCGGCCAAGCCTTGGTCGCGTTCAAACGTACTCGCCGACGGCGATCCTTTAAAGCGTCACACAGAACCGGCACAACGGAGTCTGAGTGCCTTGCGGATCCGGCTGAAGTGGAAATCAGTTGTGAAATCAAACAAAACTCATAGTTACCATAACTTGATACTATGTGATCATGTGCATCAAACACTTCAGAAAAAATCAGGAAAGCGATGGATATGAGATTATACGAGATATGACACAGGACCAATGATCATCCGTGTATAGGTCGAGTGAGGCTCATAGTCACTGCAGTCTTCATGGCCAAATGCAAATGCATGGAGCCCCCGTGCGTGCAAAACTTGACACAAAAGAGGCGTCTGCACATCATTTCTTCGTGATCTTCGTGCATGTGTGCTCTGACAAGCTGCGCATCCATAAGGAGTGATAAGCGGCACCTGCGGCCATGAGACTTGTGATCCACTCACCGCATCTCTTGCTGTCGGACTTTCTCATGTTTCGAAACAAGGCCAAAGTGGCCAAAGTGGCCAAAGCTTCAATGAACTTCATTTAGTTACAATTTACAGTTACAATTTAGTTCATTGAATTTCAATTCTCGGCCCCCACCTCACGGTGGAGTCTGGGTGCTCTTCCGCAAGGATGGCCTCAACAATCCAAGCATTCAATGAGACGTACCGGGCTGAGAGTCTCTTACAAAGCATACCAAAAGCGTACCAAGTGAACCAATGACCAACGTACAGACATTGCATTCAAGTGTGTTCCATGCAGACAGGTCATCTTGTGACAACCTACTATTTTCGTCTCTAACTTTCCTGCAATCCGGATGCCATCCAAGATGCTGCATGAGGATACACTTCAGCTGCCATTCCAGTGTCTTCGGATTCTGCCGTTTCCCGAATACATCTGCAAAAGGCAGCCTTGCGCGAAAGCATTCAAGGCATGTTGTGATTGTTGTGTTGTTGTGCCGAATTGTGGTGTTGCCTCCGACCAGCGCTTGTAGCGAAGAATAAAAGCAGGATATACCTGTCAGCCAGGCTGTCAGCCAGGCACACAATCCTTCAAACAGGTGTAACAAAAGCACCACAGCCTGGTCTGAGTCGAAGAGGATGAACTCTCTGAAGGTTCCCACCTGAAACACATCCCATTTCAGCAGAAGCAGCACACAAAATGCACAAGTCAGACAAGGCAGATGCAAATTTGTCTCAACTTATTCAAGACACTGCAGTCCAGCGATCGCCAATGAGAGAATCATACTTCCCGGCGATGCATCTCAGGACAGAAGTTGGTTGCCAGTTGGCCATGTCGCAATGTGTCGCAATGTGTCACAACAGCGAGTCACCGAGGAGTTGACTGCTCCAGGATATCAGGGGATGGCTTCTTCTCCTGGGCTAAAATCCTTCTCTCACATCCGGAAAGACCTTGATTAAAAGAATACGATGATTCAAAATAATAAAATTTATGATAAATTTTATGATAAAATATAGACTGTAGTAGACTATAGATGATAATCTGATACGATATTGATATAACTAACTAATATATAAATTCCAAATGCTTCCAGTTGCAGGCTCCTTGCAAACCATGACCGTCCCGAGAGCAACACGGCAAAGAAGCATCCAACAATAGCCGTCTGCATCTTCAACACAGTACTCGTCTGCCTTCCAAATACAGTGCTGCACTCATTCAAGCAGCCTTTAGGAGCCTTTAGGAGCCTTTAGGAGCCTTCAGGAGCCTTCAGGAGCCTTCAGGAGCCTTCAGGAGCCTTCAGGAGCCTTCAGGAGCCTTCAGGAGCCTTCAGGAGCCTTCAGGAGCCTTCAGGAGCCTTCAGGAGCCTTCAGGAGCCTTCAGGAGCCTTCAGGAGCCTTCAGGAGCCTTCAGGAGCCTTCAGGAGCCTTCAGGAGCCTTCAGGAGCCTTCAGGAGCCTTCAGGAGCCTTCAGGAGCCTTCAGGAGCCTTCAGGAGCCTTCAGAATCTTTGGAAATGCGGAAAATTGCGGAAACATAACAGGCCTTCGTGGCGCATTCGGCAAAGTAGATGCCTTTTCCATACAACGTCCCCCTGGCGTCTGCGGCATGTTGCAAGAGGTAGACCCTGGTGAAAGCTTCCCAGGCCTGTGACTTCCAGCTTTATCCAGTCGAAACCTCACGTGGTTGGCATTGCAATGTATGATGAAAGGGGGCGATTATACAACATGATACAACCAGAATAAAAATGAATAGAGCTAATACCGAGCAACTCTCGATCAGAAATATTCTCCACTGCCTCTCTCGAAGTGCCGTGGAAAAGCCTTGGGCTCAGCAACAAGAATGACAACAGCAGAAGTCTGATTCTGCGAGTCCCACATGTTGCAAATAGGTGACACCTAGGTGATCCATGGATCATTCTTAATATCAGTTACATCTTGCCAGCTTTGCAGGCGAGAATCCACTGTTCGTTCGAAGATAGATCTGTCTTTCCCAGGATCTCTTGGAGAGCCTTCAAATCCAAGGTACCTGATGTTTGGATATGTTTGGATATGTTTGGCTGCAGAAACCTGTCCCTTCCGAACCAGAAGATGGCGCACTTGTGAGCAAAGGCGTCTGCATTCCAAACGGATCCCATTGAAAAGAAGCTGAATCACCTTGTCATGATATGAGAGACTCAAGAACACTTTCTAATGCTTCCCAGCATTTCAAGTGTTTAAATGATCATCTCAAAGTGAGTCTGTTCACTTTTTTACTTTCCTGAAACACATCTTTGGATATCTTTGGCGTGTTTTGCACAGAATGTGTTTCACGGTCAGTTTGCGAAGTTTGCTCAGCATGTATTTGGTCTGGCAAGCGGCTGCCCTGGCTGGCTGCGTCAATGCGACTGGGACGCCCTTCCTCGGTTCTTGCGGCACAAAGTCACCCAGACAAAAAGGAAAGCCAGAAAGCAGAACCATCATGAACCATCCCAAAGTCTCAAGGAATGCATATTGTCTATATAGTCATATAGTCCACATTGTCTTACATTGTATTACATTGTATTACATTGTCATATAATGTCATATAGTAACTAACTATAGTATTTATTGTGGCCACGTCAGTCAATTTCAATCATATTTTCCGTCAATGTCGTACCCCATAGGCCTTTAATTCTCCGGCTAAGCTGCGGAGTTTGTAAATGAACTGCAGGACTCCGAGTCCAAGCCCTGTTTCAGCCATTCGTTGTTCTCAAACACCTCCGTGTGAATCATGTGAATCATGTGAACAAGCAGAAACAAAAAAAACTTAAAGATGTTTTCTGCAAGGACAAGACTAGAAAGATAGAAAATGTATGAAAACGTGGGTTATCTGCCAGCGCCTTCTCACAGATCCGCGTCCTTGCCTTTCAACTCACAGATCCCATGTGCACAGCAATTTGACCAACAGCAAAACTCGATTAGTTGCGAATAAAAAATCTTCAAGAATCAGTCAGAATCAGTCAGAATAGGTCCGATGACGTGTGACCCCTTGCGTCTTTGTGCTTCCAGAAAAGGTTCGCATGTGAGTTGATCCCTTTCATGCATATTCGAATAGAATGAATAACATGAAGTAGCTACGAGTAGTTGGTACCCGGCGCATAGACGGCCGTGGACCGAAATACATATTTTAGCAAAAGGGGGTTGGGTGGGGTGGGGGGGGATATCAACGTTCATGTACCTTGCCTACGTACGTGGATGCTACGCTGCTGCTACGTCACTGGCAGGGTGGGGTGGGGGGGGATATTAACGTTCATGACCTTGCCTACATAGGTGGATGCTACGCTGCTGCTACGTCACTGGGCATGGGTGGGGTGGGGGGATATAACGTTCATGTACCTGCTACTACGTGGATGCTACGCTGCTGCTACGTCACTGGGCATGGGTGGGGTTGGGGGGGGATATTAACGTTCATGTACCTTGCCTACATACGTGGATGCTATGCTGCTGCTACGTCACTGGGCATGGGTGGGGTTGGGGGGGATATTAACGTTCATGTACCTTGCCTACATACGTGGATGCTACGCTGCTGCTACGTCACTGGGCATGGGCGGGGTGGGGGGGGATATTAACGTTCATGTACCTTGCCTACATACGTGGATGCTATGCTGCTGCTACGTCACTGGGCATGGGTGGGGTTGGGGGGGATATTAACGTTCATGTACCTTGCCTACATACGTGGATGCTATGCTGCTGCTACGTCACTGGGCATGGGTGGGGTCCTGCCGCAGGATTGGCTACGCTGCTGTCAGATGAGGAAAAAAAGAAGCAAGGGGGGTGGGGGGGATATTAACGTTCATGTACCTTGCCTACATACGTGGATGCTGGGCATAGATTAAGGATGCTACGCTGCTGCGAATTTTTGGAACACTTGGAAGCCCTCCTGCCGCAGGATTGATGCTGTCAGATGAGGAAAAAAAGAAGCAAATCCTGGCATAGACAAAGTAGTTACGTCATTTCAAAAAAGCATTAAAATTATCGTTTCGCTGAGGCGAAACCGCCATTTTGCTAACTTTCCAATGGAATTCAGCCACAAAAAGTGTATACACCTGAAACTTGAGAAATCCCCTTACAAACGCACAGAAAATCAATGCTGGATGATACTCAATCTTCATTTTGAGCCACGGCCGTCTATGCGCCGGGTTCCTAGTTCCTTGATTGATTTGATTGTGATTCCCCTCCAGGCCTTGCTATACTCCATCCATGCAGCACCATTCTGAACACGCACTGCGTCTACAATCTCTAGTCTGAGGGGGACAGTGTTGCCACGACCTCGGGCTGCCATGGGTTGCCGTGGGCAGAGTTGGAAGGTGTTGGAAGGTGTTGGAAGGTGTTGGAAGATTTAAAAAAATCAAACAGAAGATATTCAAAGATTCTCAGCCAGATAGGCTCTAGATGGGCTCCAGATGGGCTCCAGGACCCGATGAGTTTCCTCCCTGCAGGTCCTTCAAGTTCCTGTCAGTTCCTGTTCGTACATCCCTTGAGGAACGTACGGTCTTTGGTTGACTTGCAAACGAAGCAATGATCTAAAAGCCTCGTGCCATGCGCGACATATAATGACCGAGAAGTATGACATGCAATTCGACATACAGTGTAGTGATACAGTGTAGTGAATGAATCATGTGATTTCAAATATGTTCAATCTGTATGAAAGAATCACTGTCATCAAACAAATAGTCCCTTCTGTCACGACTGGATGATATCAGGTCTATGATTGCACTTGTTCCGCAGCGAAGCAACTTTTGAAAGGCTGGATGACACGTCGAGGGCAGGAGCTCCTTATTGACCTTATGTGGAAACGCCAAAAGAAACCAAAAAGGAAAGTTCTGGCGAGTGATCCTTCCCAAAAATTTACGAGAAGGCAACATGATCAACATGCAAGTGTAAAGCGTATGTAGGACCAAGTCGCAAGTTTTGCTGCAGAACCACCGACCCCACTGCTCAGCATGGCCTACATTGTCACCCCAACTTGAACAGCAGCGGTTCCAGTGCTCTTGATCTCTCCCAAGAATGGTGACTTCTGAGATCCAATATTCGATCGGGAACACTCTCAAAAGATTGCATGCATTGATCTGTATGGTTTGGTTGGTCAACGGTTGGTCAACGGTTGGTCAACGGTTGGTCAACGGTTGGTCAACGGTTGGTCAACGGTTGGTCTCACATGTCAAGCCGTAGGATTCAGTTCGTGACCCAGCCTCCACATCCCAGCCGGGTGGCAAGCTTTTGCTGATTGCACGTCCTGCATGGCTCTTGACCTTGGCTTCTGGTTGGTCAACGTTGGTCACAGCTTGACAAGGCTTGACAAGGCTTGACAAGGCTTGCAAATGCTTGCAAATGCTTGCAAATGCTTGCAAATGCTTGCAATGTTTCCATATGTTTCTTCATGTTCCTTGTGCAGTTATGTCCAGCCAAGCAACCGCAGCAGCCCACTTGTTGGCCAATTCTTCTGTGTCCGCCCTTGCTTGTAGCGCAAGCTTCTGATTGCGCATGTGGAGGGAGAGTGTTTTGCCTGAGACTGCAGAAGACTGACGAGGCAACTTGGCACTGACAGCATCAGTCCTGCACCTTCCACAGCGACTTCTTCTAGTTGTGACAAGATCAGAATGGCGGATGGTGCTTGCTTTTTCGGACCTCAGCGCAGCAATTTTCTCGGAGTATCTCAGAGTTATTCCCAGAAAAAAATGGTGCTGATCTGGGCAGTCCGCCTTGCTGTTGTGTGGCCCAGCACAGGAGTTGGGAGTTTTTCAGCACGATGTAACGCTTTTTCCAAAAGAATCCTTGCGAAAAGGGACAACCACAGGTAATTGGCCTCTGAGTTCAAGGGCTCGGCTGGTGCAGAGCCAACAAAACTGCAACCAGAATGCCCTAGTCAAACAATTTGTGGTTTACATCAGCCTTTGCCTATAAGGATTATCAGTGTTATCAGGCAAGAAATCTGAATCTTGGTGCATCTTGGTGCCTGCAACAGGAGTGCCAGCCGATGCCTTTGCTAGGCGTGTGACCTTCGCACTGCGCAACGATCAACATCGATCAACCCTTGTGAGTTCGTCTGGTAATTTTCAGATGCTACATCTTTCTTCACATATCACGAGATCTCATGATGCATGACCTGTAAGCGGTTTCCGCTGCTGGGCTCACCATAGCCTTGGATCTCTTGACATTGAATCCCTTGTCTCATGGAGAAATACGGATGTTTCACGAAAAAGTCCTCGTTTGTTCTGGCTGTGGAAAGAAGCATCTTGCATCATCTTGCTACATTCCAGCAAAGCGGCACATCAACCAACCAGACATCTCTTCCAGGGGGTCCTGGCGTCAGCTAAGTCCGTGCATGTGCATGGTTTTATTTCACCTTACTTTAGTGGAGATGTTCTGTTTCCATCTGTTTTTGGTTCCACTTCTGGTGGGCTTGAAAACAGCTGAAACATGCTTATAGTATCCATAATATGAAACATGCTAAAACAGTAGTAAAACAACATGTTCCGATCTTCCGTGTCTTCCAGGTCTGGTACATGCTGCGCCTCTGGAGCCTCGATCGGCTCCTCCCGCTGTAAGTTCTCCGCAAAAATCTCAGGGCACGGGCAGCACAACGGGCAGCACAATGTGTCATTCAGTGGTCATTCAGTGTCCAACATGGGGCTTGCATGGGCTTAGGGCATTGATGCCTTGTGTGAATGGTCTAGTTAATCCTTAAGTTTTAGACATTTTAGACTTTATCCTTCAGTTGCGGGAGACATGCACCTGTACTGGCTTTCTACCTTTCATAACCTTTCATTACCTTTCCATGTATTTCATTATACATCATTATACCTTGTATTTCCTGCATTTTCCTGTTGTGGTTCTTGGAAAATCTTGCCGCTCCAGCCTCTGAAGGTCGAGACGAGCTCGGGCTCGGCTCCAAGGAGACACAAAGCAGCGGCACATCATCGGGAGGAAGTTCTTCCGGCTGTACTGACCTAAAACAACGATAAACAAGGCCATAAACAACGATAAACAACGAAAATTGCGAATTCCAAAGCAATCCTATCTGATCTATCTGCAAACTGAATGGAAATGTGCTTTACTTAGTCAAGCTCTCTTCAAAGTGTCTAGATGTGTGTAGGACTCCAGAACCTGGCTAAGACCCAGACGGGGCAGCTTGAAATCCCTCCTGACCTGAATGGAACTGTTGTGGAACTGTTGTGGAACTGTTGTGGAACTGTTGTATATTGTGGTCCCTGGCATCCCAAGTGAGAGAATCCAGGCCTTGAGTGCTGGAAGATGATCGGCCTTGGAGCGCCGCAAGACTGTGGAGACATGTGGAGACTGCTAATAGAGTCTACTAAGCTTTACTGAGTCTACTGTCTGTCGCAGAAAGTCAGACAAGCGGCGTATTCGCATCCTGAGTTGTCGGGTTGTAAGCGCAGACAAGACTTTGTAGCTGAGAACAAACTCATAAGTCTCCCAAAAGAGCTGCAACTGCAATCAGTTGAAAGATGTTGAAAGGAATTCAAATGAACGGCATGGCATACTCTAGCCAAGCACTGTCAAGCATCCCATCTGCATCGCTAACGGCGATTACGGTGCCGTCGCTTCCCAATGGAAACGATTGAACTTCCTCCAGGAAAGGCGGCGGATCGCGCTGCGAGTCTGTGCAACTGCACGTGGCCTCGGCCAGTGTGCCCATCACTGAGCAATGGCAAGACATGGGACAACGTGGGACAACGTGGGACAACGTGGGACAACGTGGGACAACGTGGGACAACGTGGGACAACGTGGGACAACGTGGGACAACGTGGGACAACGTGGGACAACGCGGGACAACGCGGGACAACGTGGAACAATGACAATGTGGGACAATGTGGGACAACGTGCAACAACGTGGGACAACCACCAAGGGTGCAGGCTCCGAGGTGAATTCGGTGAATAGTGGAAATTAGATGAAATTAATCCGCTGCGCACACTGATACAGTATCCAGATCCAATGCTTTCATTGCCAAGTGCAAACCAGCTGCACTCCACCAGCTGATCATGCCTTGGGCTTGACAGCCATACCTGAAAGCGTGTCATAAATCAACAAGTAAACAGCAACAAGACGTGCACAAACATCAATCTTTGATTAAATCTTTCAAAGCCAGTGCCGCATGGTCACTATGTCGTCACGACATAGTTGGGGTAGCAGCGTGCAGGTTGCCAAGTGCCTCACACGTTTTAGTTTTGCATGTTCTTCATTGTAGGTCTGTCATCTCAGCCAATTCTCAGCCCATCTGCATGCACATCCGGGCGACGCTCCCTCTCTTGCAGAACGGGTCTGCAACCAAGAGGCTTTGCGTGGGCAGATTGAAAAATAAGTGTGAACCGCGCAAATAAACCTTGCAAGACCAAAGAATCATAAAGTGACCCAAAATTGGGCAGTACTTCCAGTGAACATCCTGCAAACACACCATTGCTCAAAGAGTGTAGCTCAGTCTTTCTATGGCTTCTGCTTAACAAGTTTCTGGCCTGATTTTGTCTCTACCGGTAGAATCTGTATGATCCTGCAAGTATGCACTGGTATCCCGCCTGTCACAGCCACCACTACAGCATTCTACCACACTTGAGCCCGAATTCTGTGGTGCGGTCTAGAGTCTGGCGCTTCTAATGTCACCACCATCACTGAAATAACTTGCACCATGGTGCGGTCCTAGTGGCAGAAACTCAAAACATCTCAAAACATCTTTAAACATCTCAAAACATCTTTAAACATCAGCAACAGCAGTGGGTATCGGTGTGTGGTGCACGGCCTTGGTGCAGGACTCTATGGAGCTCGCCACAAACTTGTCGGTGTTCTGACAGTCATCCTCCGCTGTACTCAGACCGTACTCACAACACTGACCGCAAAGAGGTCCCTTTGACATCCTCTGACAGACCTGACTTCAAAGCCTGCCATTGGCTTCTGATTCGAACATCTTTGGACCATCTGTTCTTTTCAGACAGCTCTGACCAGAAAACCTGCAACTGCCTGTGGTTCAAGCCTCCGAAAACCAACAGAGTTGAGCTCCACACCTGGAAGCAGCCTACTGTTGCACCAAAACCCTGCAAGTTCCTAAGCCAGTTTGACAGGCAGCCATGCAAGCATGATGGTCACATGATTGTCACCTTTGTGACGGAAAGCAGAAACAAGAAAGGCTCAAGCGTGAATAAAGCTCTGCCAGCATTCCTGATGACAATGTTCTCCTCCTGACAACTAATGCTGGGAAGCAAATAGACTCTGAGCATCCCTGAGCCGTATGACTGGCCTGGCCTGGCAGGTTGGCCAGTCTTGCGCACGCACTAGTCCCAAGCAAACGAGGCCTTGGTCAAGCGGTCCAATGCACGAGTGGGACTTTGCTTTCAGATTGCTGCATGGCTCTCGGAAATCTCCTGTTTCTGTACGACTTCCGGATCTTCTGACTAGTTAGTTCATCTCTCAATCAAATGTGGTCGTGAAATTGCATAAAATTGGCAAAATGGCTTTTTGCTTGAGTTTTCTTGGTCCAATTCGTCACCTGATCCGACATCTGTTCTTTCTTGTGCAGAGGCCCCCGCTTGCAAGGTATCGAGCCTGCAGGCGCTTGTCGAATCATGGGTTTATAGTCAATGCAAAGCGCGTGCATCTTCGATTCCCTACAGTTGCAACCTTTGGTTTACAGTTTTCAAGGGGCAGACCATCATGGGAACGCAGGCGCTTGAACTTCGGAGCCAACAAGAAAAATTCAGCTTGCTCATGCGCTAAGACCGATTGGCACTTTGCGGCGAATCTAAAGCTACAATGTAGCGACATGTAGCGAGTCTGTGCATTGGGCCAAGCCATTTTTTCGAGTTGAGATTCTGGAAGCTCCACTTTGGGTGCGGTCCCGGAGTAATCGATTTAATATGATTTATATCGAATGGTTTCAGAAGTTTCATAGTGAAGCACTTCCGAAGCACTTTGTCTTCTCAGATTCATTGAGGCAGAAACGAACGCCTCGTCAATATGCCAACTGGGCGCCCAGCATCCGTGACCACAAGCTGGCGCAAGCCCAGCTCACGAAACATGAAATACGCTCGTTCTACGGGAAAGTCCAGATCCACAATGTATGGTGCTATGTCTGCGACTTCTTCCAAATGAAGGGCGCTTTGCTCACTCTGCGTGAGCCACTCCTCCAGTTCGATTCTTCGGACCAGGCCCAACAAATGTCCTTCGGATACCACAGGGAAAGCTTGGTGGCCACAATCATTCAACAAAGTCTGAAGTTCTTCTCGAGTCTCAATTGGTTTCAACTGTCTTAGTTGCACTCTACCACCAGGCAACTCTGAAACAGGTGCTATACGCAATCGCGCAGGAAGAGGACACTCGGGCGGTAAGAATGGAAGGTTGGGAACCTGCATCAAATCATGGTAGAGTCCATGTCCGATGAAGATCCTCGCTACAAATCTGCCTGTGATTGCAGCAATGGCAATGGGCACAATAGATGATGTGTCTCCGGTGATTTCCACCAAAACTGCAATAACGAACAACACTATGCTGCCTGAGCCACTCATAAAAGCAGCTGCTCCAACCAGAGCAAAGGATCCTGGATCCGGCAATCCGCAGGTCTGTGGGAGAAAATGTACTCCCTTCTTTGTCAACATGCTGAGGATGTTTTGATATTCATGCGTCCAACCAACTGGACATTCATACACATCGTGGAAGAGTGAAGTCAGGATATTGCCAGACATACGCCCTATGCAGCCACCAATGAGCATCATAGGTACCACCAAACCACTCGGCACTGCTGAACCCGAAGTGGCCGCTGCAAGGAGGAAGTAGCAAAGTAGATAGGCGAACATCGCTCCGTTTTGTAGCATGTTGGGTGATCCCCGGGTAAAGAGATTCTTCACTGTAACTCGGTCAGGAACAAGAGCTAAAGCTGCCATAGGGTTGTACTGCGGAATGCTGATGTTGTCCCATACGGTAGGTTCACATTCAATACCAAACGATGGCCACATTTCCCTGTACAGCTGCAACGGTGCCTTGGGCTGCCTATAGTTGTAGATCTTTCCTTCATAGAAATTGGAGATGTTGTCAAAGCCACAGCAATAGAAATACTTTTCTTGCTCCGAAACTGAAGTCGGGAAAACAAAGCCCATCTTTTCCAGACTACATTCAGGTAGATCCGGTCTCTCCGTTCGATTCGCAAAGATAGCCTTGGGACACTCACTTGGGTTGTATTGAATGCCAAAGAGACCAGGAGCTGGTTCCATTTTGGAGTCCTTTGCCCTCCTGACATTCTGTGCAAGGTCTTCTTTACTTTTGAACATCTGAGCAGCCCACTCAGCAGCTATGCACTGATTGCTGTTTTCAAAGGCATGCTGCAAGGTGCTTTCATGGCAGTGCCAAATTGCCGGCAGAAAAATCTCCACAGAGCAGGACAAGGCTGTCAGAACAAGAAGTTCACACCGCAGTCTTCCGCGATGCACCCCTCTAGCCCTCCAGCTCGCCCGTCGAAAGTTCAATTCCAGAATGATTTGGTTGAAGACACTACCCAACAAGCCGCAAACGACACCAATGAGAGCACAGGTCAAGAAAAAGGTGGGAGAGGAATGGGAGCAGCTGGGGCCAATGAATACCTGAAATAACGGAGTGAATTGCCATGTTGCACCTTCCCACAGCCATTCCCAAGCAGGTTGGATCGCAAGAAGCACCACACTCAGCGACAAGCAACAGGCTGAGAAAACGTGAATGAAGAAGCGCTGGGACAGGTATGTGGCTGCTTCTTCCACCACAAACAATGTTCCTGTCTGCAAAGAGCAGAAAGTGGAAGGCTTTCCAGGGTCTGTCAGGCTGTCTGTCATGCAACATGACTCTCTTTAGAGCAGGGAAAACTAGCAACTAACGTTCTTCAACAGAAATTGTACCTGGAAAATCCGATCCATGCAGGGCAAGAAAAAACTCCTTTCCGACTATTGGGGTCTACTTTTTGTGCTAATCCGCCATCATGCATCACTTGCAACGGGCTGTGCAGCTATAACATACCCACCTGCAAACGGAGCTTCAAATGCGGCGGCTACACCACAGCCGGCACCAACTGCAGCAGCATGCAGCTGGATTGAACGACTCCCTCCGCGACTGGGATGAATGCCATTGCGGCACTTGATTTGCTGCAGGCAGTTGCACACCAAAACACCTCCGGGTTTTGACAGTTGGCATTGCCTTGGTTTTTGTTCAACATATCAAAATCCACTCACAATTTGGAACAATTTGGAACAATTTCCGCATTCCGCGGCAAGCCTATTGTAGCACCAATGTGAATCATGGGCCCTTCAGGTCCAACAGCCAAGGAAGAACCACAGGCGCAGATCACGCCAACCATCTTGGCCACAAGGACGCCAAAAGAGAAGAGACTTTCCTCCAAGTCAACGCCATTGAGGAATGCGATCACACCTCTCAGGGAATCACATGCAGTTTCCAAAGGATCTTATCTGTACATGTTTGATTTTGGTTTGCTGCACTGACTTTTCTTTCTCTTTTTCTCTATCTCCATGATTCTCTATGTCTCTGTGTGTGTATGCCTCCCTGCCTCCCTCCCTCCGTTCCTTTCCTCTCTTTCTCCCTTGCTCTCTCTCTCTCTCTATCTTTCTGTCTCTCTCTCTCTATATATATATGTATCTACGCATCTATGCATCTATGAATCTATGTATCTATCTATCCATCCATCAATCCATCTATCCATGTATCCATCTATCGATCTACCGGTCTACCGATCTATCGATCTATCGATCTTTCGATCTATCGATCTATCCAATCTAATCTAATCTAATCTCATCTCATATCATATCATAGCATCGATCGATCGATCGATCTATCGATCTATCGATCTATCTGTCTATCTATCTATCTTTCCATCTATCTATCTATCATTATCTATCTTTCTATCTATCTATCTATCTAACTAACTAACTAACTATCTAACTATCACCTATCTATCATCTATCCATCCATCCATCCATCCATCCATCGATCTATCCATCTACGTATTTATCCATCCATCTATCTTTTATCTTTTATCCATGCATCCATGCATCCTTCCGTCCATCCGTCCGTCCATCCATCCGTCCGTCCATCCATCTCTCTCCCCCATCCGTCGCTCTGTCTTCCCTGTCTGTACATGGAACGTGCGCCATTTCCTTTTGGCTGTGATTTGGTGGGTGTGGGTGTGGGTCTAGCATGCGCGTCATTCTGAAAAAGATGTTGGGATCAGTGATGAATCAATTGACAAGACAAGAACGTGCGTACCGTGGTGAGCAGGAAGTATCATGGAACTTTACAACCCAACAAAAAAAACTTTAAGTTGTCATTCGCTCTTACATGTTGCATAGACAAGAGGAAGTAGACAAGGAGACAGCGACGTCTGTATTGCCAAGAAACATTTTATATTTCATACAGAAGCAAGCAGCAGGAACTGACAAATAAAATGGATGAACAGGTGAAGGAAACAGTATATCATTATATCAAACTATATATTATGTGTGTGTGTGTGTCTGTATGTTCTTTACAGTGAAGTAAGTGAAAAGAAATCGAACATATGTAAAGGTCGGAATATCTTAGATTGTAAAAATTGTAGAAATGAAGCCGCTCGGACTGCGTGGCAATGGTGTCTCGCTGCTTGGGGAATTGCAACGAGTACAACATCACCTTCAGGAGTTGTCCTTGGCCATGCAGTCTCAACACGCTTTTAAAGGCTTAGAAGGCTTACGGTCCGCACAATGTCTCCATGGCTTCCATGGTAGAATCCCTGCACGACATTCACCGAAGGTTTCCATCAAAAATGCTGAAAGGAAGTGCTTCAGGAAGTGAAGTAAGGGGGCGCGGTGGAGGACTCACCTTCCTTGAACGTGTTTTTCATTTGCATACCTGATTTCACTTATTGTCGCTTGTGACAAGCTGTTTTAAACCCCAAACTCACAATACATGTCAATACGTACTGCTTTTTAACATGTTCAAACCATGTGTTCAAATAGTTGTTCGGTTGTCAGGGCTCTTTCCACGGAGAAAGAATTGTTCAACGAAGCTTTCCAGCTAGTGAAACATGATTTCCCCACTGCCCACCAGTTGTCGTCGGGTCTCAAAGAGCGTTTCTGCCTGTGCGTCCACGAGTTTCTGTGTAAGCGTATGTCGCATGTGTACGTTACTGACGGATGCACAGAGGGCTGCCAGGCAAAGAGAAAACAAAGTATAGCATTCTATTGATTATTTTCTACATCTATTCCAATCCAAAGCAGGAGTTGTTAGAATGGGGAATGCTTCCCAATCAACGAGCATATTCTGTCATATCCTGTCTCCCTCTGTTCCATGTTTCCAGGGGGATGAGAGGGTCTGCAAGCCTGGAATGCCACTGCTGATCGAGCTTGGTTGCCACTCGACGCACTTGCAGGCGATCGCAACGAATCCGATGCACGTCAGGAAGTTGATTCCCCAGGCACCCGCAACGTTCGGAAGCACCAAGTCGATCAAGTAGATACGAAGATCCCCCAGGATTTCCATCCCATAGTGAACCACCTGTGAGCACACTGCTACGGATATGGCAATCAGAAAGTTCAAGATCCAAATCCAGGACTGGGTTGGATGACAACCTCGATGGGTATGTGACAAATTCTTGCCCATATCAGGTCTCCACACGTCATGCAAATGGATCGACTCAGGTCCCGAAGACGAAGCCGGAGCCGCAGCCTGCTCAGCCTGCTCCAGGCGAAGTGGAAGTCCTGCTTCTGAACCCACTTCATCCACATGGCTACCCACATCATCCACACCATCTTCGCGGTTGGAACCAAGTGGGGCCATTGAGATGTTCATTGCTGACCCAAACGTCGTGGAATCGCCTGGAATCGCGTAGAAATAAACCCTTCAGAGCCGCTGGCAAGAACCACAGACTGCAAGGCACTGCAAGTTGCTGGGAAATATGCCAAGATCCTGAGACAGCACAAGTTGTGGATGTTCTTTTGCTCACCCTTTTCAAGTGGCATGGCAGAAGCTCTTCTGGTATGTATGTGTGTGTGGTAAAATGTTATACATTTTTAAATTCTCACGCCATGCTATGTTATGTGGTGAAGTGCATTGTAGTGGTGTGTAGGTCACAGCGATTCTGTAGTTCATGTTTGCAACAAGACTGCTTTTCTCCTGTCATTCTCCGCCCGCATGACAGGTCTATTTCAAGGCATGTGAGCTTCAAAATCCTCGCACCCTCGGATTCTGAAGGATGCCCTCTATGATAACAGTCCGGTTCGCTCCTTGACAAGAATCAAACAACGTATTCAATGACTGTGAGGAAATAATTAACTCGGTTGAACATTCAAACGCAAAGACAGGCGCCACAACCTCTGCGCTCAAAAAAATCCTACGCAGCCTACATCCCAGCAGATTGTGAGGGAACTGGCCGAAAGGCTTCAAATTGAAGCCATTCCGAAAAAAACTTATAAGGCCTACGACCTTTAGCGGAAGATTCAGATGATTGAAACAATCAGGACGCGTCTTGAACTTTGGAACTCGGAAACACAATTTGCTGCTTTGTCCAGCGCTTTTTCCCCGAATTCTCTTGCAGTTGATGCGAATTACCAACTTGCCAAGTTGCTAACAACATCTAACAAATGCAGGAACCATAAAGACTTCAGCAGCAAAAGGACATGACTCACTTCCTTGCGCACAAGGACTCCCATGCGACGCGTCGGTTTGCTGCTCAAAACCAAAAAACGAACTGGGGAATGATGGATCTTGTAATGATCTTGTCATATTATGTCATCTTCACTTGCAGATTCATTCCAAATGGTCTTATTTGCAGCCACTGCAGCGAACGTGGCTGCCTAATCTCCAAGTTATCTATGAACTCAAGCATTTCTTCCGTCAGCACAATGTGATGGATCTCCCAGTTTCAGCACAAACTACCTCAGTACATCTCAGTACTGGACACTCAGCAGAAAATGAGAGAAGACGGCAAGGTTCATAGACTTCATACAGTCATACAGTCATACTGCTCAGCTTGGCTATGGGAACGAAAGGAACGAACCTCGCTTAGTGGAGCTTTCTCAAAGAAATTGTGCTGCAACCTTGGCACTGATAAGTCAGAGCAACCAGGAGTGGAGCAGGATGAAACAGAGAGTGCAAAGTCTTCTGTGCTTGCTGAGACAAAAATAGGTCAGTCATTCCTTCAAAGAATATCATCAAGACTTGCAGATTTCGAATGCAACAAAGACACAACCCACGGGCAGAAGGTCGTTCTACCGGATTAAACCTTCAAACTTGCTCTGGTGGCTTACTGGCTGATGTATTGAAATCTCTTCAAAACAAATAATTGTGTTGATCTATCACGCCTGAAGCAAGCATTGATCATACCTGCCATTCATCAATTTGCAAGAGATCGCAATAACATTAACACAGCCTGTCTTGACACATGTTGGACACATGGACATTTGCATGGAAGGGTTGACCGTTTCAGGTTTTTCTTTCACACACAAGTCTGAACAAGCAAAATCTGCATCCTTCTCAGGTCAAAGGCGTCTCGTGGCAGCCACGAGACGCAAAAGTGGGAAGGGTTGACAGTTTCAAGTTTGTTCACACTGAAAAGTCAGTTGCTGACAGTTCAGCTGAGTTCCCTGCCCACTCCTCGTGACCTGCGAGTGGAGTGCATCTCACTCATACTTCTGTCACAATATCTGTATCTTCTTGTCACTTTCTGCGTCCCAGTCCAGATCGTTTCGAGTCGTTGATCCTTCGAGATTCCAACCCAAGGGATGGTGCTCTTGATCGCACATCATCGAGTTCCTTGATTTTGCAAATCAGGGCGCTTAGCTACGACGCTACGACGCTACGACATGCTACGACTGTGTTTACAACTATTCAGTAACTGTGTCCCAATGATGCATTCGCTGACTCTCAACACCAAGTTGGGGACGGTGTTTCTCCACTTTGGAAACTCCTGACAAGACATTTGAAAGAAAGTGAACCAAAAGCAAGTGTACAGTTCCTGTTCACGTTTCCAAGATAGAATTCAGGCTTCAAAACTGCGACCATCCTCTTTCCTATCTGAGCCAAGCCTGTTCTTTACCGTTGCACCATGAGAATCTATCTTCAGATATTTTCAGAACCATCATGGCCCATCACAGCTGCCTCGGTGAAATTCAGCAGAGTGCTGAAGCCAGGCCAAACCTGCAAATCACTGCAATGGTTCTATGAATTTGCGTTGATTAATGATGATTAATGAATGTTCATTGCTTGTTCATCTTGTTCATTGTTGTTTCATTCCTTTTTGTTTTTTGATGCTTTTTGGGATGAACCATTGGAACAATTACCACAATCGGTGTCTAGTATCGCACTCCAGCCTCATCGGAAGGTGTGCCAAGACGCCGAAAGATCTTGAAGATCGTATCCTAATTTGCATTATATTCGCATGATCTTCAGAGCTACCAACTACCAAGTATGCAAGCAATAACCATTCGGTTTCTTGAATCAAAGCTGAGGTCATGTCTATCTGGCTGTCTCCTGGAAACAAAACCTCCAAGTCATGAAATAAAAACATGCCTTCATTTAATTGCCTTGGGATCCTTGAGTTCTTTCTATGAGCAAAATGTGTGGTCGTTCCCGGTGCCTGAGCAGTCGCCATCTCTGCAACGATACAGCCCAACGACCAAATATCAGTCGGTGTAGCATACCTTTCATTCGATCCAGAGCACACAGCTTCAGGCCACTAAATGCTCAACTGGATTCAACTGGGTCATGCACTTTCTATGCCCTAAAAGTATCTCCGGTGCCCTGTACCACAAAGTCACAACCTGGCGCAAGAAAAAGTCGCCCATGTTCTGGAGCTTACTGGCCCCTTACCATCTCTGAAATCTTTGAATCAATGCAGGTGCCATTTGACCGATTCAGTTTCCCTCTGCCGTCCTCGTGGGTGTAAGCCCGCAGTGGAACCTGGGTAAGCGACAGCGCGACAGCGTAGTGCTGACAGAATCATCATCGATATCACCCCGCTATCGATATCCTCACTATGCGCCTGATGCGGCTTCCAAGTTGTCGCTCATGAAACTGAGCGCCCAGCATCGAAAAGACGAGCAAGACCAAAATCAGCTAGCTTTAGGTGCTGGCCAGTTGAATCAACCAGCACGTTCTGGGGCCTGAAGTATTGAGAAGGCTTCTGAGCCCCGTCGCAAGACGTCACAAGTATCTCAAATCCAATCATGAAAGTTACAGTACATGGATACGTGTCACCATGTTCGCAACGCTCAGAATGCAGAAAAACACAGAGACTCAGTCAGACTGAGCATGCATCTTCAAGTCGCGGTGCAGAACTTGTCGCCCATGGCAGAATGCAGTGCCCCTGAAAAGTCTCAGAGTGCACCACGATGGCAAAACCTGTTGCAGACCTTCTACACCTAACAACAACTAGCAACAACTAACAACATACAGAAGTACAGAAATATACAGTACCCCTCTAGGAAGTATGCCTGTCACTCGACGCCACATGGACAAGTCTCCATGTTGGGAAGACAACGGTCGGCTTAGGCAGCTGAGCGCATGCCACTCCATCTTTTTAAACGAGATGAAGCACGAAATCGCGTTGACATATGTTAAAATGTGGGCTACTTTCAGAACTAAAGCGCGGACACGCTATCTAATCCTAATGAGCTACGCAGCTACCTCCAAGGGGCAACAGCAAGAGCCAAAGATGGTTGAAGCACTTTAAAGGGCTCAGTCTCTCTACAGTTGAAAGTCACCCTACAACATAAAATCGGGCCGCTTCTGTCTCTCATCAAGCCAATGTGCGGCACATCTTCTCACGGTATCAGATGCTTCCGTCAAGAATTCATGACCGTCACCATTCTGCAGCCAGTACAAGCTAACTTTGCCTCAGATTGATCGCAGCAATGGTAGAAATGGACAGGCATGCATTCACGATATGATCACCAGACACACTATGCCGAGCAGCATCTCGCCAAGGAAAACATTTGGTGGATGGTTTCCTTACATCACAACGACGTCCGATGCACCATTGCATAGAGCAGGATGAGCATTTACAAGAAACTTTATGAACCCTTTCCTATTCATTTGTCCTGCTCAATTCCGCCTGAGATGTTAGAAGAAAAAATGCCTGAGGAAAATTAACATGGCAAATTGGCAAAACAAGATTTGGCCCGTTCGTGGTGAGCCCAGCTTCGGGGAATGAAATCGGAACTTCCTCGTCAGCCTTGTCATAGATGGCATGAAGCCTGGTGTGCGTCCTGCCAAGGTACGAATTGCTTCAGAAAGTCTTAGCTTGAAATGAGACATGAATGGACCAATGAATGGAGATTGAAGAGTGCCACCAGCATAAGCCAAGGTTGATAAGGTTGGCATGGGATTGCAGTGTGGCAATGCAAGTCCTGACTTGTTGGGTTAGGCGCTTGCCAAGCATTGATGCTGCAGGAATTCCACTGTGGCAGAATGCCACTGCATCAATTGGTTTGTCCTGACAGGCTCGCGGCGTGCCAAGCAGCTACAATGCAGGTTGAAAGTGCGGAAAGATCACATGGACCCAACGTGACCCTTCAAAGGAAGCCCTCAGCAGGTCCATAAGGCAAAGGGCTGCATACAGTGCAACGACACCTTGGCTGGCACGATGCTCAAAAGAAATGCACTGGCAATCCTTGACAACTTGACATCAATCAAATAGTTCCGCAAACAGTGTGCATCAAAGCTACCACCCTGGCCAAAGCCACCAAAGAAAAACGGCAACGTGGAACTTCCTCGGCTGAGACGTAGAAAAACTTGCAATGCTTTCATTGCTGATGCAACTGCTCAGATTTGCAGGCAGGGTAAGATCGCAATGCACACCCCTACAGTAAAAGAAAGGCGGGCATCAAACAACGGGCTTACCATTCGCACCCATTCAAGTACAGTTATATATATATAATTGGAAGCATCTGCATCCTAGTGGCCCTGATTTGTTCCTAGAAATTGGCAAAGGGATCGGAGGATTCTGATCATGCCCGTTGCATCCGTTCTGTAGCACTAAGGAGTTGAACTCTGCAGGCCAGTAGCGAGAAGCTCCCTTGATTCGCTCTTCTTCAAGCTGCCTCACTACAAATGAGCCAGGGCACATCAAATCAAAACAAGACTTGGTATCAATTCATTACAATTCTTGTACATAAAATACCGTCACATGATGTAACATGTTGGGATCATTTTGAATCTTGAATATCTTTGGATTCTCTTTTTGTCCATGTTGCGCTCTTCTCTTGAGGCCCAGAGCAGCAGCTTCCACTTGCTGCACTGCATCGATCTCACTGGGGAGCAAAGGAATGTCGAAACTGGCAACCTGGGACAGTGAAGAGAGATGTAAAGAGGGATGCCAAATGATGCCATTGGGTTCACTGGGTTAGAAAAGGTTAGAAGTCTGAACGGGCTTGGGATATGCCTGGAAAATGCTTGGAAAATGAAGAAAAGGAGATGACAACTGTGTCGGGCAGTGTCCTAACCAACAAGGAGGTTTTAGTAAAAAGCTGGAGGGTTGAGGAGTCTTGCTAGCTGCTAGCTGGAAGGCGAGCGTATTGCCCACTGTGTTTTCATGGCGAATCTTGCGATAAGTGAAAACCAGCAAGGGTGGCTTCAGAATGGTCACTTCTGGTACAAGTGAATAGATGAGGCTGCGCTTAAGGACAACTGCCCGAAGGAAAACCTGAACGCTTGAACAAGAAGTTGGTAGAAAACAGAAAATCATTGGGAACAATGGCATGACTTCATGCAAATATGTCCATCCGTGGAGATTGCATACTTGCATATTCTCATATTTGCGGGGGCTCCTTAGGAAACGTGTGAACCTCAACATGCCCCAGAACACCCCTTTCTGCTTCTGAGCAAATCGACCCCTCTTGAGCGAGACAATTCTCCACATGGATTTTTGAGGTCATCATCCACGATACTGAAGCGAAGCCCTAGTTGCCTCAAATGCATGGGAGGCAATCAAGGAGCATGCAATCATTGGATCAGTTGCTCAAGAGCAGGGCAAAAAGCAGGTTCCGATTTCAATTCAACATCTTCCTATAAATTGCTGTCGAAGCGACACGGCATCATTGTCTGTCCTGAAACAGCTTGGATGAAGCTAACCACACGAGTCCATTCTAAACTGCCTCGCTGGAGAAATTGCGCGAAATCTCCATCTATGTTGCATCCAAGTCGCATATCGTACCTGATCTCCATGGCTTTCAACACAGGTGAAATGCAAAATGATCAAAATGGATTTGTGATTTGGTGAGTTTGGTGAGTTTGGTGAGTGATTTGCGGATATTTGATGAGTTTTGATGAGTTTTGATGAGTTTTGATGATCTTTGGGGTTGCACCTCTTGGGGCCGAGTTGCCACTTGAGGTCCTGCTCCAGCTGATGTGGTTCCAGGATGAGGACACGAAGCTCTCTGTTGACACAAAGCGTCTCGAGCCAATGCGCGTGTTCTTGGGGAATCTCTCCACGTCCCGGAAGCCAAAACAGTACAGCTTCTGCTTTCTCAGCAGAACATCCCAACTCTTGGGCAATAGCTGTTGGAGGAGCCTCAACAAATTTTTGGATTGCACCAGCAGGATGTGGAACCTTCTGGAAAAGGTTCTTCTCTTTCTGTATTCGCCACTCAATTTCTTCATCTGCATTTGTGTCTTCCCATTGCAGAAAGTCCAAATCCCAGCTTCGATTGTGTCGGGAAACATGATCCTTTTCAAGAGAAGTTTCAGGTACAGCGAGTGCTTGCCCTTCAGCGTTTCGCGATGGGTTCTCTTGGAGGCGGGGAAGGTGCAGGACTACGGCGTGCGTTCTTCCAATCTGCTTCGCATTTAGAACAGCCATGTTGAATCGCTCAGTGGTATACTCTTTGATCACAAATTGCATCTTCTTCTGCTTTACCAGCTCAGTCACTTCCAAGAGCATGTCGTTCAGAATTCTGGAATTTGTTGCAACGTCTCTGTTGAGCCACTCATCAAAACTGAATTGCAAGAGGCTTCCTTTCCACTTTTTCCCAGTTGCAAGAGTCACGGCTTGTTGGTTTGATCCGCCAGCCACTCCAAAGCAAACGAGGTCTCCAGTTTTTGCCAATGCCTGCACTAATTGATTTGTAGCAGCACCTCCAACACCATCGAGTGCCAATTGAGGCAAAGCTCGTTCCAGCTCTTCCAATCGTCCGCGAATGTCTTCAGAAGAGAGAAACACATGTGCAGCGCCTAGGCCGTGAAGCTTCTGTTTGATCCAGTCCTCGCCACTGTGCTTCCGCACCACGGCATAGACCAAAAAGCCCCTTGCAGCCAAGAGCTGGATCAGCACCTCATACTTCGAGACTGATTCCAAACGCTCAAAAAATTGGCTTTGCATCACATGCTGCCAAAAAGACTGAAATCATCTGAACTCATCTCAAATCGTCTGAAATCATCTGAAATCATCTGAAATCATCTGAAATCCATGCAATCTAATGTGATCCGTGTTTCTACTCCCAGGGACCTGCCCAATCAGACCTTGGCTGAAGGGACATGCAAGGTTGGCTTGGAAGCTGTAGAATCTCTCAAAGTGTCTCAAGAAAGGCTCCTGAAGAAATGGCTTCAACGTGTTTGGGTTCCAAGGAGCCATTGGCACAGTTGAGGATCACAGGGTCTCCAGGAGCGAGCTTGATGGTATGCTCCTGAAAGTTTGAATCAAGCTCCCATCTCTAATCGCAGGTACATGATGTACATGATATACATGTGGTTGTAGCCGGTTGTAGCCGGTTGTAGGCTTCAAGGCGATGCAAACCCGGCCTTGACTAACAGACATGCGGCTCCAATAGATTTCGCCAGGGCCTCAGCCAATGGGCCAAGAGAGCGTCCGATCCCAACTCACACTTCGACTTTGCCAAGCTGTGCCAAGCTGTGCCAAGTTGCCATGTTCGCCATGGTGAGAGGTGAATCCTCTGGAGCTTGGCAAACGCCAGTTGAAGGGGCTAATTTGGAGCTGCGACATCCCGTCTTACGAACAGTCATTGAATATATATGCAAGAATTCATAAATATGTTTAATCGCAATCCATAGCAATCGAAGGGAAAACTTCGTTATATACTCAGTTGTCCCTCAGTCCAAGCATCCGCTGAAAACTCCAGCTTGGCGCACCTCAAGAAATGGTGGGGAGTGGCTCCGTGGCTCTCAACATCTGCGGTGCCAACACCGAAACACCGAAGCCGGCCTGTCCGCTTTCCAGACGCCCAACACTCGGCCAGTGCCCGGAGGCATTGCATCCTGCAGCCAGCAGCAGGAATGGCACGTTCAAGTCCACTTCGTATATGGATGTATATGGCATATGATAGTTGCCTGTATATCGGTAAATGTGTCTATAATGTTCTATATTACTGTATCATCATGTATCATCTATGTCCACCAATTAGCACGTGCATCTCCAAAGGTCCAGATCAACTTCACCATCAGCGTCCACATCATGTAGTGGAAGTACCCAGTCTCCTGCATGCAAGTCTCGCAGATCCCAAGCTTCAATGGCCCTAACAAATTCGGCATAATTCCGCTACAAATTCTACAAGAAATTCGCAAAGCCTGGCAGGACAGGCAGGACGGTCCTGGCTTTAGGTTTTTGACTCTAGGCCCCACCATTCGCACTTGGCCGATGCCCTGAGTGCCATAGACGTCGCCACAGCTGTACCTAGCGGCTGCCCAGTCTTATTTTGATAAGCGTGCCATAGCATGCTATTGCTATCAATGACATTCAATGACATTCCAGCAATGTCCAGCCTGTTTTCAGCATTGAGGTCAGACATCCTCGGGTGATGGTCGACCGTGCGAAGTTTGCTTCGAGAGTAAAGCAAAGTAGCACAAGTAGCACAAGTAGCACTTGTTCTGCCGAGATTCGTCAATGGCACAGCCCTCATCTGCACCAACACCTGCCCTTCGATCAGTCTGGAGTTGTCGATGAATGGATAGGTGTCAACCTCAGATTGAATGGATTCACAGCCGACATTTTGAGATTTGAAACTAAGTCCAGGCTAGACGAAGAGTTCGCTTGCCCTCCTCCACAGCGAAATGCAAAGGATACAGAATCTATAGGGGAAAACTGACAAAGGATTCAAATGGATTCAATGTCCTTCTCTGTGACAGTAAGATGGGCAACTGCTTGCTCGTACTCTTCTGGAACTGGCCTGAGAGGCAACGGATCTAGAACAAACATGAAGAAATGGCATTGATCTAAAGGATATTTAAGGAAATTTGAGGATCACGCGTTCTTTACCTGTTTTCAAAACTCAGGGACACTCAGGGAACACAGGGTGCCTAGTTCTGGCCAAGTAGCAAGCACTCAAGGGTGCGACCCTCCATCATAGCTTGCAAAGCTGGTGGGAGCTGTACCTACGAAGAGAGATGAAAAGAGTGGAATCCGATGTAAGCGTTTTGTGAATGCCAATATCCGCCGACCCCGGCAGACGCAAGGGGGAGCGCGCCAGGGAATAAGACAAGCAAAGACAGGCAAGTTTAGCCGCACTAGCAGCAAGAGCAGCGGCAGTGGCAGTAGCAGCGGCAGCAGCGAGTCCAGCACTAGCAGTAAGAGCAGCCAGCAGCAGCAGTCAAAATTGGAGGATTTCTTTCCAGTAGGATTTCAGAAGGGACGTTCCGGCGTCCGGGGAACTTGTTATTGCGAATGGTTTCGCGTACGATGTCTGGCTGTTGGTTTCGTGCCTTGGAGGCTGGTTCATGTCACGGCAGGAGCAGCAGCAGCAGCAGCAGCAGCAGGCAGCTAGTAGTCAGCAACCAGGAGCCAGCAGCCAGAACAACAACAAGAACAACAAGAACAACAACAACAGCAGCAGCAACAGCAGAGATCAAAACAGCCAGGAGCCAGCAGCCAGCTAGCCAGCAGCCAGTAAGCAGCAGCCAGGAGCCAGCAGCCAGCTAGCCAGCATCCAGTGAGCAGGCAACAGGCAGCCAGTAGTCAGCGGCCAGGAGCCAGCGGTCCCACTACCACTACCACTACCTGGTATATTGATGGTATAATGATGATGGTATATTGATCATTATCCATCAATCATCATGGTGTTAATGATGGATATCCGCCGACCCCGGCCGACGCAAGGGGGAGCGCGTAAGGGAAGAAGATGGAAGAAAAGGACTTGCAGCAGCCAGCAGGCATACTTGCAGCAGCCAGCAGGCATGTGAGGCAGCAGCAGCAGCAGCAGCATTGAGCAAGAGCAACAGCAACAGAACTAGCAACAGCAACCGCAGCAACAACAACAACAAGAACAACAACAACAACAACAAGAAGAACAACAACAACAACAACAAGAACAAGAACAACAACAACCACAAAGACAAACATAAACCCAAACAACAACAAACAACAATAACAAACAACACCAAGCAACAACAAATAACAAGAAACAACAAGAAACAACAACCAACAACAACAAACCATGACCCTTTGCCGGGGGACTCTGTTGGGTCCCCCTCCCACCGGTCACGTACCTCGATTCCCTGACTCCGGGGTTTTTGTTTCACCGGTGGGGGGTCCTTCCCGGAGTCTCCTCGAAGTACGTGGGGCTCCTCGGGTTGCCCTTCCCGCCTGCCCTTTTTTTGGGTTCATGGTTGGTGGCTTCTTCGTCCTTCACTGCTATGGTGTTTCAGGCTGGCGGGTCTGGCGTTTTGGCGTGTCAGAAGCTGTAAGTTGAAGAGGTAGTTGAAGTGCTAGATCTCGAGGATTTCAGAAGGGACGTTAGGGAGTTTTTTGGTGTGATTTGGTGGCTTCTTCGTCCTTCACTGCCTGGTATTTCAGGCTGGTGGGTCCGGCGTTTTGGCGTGTCAGAAGTTGTAAGTTGAAGAGCTAGTTGAAGAGCTAGGTCGCTAGGATTTCAGAATGGACGTTAGGGAGTTTTTTGGTGCGATTTGGTGGCTTCTTCGTCCTTCACTGCCATGGTGTTTCAGGCTGGCGGGTCCGACAATTTTGGCGGCTCAGAAGCTGTAAGTTGAAGAGCTAGTTGAAGAGCTAGTTCTCTAGGATTTCGGAAGGGACGTCAAGCCTCGGGACAGCATTTGACTTCGTTGTGGAGCTGCAGCAGCCACCAGCAGCAGCACCAGCAGCAGGCAGCAGCAGGGCGCAGCAGGCAGCGGTAGGCAGCGGCAGGCAGCGGCAAAGTTGCAATTTTAAGTAGGGTTTCAGACGTGACGTTAGGCCCTTTTTTGGGGTTCCTTTGTTACGTTTTGGGCACGAAATTAGGTGGTGTTTTGCTGTTTCGGATGTGTTTCGAAAAGGGTGTCTGGCTGTTTGTTTCTTGCTTTGGAGGCTGTTTGATTGCAGCAGCACCACAGCAGCACCACAGCAGCAGCAGCAGCAGCCACCAGCAGCAGCACCAGCAGCAGGCAGCAGCAGGGAGCAGCAGGCAGGCAGCCGCAGGCAGCCGCAGGCAGCCGCAGGCAGCTGCAGGCAGCAGCAGGCAGCAGCAGGCAGCAGCAGACACCAGCAGAGGCAGCAGCAGGCAGCAGCAGACACCAGCAGAGGCAGCAGCAGGCAGCAGCAAGCAGCAGCAGGCAGCGGCAGGCAGCGGCAGGCAGCGGCAAAGTTGCAATTTTATAGTAGGGTTTCAGAAGTGACGTTAGACCCTTTTTCGGGGTTCCTTTGCTACGTTTTGGGCACGAAATTAGGTGGTGTTTTGCCGTTTCGGCTGTGTCTCGAAAAGGGAGTCTGATTGTTGGTTTCTTGCTTTAGAAGGTGGGCAGCAAGAGCAGCAGCAGTAGCGGCAGCAGCAGCAGCAGCCATCAGCAGCCACCAGCAGCAGCAGCAGCAGTCAAAATTGGATTCAATTGGATTAGATTTCGAGCAAGATAAGAGAGGATATAAAAGAGGATACGAGAGGATTTCTAGTAGGATTTCAGAAGGGACGTTTCGGCCCCCGGGAACCTGTTATTGCGATTGATTTTGCGTCATTTTCGGCACGAAATTAGGTGGTGTTTTGCCGTTTCGGCTGTGTCTCGAAAAAGCAAAATTGGATTCAATTGGATTAGATTTCGAGCAAGATAAGAGAGGATATAAAAGAGGATACGAGAGGATTTCTAGTAGGATTTCAGAAGGGACGTTTCGGCCCCCGGGAACCTGTTATTGCGATTGATTTTGCGTCATTTTCGGCACGAAATTAGGTGGTGTTTTGCCGTTTCGGCTGTGTCTCGAAAAAGATGTGTGCCTGTTGGTTTATTGCATCAGCAGCCACCAGCAGCAGCAGCAGCCGCAGCAGTCAAAATTGGATTGGACTGGATTAGATTTCTAGCAGGATAGCAGGATAAGAGAGGGTTTCTAGTAGGATTTCAGAAGGGGCGTTCCGGCCTCCAGGGAACTTGTTCTTGCGATTGATTTTGCGTCATTTTCGGCACGAAATTAGGTGGTGTTTTGCCGTTTCGGCTGTGTCTCGAAAAAGGTGTCTGATTGTTGGTTTCTTGCTTTAGAAGGTGGGTAGCAAGAGCAGCAGCAGTAGCGGCAGCAGCAGCAGCAGCCATCAGCAGCCACCAGCAGCAGCAGCAGCAGTCAAAATTGGATTCAATTGGATTAGATTTCGAGCAAGATAAGAGAGGATATAAGAGAGGATACGAGAGGATTTCTAGTAGGATTTCAGAAGGGACGTTTCGGCCCCCGGGAACCTGTTATTGCGATTGATTTCGCGTCATTTTCGGCACGAAATTAGGTGGTGTTTTGCCGTTTCGGCTGTGTCTCGAAAAAGGTGTCTGATTGTTGGTTTCTTGCTTTAGAAGGTGGGCAGCAAGAGCAGCAGCAGTAGGGGCAGCAGCAGCAGTAGCGGCAGCAGCAGCAGCAGCCATCAGCAGCCACCAGCAGCAGCAGCAGTCAAAATTGGATTCAATTGGATTAGATTTCGAGCAAGATAAGAGAGGATATAAGAGAGGATACGAGAGGACTAGTAGGATTTCAGAAGGGACGTTTTGGCCCCCGGGAACCTGTTATTGCGATTGATTTTGCGTCATTTTCGGCACGAAATTAGGTGGTGTTTTGCCGTTTCGGCTGTGTCTCGAAAAAGGTGTCTGATTGTTGGTTTCTTGCTTTAGAAGGTAGGCAGCAAGAGCAGCAGCAGTAGCGGCAGCAGCAGCAGCAGCCATCAGCAGCCACCAGCAGCAGCAGCAGTCAAAATTGGATTCAATTGGATTAGATTTCGAGCAAGATAAGAGAGGATATGAGAGAGGATACGAGACGATTTCTAGGAGGATTTCGGAAGGGACATTTCGGCCCCCGGGAACCTGTTATTGCGATTGATTTTGCGTCATTTTCGGCACGAAATTAGGTGGTGTTTTGCGTTTCGGCTGTGTCTCGAAAAAGGTGTCTGATTGTTGGTTTCTTGCTTTAGAAGGTGGGCAGCAAGAGCAGCAGCAGTAGCGGCAGCAGCAGCAGCAGCCATCAGCAGCCACCAGCAGCAGCAGCAGCAGCAGCACTCAAAATTGGATTCAATTGGATTAGATTTCGAGCAAGAAAAGAGAGGATATAAGAGAGGATACGAGAAGATTTCTAGTAGGATTTCAGAAGGGACGTTTCGGCCCCCGGGAACCTGTTATTGCGATTGATTTTGCGTCATTTTCGGCACGAAATTAGGTGGTGTTTTGCCGTTTCGGCTGTGTCTCGAAAAAGGTGTCTGATTGTTGGTTTCTTGCTTTAGAAGGTGGGCAGCACCAGCAACAGCAGCAGTAGCGGCAGCAGCAGCAGCAGCCATCTTGCTTTAGAAGGTGGGCAGCAAGAGCAGCAGCAGTAGCGGCAGCAGCAGCAGCAGCCATCAGCAGCCACCAGCAGCAGCAGTCAAAATTGGATTCAATTGGATTAGATTTCGAGCAAGATAAGAGAGGATATAAAAGAGGATACGAGAGGATTTCTAGTAGGATTTCAGAAGGGACGTTTCGGCCCCCGGGAACCTGTTATTGCGATTGATTTTGCGTCATTTTCGGCACGAAATTAGGTGGTGTTTTGCCGTTTCGGCTGTGTCTCGAAAAAGCAAAATTGGATTCAATTGGATTAGATTTCGAGCAAGATAAGAGAGGATATAAAAGAGGATACGAGAGGATTTCTAGTAGGATTTCAGAAGGGACGTTTCGGCCCCCGGGAACCTGTTATTGCGATTGATTTTGCGTCATTTTCGGCAACAGCAGCAGTAGCGGCAGCAGCAGCAGCAGCCATCTTGCTTTAGAAGGTGGGCAGCAAGAGCAGCAGCAGTAGCGGCAGCAGCAGCAGCAGCCATCAGCAGCCACCAGCAGCAGCAGCAGCAGTCAAAATTGGATTCAATTGGATTATTATTTCGAGCAAGATAAGAGAGGATATAAAAGAGGATACGAGAGGATTTCTAGTAGGATTTCAGAAGGGACGTTTCGGCCCCCGGGAACCTGTTATTGCGATTGATTTTGCGTCATTTTCGGCACGAAATTAGGTGGTGTTTTGCCGTTTCGGCTGTGTCTCGAAAAAGCAAAATTGGATTCAATTGGATTAGATTTCGAGCAAGATAAGAGAGGATATAAAAGAGGATACGAGAGGATTTCTAGTAGGATTTCAGAAGGGACGTTTCGGCCCCCGGGAACCTGTTATTGCGATTGATTTTGCGTCATTTTCGGCACGAAATTAGGTGGTGTTTTGCCGTTTCGGCTGTGTCTCGAAAAAGATGTGTGCCTGTTGGTTTATTGCATCAGCAGCCACCAGCAGCAGCAGCAGCCGCAGCAGTCAAAATTGGATTGGACTGGATTAGATTTCTAGCAGGATAGCAGGATAAGAGAGGGTTTCTAGTAGGATTTCAGAAGGGACGTTTCGGCCCCCGGGAACCTGTTCTTGCGATTGATTTTGCGTCATTTTCGGCACGAAATTAGGTGGTGTTTTGCCGTTTCGGCTGTGTCTCGAAAAAGGTGTCTGATTGTTGGTTTCTTGCTTTAGAAGGTGGGCAGCAAGAGCAGCAGCAGTAGCGGCAGCAGCAGCAGCAGCAGCAGCATCAGCAGCCACCAGCAGCAGCAGCAGTCAAAATTGGATTCAATTGGATTAGATTTCGAGCAAGATAAGAGAGGATATAAGAGAGGATACGAGAGGATTTCTAGTAGGATTTCAGAAGGGACGTTTCGGCCCCCGGGAACCTGTTATTGCGATTGATTTTGCGTCATTTTCGGTACGAAATTAGGTGGTGTTTTGCCGTTTCGGCTGTATCTCGAAAAAGGTGTCTGATTGTTGGTTTCTTGCTTTAGAAGGTGGGCAGCACCAGCAACAGCAGCAGTAGCGGCAGCAGCAGCAGCAGCCATCAGCAGCCACCAGCAGCAGCAGCAGTCAAAATTGGATTCAATTGGATTAGATTTCGAGCTTAGATTTCGAGCAAGATAAGAGAGGATATGAGAGAGGATACGAGACGATTTCTAGTAGGATTTCAGAAGGGACGTTTCGGCCCCCGGGAACCTGTTATTGCGATTGATTTTGCGTCATTTTCGGCACGAAATTAGGTGGTGTTTTGCCGTTTCGGCTGTGTCTCGAAAAAGGTGTCTGATTGTTGGCTTCTTGCTTTAGAAGGTGCGCAGCACCAGCAACAGCAGCAGTAGCGGCAGCAGCAGCAGCAGCCATCAGCAGCCACCAGCAGCAGCAGCAGCACTCAAAATTGGATTCAATTGGATTAGATTTCGAGCAAGAAAAGAGAGGATATAAGAGAGGATACGAGAAGATTTCTAGTAGGATTTCAGAAGGGACGTTTCGGCCCCCGGGAACCTGTTATTGCGATTGATTTTGCGTCATTTTCGGCACGAAATTAGGTGGTGTTTTGCCGTTTCGGCTGTGTCTCGAAAAAGGTGTCTGATTGTTAGTTTCTTGCTTTAGAAGGTGGGCAGCACCAGCAACAGCAGCAGTAGCGGCAGCAGCAGCAGCAGCCATCTTGCTTTAGAAGGTGGGCAGCAAGAGCAGCAGCAGTAGCGGCAGCAGCAGCAGCAGCCATCAGCAGCCACCAGCAGCAGCAGCAGCAGTCAAAATTGGATTCAATTGGATTAGATTTCGAGCAAGATAAGAGAGGATATAAAAGAGGATACGAGAGGATTTCTAGTAGGATTTCAGAAGGGACGTTTCGGCCCCCGGGAACCTGTTATTGCGATTGATTTTGCGTCATTTTCGGCACGAAATTAGGTGGTGTTTTGCCGTTTCGGCTGTGTCTCGAAAAAGCAAAATTGGATTCAATTGGATTAGATTTCGAGCAAGATAAGAGAGGATATAAAAGAGGATACGAGAGGATTTCTAGTAGGATTGCAGAAGGGACGTTTCGGCCCCCGGGAACCTGTTATTGCGATTGATTTTGCGTCATTTTCGGCAACAGCAGCAGTAGCGGCAGCAGCAGCAGCAGCCATCTTGCTTTAGAAGGTGGGCAGCAAGAGCAGCAGCAGTAGCGGCAGCAGCAGCAGCAGCCATCAGCAGCCACCAGCAGCAGCAGCAGTCAAAATTGGATTCAATTGGATTATTAGATTTCGAGCAAGATAAGAGAGGATATAAAAGAGGATACGAGAGGATTTCTAGTAGGATTTCAGAAGGGACGTTTCGGCCCCCGGGAACCTGTTCTTGCGATTGATTTTGCGTCATTTTCGGCACGAAATTAGGTGGTGTTTTGCCGTTTCGGCTGTGTCTCGAAAAAGCAAAATTGGATTCAATTGGATTAGATTTCGAGCAAGATAAGAGAGGATATAAAAGAGGATACGAGAGGATTTCTAGTAGGATTTCAGAAGGGACGTTTCGGCCCCCGGGAACCTGTTATTGCGATTGATTTTGCGTCATTTTCGGCACGAAATTAGGTGGTGTTTTGCCGTTTCGGCTGTGTCTCGAAAAAGATGTGTGCCTGTTGGTTTATTGCATCAGCAGCCACCAGCAGCAGCAGCAGCCGCAGCAGTCAAAATTGGATTGGACTGGATTAGATTTCTAGCAGGATAGCAGGATAAGAGAGGGTTTCTAGTAGGATTTCAGAAGGGACGTTTCGGCCCCCGGGAACCTGTTATTGCGATTGATTTTGCGTCATTTTCGGCACGAAATTAGGTGGTGTTTTGCCGTTTCGGCTGTGTCTCGAAAAAGGTGTCTGATTGTTGGTTTCTTGCTTTAGAAGGTGGGCAGCAAGAGCAGCAGCAGTAGCGGCAGCAGCAGCAGCAGCCATCAGCAGCCACCAGCAGCAGCAGTTGAACCAGCAAAATCCCTATACCAAGGGGCCCAGCTTCTTCAAAAATTGCACCCCGGAATCTACTACTCGCAGGGTGCAATTGATATATTTCTTAGGTTGGTACCAAGATTTCCCTGCTTCAACAAGTAACCAAATGTAGCTAATCCACCATACTTGCTTCCGGGGTCGGCGGCAGGGGCGGCAGCCCTTAAATAAGACGATGTAAGACGCATGAGCCCCAGGAAGTTTGTCTCGCGCCCATGGTCAAGAGGTCTGAAGCGCCTTGACAGCTTTCTGGCTTGCAGTCTCCTTGGGCTTGGCAGGAGCCTCAAGTGACTCAAGTGGTTCACAAATGACAGAACTCAGAAAGGCAATCAGCGTCTTCGTTTGAGAAGAGAACTCGATGTGCTCGGTGCTTTTGTGCTTCAAAATGACATGTTTCTTGAGGAAGGCAAGGGGCAAAGAACTTCTATGGGCCAGATGGGCAGTGATAGGTGACGAGCTTCGATGGGCCAACTGTTCTGTCTGAGATCTGGACTTCCCTTGGAGCACCGCATTCCTGGACAAGTGAAGAGGGGGAGAGGACCGGGTGGCTCAGTGTGCTCAGTCCATTGGTGCACGCAGACTTTCATTGAAACTTTCATGGAAAACTCCTGGTGGTACTCTTAAAATCTCTTAAATCTCTGTCCCTTAATCAGCCTTAATCATACTCTTGGTGTGTTTCCTGAAACTACTCCTGGTGTCTCAGTGATATCAGTGATTCTCAAGCAAATTTCTCCTGGCAAAACTTGGCTGATGCGCCCAGCTCCAGGTTGCACTTCCAGCAGCGAAGCTCTTCCTCTGTCCAGATGTGTCCAGATGTGTCCAGGATGCTTCAAGATCAGCGGCAAACACAGCTACACAAGAAACAATGTGGATTCGGATCTTGCCTTTGGGGGGGTTGGAACATGAGCTGCAGAATCTTCGTAGTAGCGGCGTCCTTTGCGCACCTTGTGGCTACTGTACTTGCACAAACATCTACTGAATCTACTGTAGTGCCTGCAGTGCACTTATGGATCTTATGGGTTCCAGATTACACGCTGGGCCACTGGCATCTTCTGGCACGTCTGTTTTTCCTGTCTCATCATATCTCTGTCTCAGAGCTACCTCGGTTGATGTACATGTTGAGGGCCCAGTTTGGGAAAATCTGCTTTCACCGTCACGTTGTGAGAATCCAACGACGGTGAGAGAATCCAAAGAAACAAATCGTATCTTCGATTAGATCGCCACAAGAAGTGACACAGAAGAAGCGTGGCAGTCCAAGATGCACTGCATAAGATTTGGTAGGCAGCTTGCATCTCCGCAAACGCTTCAGGGTCACCACCTGGCCAGTCTAAAACCCTGGGTGGAGGGGTTTTTTCGAAAACAACACGTCTGACGTTGAAAACATGTGAAAACTGATCGCATTGTCCTGGGACTGAGAAGGGGACCTTTGTCGGGATGCAACTGAACGGCAAGCTTTCGATATGCAGCGCGAATGCCAGAGGTGCTAGCATCCTTGCTGCGTGGGCGAACAAGAGACGTTAATTCATAAGGAGAAAGCTGACAGCATCTGACAGCATGTTTCGTTGGGTGCAATTCCTCCTCCTCCTCCCTCCGTCCCTCCCTCCCTCCCCTCCCTCCTTTCAACATGTTTCAACAAAGCCTATTCCATCCTATTCCTGCGCCTCACCCTCGCGAGCACCCAGTCACTTTTTTGGAGTCGAGGAATGTAGAAACTAGGGTGCAAAACGTTTCAAGCTTCAGTCACTAACTAAGTGTCCGTCACAAACCATCATGCGGGCATGTGTGGTCGACCACTGCGATCGCTGCCACCACAACAACGACAACCACTACAGTTACACTATCACTGATACTATCACCACAAAAAAAAGTAGCCATGAAGAGTAAATAGAAGACACATCAGTCTGGCAATGCACCCAAGATCCCTGTGCACAAGGAAGACAATGCACTAAGAAAAAAAAACTATTCGTGACCCAAACAAGACGCCTTCATACAGATTCATACAGTATCTCTTTGGGGATGCTTGTGAACAATGGAAACAAACAAGTATGACAAAAGAGGGCAAGGCAGAGACAAGGCAAACACAAGGCAGAGACAAGGAAGAAGCAAGCAAGGGAGAGCAACTGGGGGTCAGGTAAGAACAACGATTGGGAGAAACGATCTAACCCATGGAGGAGCGAGACTGGTTTCTTTTCCAGTGACATTGCCAGGAGAATTGCGGGTAGCTTAGAGAAACAAGAGACAACTGCAAGATACTGCAAGCTTCTTGTGGAGGAACTGAATTCAACCTTGTTCTCAACCTGATATATGATCAAAGTACCACTGCACAAAAGTTCACATCAGCAGAACCAGGACAATTTATATAATGCAAATCCAACATCTGCTGTTGTCTTGGTATGAGAAAGTGCTCTACAGGTCAAATCAATGTTCTACAGAAAATGCTTCCGGAAAGATTTCCAAGAGCAGAAAACATTTGTAACATTTGTCGCAACTGGTCGCAACTAGTCACAGCTGTCATGCTAGAATCCGGTAAAACTAAAATGAAAGACTCAGTTAAAATGAAATACGCTAAAATCCGCTAAAACTCAAGTTGAAGAGTTGACCCACAAGGACAGCTTCTGGCAGCTGGAAGCTCGAGTCTAAGCTTGAGTGCCTAAACAGAAACAGAAAACACATGAAAACACGAGGTTCCGAATGTTCCGGCGCAAAACCGGTCCTTTGCAACACCCATGACATCGTAAAGGTTTCTTGGCCCAGTTGGCGACACCATGGCGCTCAGCTGTGAAATCCAATCTTTAAATCTTTACTTTTGGCGTAAGGCGAGGTCACCTAGGTCGGCTCTGTGCATGCTCATCATGCTTGGGCTAGCGCCTATTCACCTATTCATGATTCCTATAGCTGCCACACAAAGACCAATGTCGCCTTCGAGATCTGTTGGTTGCTGGGAAAACCGTGCAGTGGCGATGTGATCCCTCTGCATAAGTTGGTTTGCTAATGTTCAATGAGTGATTCAATAACATGTACTGTATCACCTGTGCCTGTATCCTTGAAGCCAGAGCAAATTGAAATCCAGGGCAAAAAGGTGTTGAGCTTCATAGGAATGTTCCATCGTTTGAAGGCAAACATCATCCAAAGAGTGAAGCACGATCACAAAATCAGGAAAACTCAAAAGACAATCCTCACCTGATGCACTGAAAGGCTGCATTCTTCAAAGCATGTGGATTCCTGAAAGCACCGTTCCTGCCAATATCTTCTTCCCAGATTGTGCCCAAGTCATCCAGCCCAAAAAATACTCGGAAAGCAGCATATACGTGTGTCTCAAATGCAAATTCGGTCCTTTTCAAGAAGATGCGTAAATCCTTAGTGCCGAATTGCAAAGTGTACAAGTGTGATCAAGTGTGTACATGAATTGGCGTCACAATACATCCTGCGATAGTCAGTCGAGGCCCTAACCATGTCCACGTACTCAAAGACCAAGTATAAGGCTCGATCCAAAGAAAACACATCGTAAAGCCTACGAAAAGTCGGTTGCAATCACTGGGTCACTTTCTCTCTGCAGTCCGAATTTCAGTTTCTGTTGAGTTTCACAAAACACGCAAAAGCCTGATCACATTTGGGTGATCACACTCCTTGAGAAGTGACACCTGGCAAAACATGGCAAGTCAAGACATGAGAAAAATTGCAGGGCCGCTCAAGCTCGCTTCGGAAGTGTCTTAAAAGACATGGCCTCTCGGATGGCAGTTGCAGGCACCTTCGAGGGTTGAAGAATGTTACAGGATGTTACAGGCAAAAGAATGATCAGGAAAAATGGAAAAAAAGGAGCCAATAACAATAACAATAACCTGAGCTTGGAACGCCATCTTCGTCCATAACAATTGGAATCCTTTTTAGCGCCCTGACCTGCACGGCTTTTTCATAGCTGGCCAAGGCTTTTCATGGCCGTATCAACCAGCAGAACGATGACATGAGATACATGGAACTCTTCTCGGACAAACTACCAGTCGGACTTTCATCTCATAGTTCAAAGAGGAATGGTCCGGTTGTGCGCCGCTTTTGGGCATCTGCGGCCTGTTGAGTCTGATGGCAAGCTGCTTTGTACACCTTTCAGAACATGCAGATGAAAAACAAACGTCGGCGAAATGACGCAACAAGATGCAACAAGGCTGATGGAGTTGGTCTGGATGGTCTGGCTGGTGTTGGAGGTTCGCCGGGGCTACTACCTTCCCGTAGGTCCCTTCTCCAAGCTTTTGTATGACTTGAAATCTTTCAAGGACCTGCAACAGCACAAGCACAGTCAGCTGAATCAGCTGAATCAGCTGAGTCAGCTCCAACTATGCACCAAAGCTTCACCCAGGTCTTCTTGCCTCTACCGCAGCTTCATCATCATCTATCATACCAAGCCCTTGGCAGCGATGCTGACCTGCGAAAGAATACCATGCTACCATGCTGCTATGATTCGTGTTAATTGATGTTAATTGAATTGTGCATTCTTCTCCTGGCCCCACCTGCAGTCGCTCGCCTCAGGGATGGCAACGTTTGGAACCCAGGAACGAGCTTGGAACGCAGTGGAAACCTGAAGCTGAGGCCAGGGCCGCTATCGGTCAGGTGCGGCTTTCAGCTTCAGCTAAGAGCTCATGATGGCTCGTTTAGCTCTAACAGCATACTACAAGCCGAAACCACCAGGACGGAGACTTTGACAAAGGAACAGACAACCTTTGCAGACTGTTCCAGATTTCCAATGATGCACCACTGGTGTCACAGTCATCATGGCTCGCTGAGCAGGAAAAATACATCTCTTTTTGCTGCACACTTGCTGCTTTGCAGCAGTCTGTTCTCTAGTCCTGATTAACGATCCTTGCTCGGTGCGGTTGAGCGACATGTGCAACATAACAATTATGACACTATGACCATCTGGCAAATTTAGATTCTCAAATGCTAAACTCGCAGCCATTGAGGTTCACCTATCCTAAGTGCCGTAATCATCCTTCAGTCGCACAACTGACTTGCAAACGAGCAAAATCAACGGCATGTCAGGTGCGACGTGAAGAGATCATGGGAGAGCACTGGGTTCTTGTACCTGATGTGTGTTCTCATACCCTCTGACGTATATATATATATATATCGTATGTAGGCACTATCTATAAAGTAGATTCCGACGTAGATACATGCTCACTATGTCTCATAATGTAGCTGCATGTCTCTTCCGCCACCAAACATTTGCAGACCGCAAAAGCCGCCGCAACTGCCTGGTCTTCAAACAATAAGTTTTTTAGACAATGGCTTCATTGGCCAATAGTCAGATATAGTCAGAACATCTGCAAGGTCTTGATCACCTTCGTCACCTTCGTCACCTTCGTCATCGACCCATCATTCGCCAAAGCAATCCTCGCTTCTTCTTTGAGGCTTGAGGGCTTCCACTGAAGGCTTCTAGGAAGGAAGCTACTTGCACGTCGCCTTGACTCGTCTTTTGCGCCAGCCACATGGCTGTATGAATGTTGGCTGTAGGTACTCCTGCTGAAGCAAGTGCCTCCATGAAATCACCAGGCTCCAATGTACGAGACTCAGCTTCGATCACCTGATGGTTTAGCACCTGTCTCAGCTCATGCACTGGAATGCTTCCTTGAGCCCATTCAACATATCCTTTCCAGGCTCCCTGACTCCGCAACTGTCTCATGTTGGCAGCAACTGCTTCTACGCTTCCGACTGCAAGAAGTGAAACAGCTTCTCTTCTGGACAATCCCAAGGGTAGTGATGCCACTACAGCAGCCAATGTTGGAATATCCAGGCCTGTACCCCATAGGCCCAGCAAAGCAGGTAGTCGATCTGCTTGGAACGCATGGCTTTCCATGATGGCATCCGTCCTGGCACTCACAGCCTGGATCTCCTCTGCTGGAGCATCAGCAGCTTCAGCTGGAGCGGGCAAAACACCGCCAGGGACTGACCTTGGCGCATGAGACCCGCTGAAGCGCTCAGCAAATTCCTCGTAGTCGACTAAACCTCCGGAGTTCTTGTCTGCCATCAGAAGGAGAGAAGTTAATTGATCTGACCTCAAGCAGAAGCTGAGAAATCTATACAAGTCTGCCAGGTACACGGTTTTAGGATTAAGGCTGCAATTCATCCTCTATCCTCACCTTGTCGCATCTTATAGCAGTGCAAATCCAAGCGCTTGACGTCAAATATCTCTCTGTCTCCATGATGGCTCGCCTCACATGCACATCTCACGCAGAATCATTTGCAGAGCATCTGCTACTTGTGCTGAATGACGCTTCCAAAGCTGATTCCAAATCCCCCACCTGAAAGCTGATTCAGGTGCAAGTCGCATGCCACCAACGCATCGCTGTTTCAACGTTGAACCTCCGTAGTGCATGTTTATGACATCTTTATCGCATGTTTATGCATGTTTATAGATTTATTTCAAGGCAGAAGCAACAAGAGAAGCATTGTGGAATCAATCCAATGAAGACACACTACTGTTCAATGCCGTTTTTGCCTTTGAACCTGGCACTGGGGTTTGCACTTATCTGATTACACAAGCCTCTCTCAGTGATAGCAGCCTGGGAGTTCATTCTGGTAGTGCTTTGGCAGAATCATCAACCCGCTCTCCATTCAATGAGATTTATCAACCAGTCATAAATGATACCACTCACAGAAAGCAAATGGAAATCTCGAAAGTTCAATACATTTTTTTACAGAGAATGGAATCCTGCCATCGTAAACTCTCTGGACAATCAAAGACTGGGACAGAGATCCATGAAGGCGGCTTGCAGCAATCTTCGGGATTCGCTTGGGCGATGCCTGGAGGAACAACAGTTGCTGTCAATTGAGCACTCCGTGCCATCAATCAAGGAAGACGGAATGGAGCTGGGGAGTTCAAGTCCTTACCTTACCTAATATACATCCACTGAAAACTGACAGTTTTGTTCTCTCCTGCATAGAATCTGATCTTGGTATGGGATGTCACAACCCTTCTGTCCCCACATGTCAGGAGATCTTCAACATAAGTACGCTGGCCTTGCTCCAGCTGGGAAATCGAAACTTTGCCAGAACCGTCTGCATCAACCTGCCAGTCAAACAACGCCAGGGTGAAGAAAATGTACACCACTCGGGAAGATAAAATGGCACAGACTGTTCAATCTTCGAAAGTGGAATGGAGTGATTCCAAAGATGCAGCACTTTGTCATACTTTGTCTAATCACAGGCTTTCAATTTTCTCAAGGGACAAACACAATCGCATCTATGTTTACTCTTGAGAAGTAAGTCACATCAATGGGATAACGCGCGAGTGCACGGGGAAAGTGTCGTCTCTGCTTGAGCAGCACGTACTTAAGTGACTTAGCAGTGTTGCTTCGGAAACATGATGCTTTTTGAAGGACATCACCAGCCACTTGTTGGTGGAAATCGGTATTGGAACCTGAGAAGATACAGTGTGGGACTGTTGTTTCTTCCGCCTCGTGCGGACAAAACCTATCAATGTAAGTGCATGTGCTTATACACATAAATGCACCCCGTAGATACATGAAGATGTGCGGCACTTCAGTTTACTTTTCAGTTTTTTCGTGTTTTTTCTACTTCTTTCGTCTTCCCCGCGCTCAACGCTTGTGCCTTGCTGAAGAGTTGCTGCATCTCTGCCCGTGAAGTCCCCAACGGCAGCGTTGACCTGAGTCGGTTTCAGCATCCACAAGTCGGACCAATATCGTTGATATCGTTGTAGAATGTTGTAGAGTTCTGAAGAGTTCTGAAGTCTGTAGTAAGCCAGTTAGTCGTAGCATGTCGTAGTTGCACGAATTGATAGACCTTTTGAATTTGGAAGAGAAATGATTTGAGAAAACCACAGCTGCTGCCATTGCCTTCAAACACTGCGTTTTGCTTGGCTCTCTTGATGCACCAAACGAGCATTGGACGTAGCATCCAGCAATTGCTCTGCAGAAAGCTCTTTTTCCCCGGGAAGAAGAAACCTCAAGAAACTGACAGGTGCGAGAGAGGCTATGTGTAGACCTTGAAAGCATCTTGACTCTTCATTTGCAACTTAGAAAAGCCTGACTTGGTCAGTTGGAAAAAAAATAGGAATGGAATGTTGAGATGTTGAGGTGCATGCAAAGCCAAAGCGTCAGCAAGGCCAATGCCAGCTGCTTCCAACCTTCGCAAGTCTGAACAGGTTGGGATGGCAAAAGACCTTCAGGACTCAATGACCTGCGTTGAAATCCAACGGACAGCTTGAGAACAAACATGGACACGCCCAACCTTCTGCGGATACGCCCGAAAATCAGTGCGCAGCCTTGAGCCGACAAAGACCTTAGTGAAAATTCTCTGGGATATCTGAGGGGTGTTTCTTGCTCATGCTGGATCCTTTGCTTCTGCTGGATTAACGGCGTTTTTTGCATTGGACAGCGAAATACAATGGAACACCGTTTGCGGAGCTCTGCCAAGACCACGACACCCTGCCTGAGGATCTTCCCAGGGTTGCTGTACCTGTCAAGTTTCAAGTGGCGTCGAAGCTTCGTGAAACAAACAGCTGCTGCAACTGCTTCAGATGGCTTCAGCAGCCACACTGCCTCGGATTCCTGAATGAGATGTGCAGGTGAAAAAGCCTTTGTCCTGTGCAGGCATTGCTCTTGCGCCCTAGAGCTAATTAATGCGCATCTCAACACACACCAATCTATGTTCAATGGCGTGGACTTTTGAGTGCCCAGCGAAATTGATATCCACACCACCCAACGTTCCTGTCATACTCAGCCTTGCAGGTGCCAAGATAGCGACACTATGCGACACTTGTACGGTTGTACCGGGTTGTACGGCTTAATCTTTTTGGTACAAAGCTTCAGTGACGTTGCGCAGTGAGACTCAGTGAGACTTGTACAGCTTGAGTTCTGGACGGGTCAACCCCGGAGACTGACTGGCTTAGGCTTGCAGAGCCCGAAGGTCCACCAGGCAGTGGAGGCCTAAAGTCCACTCTTGAAGAATCTCCATAGTGCAGTAATAAAGGTGTTCACAGTAGTCCAAAGTGGCACAGTGCATATATATATATATATATATACGTATATATATATATTATAACTCTCTCAAGATAACTCTCTCAAGACCTTGTGACACACCTGTTTTACATGTAAAAAAGAATGTTGACATTGCACCAAGATTGGCACATACCCGGTGGTGTTGGAGCTCCCCCACCAGGCAGGGGTGGCATTCCAGGTGGCCTTAAACGAAAGCTCCAAGACTCAAAATATCTCCCATGCGAAAACAATATAAATTAATAAACAGAATTAAACAGATCCGCTAGCAAGATGTTCCAAAGATTTACCCAGATCTTAGGGAGAATATGTCTTTTATGTCTCTGGATCAGAGATCTTTCGATGGCCTGCTCTTCTTCTAGGATCTTCTGAGAGTACATTCATTAGATTCTAAGTAAATCAAAGCGAAATGACTGAAATGACCGAAATGACCGAAATTTGAAATGACTGCAGTCACTGCAGTGTGACAATACGACAAGCATCGAAGCATCGAAGCATCGAAGCATCGCTGGGTCATGACTCATCCGGGATTCAGGCGCTGGAGCTGCTGGTGGCCGAGGCGGTCCCGGTGGTCCGGATCTTGGAAGCGTCAACTCCGTCCCCAAGGATTGGAACAATGTATACATTATACATGGTATGTATATATATATAATTAGATATAATTAGATATAATTGTGCATGCATAATATATAGTTTTAGACATATTGAGTGCATTATAATTGGATATAATTAGAGAAGAATAGGAATAGACAAAAGATAAAAATAGAAGATTCTTGAGGAATGCCGCAAGGCGTGAGAAGACTAGGTCTTAATCCCTGCGGTGAACTTTGCGTTTGCGGACTACGCTACTCAATATCACACGTGTGATGCTGATCAAAAGAACAGCATCCTGGGCCTGTAAAAGGGTCTACCGACTCTCGACTCCAAGTTTGAGACGGTCCAAGGAGAGGTGGTCCAAAGTTTTCCAGAAACTCTCCTGCTGCCAATGCTCGCTAAAGCCGAGGAGACACTTGCAAATAAAGTGCTGTTTAAATGCAGCTGTGTCGAAAAGCAACAGGGCCAAACAAGTCGCGCGCACCATAGTCCACATCCCCCAAACCTGGCAGGGCCACGAATCTAAAGAAGGAACTTGACTTCAAAAGATAACCAAAGCCAGCAGAACCGTTCTTGTCGGCGAGCAATGCAAGCAGTTCCAAACTTAGGACAGTTCACACTGAACATGCTGAACATGCTGAGTCTGCTGAGTCTGGAAAATTGAGACATCACTTCCAGTTGTTTGACTCGGACGACTAGGATGGCAGCTGCGGAGGAGTGAGCACAGGCACTAATTCCTGGAGCGGTGACTGCAGTACCAAAACCCTGAAATAAACTCGAGCAGGTTGGCAAGACTCAGGAAGATTATCTGGAAGATTGCTGAGAACGTCTACGCACTAATAGTACTATATAAGTGCATGCAGTGATGTTCAAGCCTGCAAGGTCTCGTGGAAGACACTTGGAGCCAAAGTTCCACTGCGCTCTATGTCCTTCACCGGAAACAACTAAGGGGTCGGACATAGTGCAAAGCATGGTATTGGAAGAGAGATGCATATCACGGACAGTGGAGAAAAACAATGCAGCAAAACGGAGAATCGAACCACTTCTTGTCATTCGAAGGAGTCAAAGTGATCTAATCTAAACAGAAAAATCAAAGCCTCAGGTCTTTTGTAATTAAGATTGATTTGGCAGGATTGTTTCTTCCTGAGGAACAAAAGTGTGAAGCTCAACACTACAGGTTGACTTCCACACCTTTCCAGACACATGTACTCTAGAGGTTTATTGTCCTGGATTCACTCACCAGCTGTTCTTCGCAGTTTCAAGCCGATCATTTGTTTATGAACAAGGACAAAGTAGCTTGATGCGCAAATCGCATAGAGTACTTGAGGCCCAAGGGTAAGGGACGAAAGCTAGCTTGGCAGGGAGCTTGGCATGAAAATACAAAGGGCACAGCGCAGCTGTGCAGCTTTTCCGCCAACGTGGACGAGCAAGTCTGAAGCTGGGGCGTGCTGTTATAAGGTGAACATCCAAACCTACGTATTGAGGGGATGTAACGGGGATGTATGTTGGAGGGGACGAGGATGAGAACATAGGATTATCATGTTGCACGAAGGGGATAAGGAAAGACAGCATAGCCAACATGGTGACTAGTGATTGGGGAAGATTCAATGGTCCACCTTCGGCATCGGCAGTGCAAAGCCGAAGTTGAGGACGAGAGGTAGGTGTGCGTGCGCAACATAAAAATAAAGCTAGGCCAAAGTTCCATAGAGCGTTAAGTGTGAAAAGGGTAAAGTTGTGAGGGTGTAAGATGAAAGTGTAAAGTGTAAAGTGTAGAATGTGGACTGTAAAGTATAGAGTGTAGCGCGTACAGTGTACAGTGTGAAGTGTAGAGTGTAGAGTGTGGAGCCTGGAGTGTAAAGTGTGAAGTGGTTAACTGTAAAGTTAAGTGTAAAGGAAAGTGTAGAGTGTAGAGTGTGGAGTGTAAAGTGTATATAGAGTGCGCAGTGTCATGTGTGGTGCGCAGTGTCATGTGTGGAGTGTAAAGTGTAGATTGTGGAGTGCAAAGTGTGGAGTGTAAAATGTAGAGTGTAGAGTGTCAAGTGTAAAGTTCGGAGTGTTGAGTGTGAAGTGTAGAGTGTAGAGTGTCAAGTGTAAAGTTCGGATTGTGGAGTGTGAAGTGTAGAGTGTGGAGTGTCAAGTGTGAAGTGTAAGCTGTAGAGTGTGTGTGGACTGCAGAGTTTAAAGTGTAAAGTGTAGAGTGTGGAGTGTAAAGTGTATATAAAGTGCGCAGCGTCATGTGTGGAGTGTAATGCGTAGAGTGTAGAGTGTCGAGTGTCAAGTGTAAAGTGTACAGTGTTCAGTGTAAAGTGTAGAGTGCTCAGTGTCAAGTGTAAAGTGTAGAGTGTGGAGTGGGTTGAGCCCACGGCCAAACTGCTTGTGAGGGGGGTGGTAGTGAACTGAGAAGTTTTTCGTGATTGGAGATTCCAGCGCCCTAAGTACCTTGCTAAAGCAAGAGGGACTTCAGCTAGCAGAAGCTAGCTTTCGTGATTTATACGCTGCTGCCTCTGGCAACAATAATTTGACAAAGAAGTAGCGCACTGAACATGAAGTGTTCCACTTCAATCTTCCCTCCTTCGCTCGAAGCACATCATGCAGCCTTCTGCCCGGGGGTGCCAAGACCTGTACAAGCGATTGAAGTCCGCAAAATTGAATTTTGTCTGCAGGGCAAACTCCTTGGACCTAAATCAAGTAAATACAGTTTAAATACATGTAAATAAACTTCAATAATTACTTCAAATGACTTTGTTCTTGACATTCTTGACACAGATCATCGCAATGTTGGCCTGTCGAGCCCATGTCTCGTACCTTGACGAACACGGAAAAATATGGCACTTCTGTGAATTTTCTTGCGTTGAAGTTTGCGCAAAATATGCGCTGCAAGGTCTTCAGCTTCCCTGGTTCATGAAGTCCTTTCGCTCAGGTTGGGGATTTGATTTCCACGTGCAAATGGTAAAAACTAGCCTCTTTGGGACCTCTATTGATATCGCAAACGGGTTCCTAACGTTTTCTTCACAGGCTTCTTGGGGCTATGTTTTAAGATTTTTTTAGTCTTCAACCTCCTTTGGCTTTGTGACATAGGTTAGCTAAGTCCAAGGAGAATGTATCTAAAATAGCCGCAAAAAACTTTGGTATATGGCAGCTGGTAAGGGGGTACAGTACATGGTGTGATAGATGCTAAGATTTGCGGTACGGTTTGCGGTACCGCACGGCTTGCGGTAAGGTTTGGGGTATGGTTTGGGGTAGGCGTTGGGGTATGCATAGGGACATGCGCCCAAATCTTATTGCATCAACATGCACCGTGTCAAACTGGCGGTTTATTTTATTATTTTTTGCCCCCTGAAGCACTCGCAAACCACTTTGGGTCAAGAAGACATGTATGCCAGGCTACTCCCTAGCTTGACCATAGAATTGTTGATAGCGGTGATTGGCAGTTCAAAGCCACTCGGATTCAGCATGCAGTGGTGGGGTAGCTCAGGACAAGGTGAACAAAGAGTAATTGGTGTACCAGGAAGCTCGGGATTTGTCGCTTGAGGAGCCGATATTGCTTTGTATTGCCATGTATTGATGTGATATGTCTTTCTCTTTCAGCCATTCCCAGTGTTGGTTCTCTGATTCCCACATTTTGGAATGGCGATACACATTTCTTACAACGGAGTCAGGCGCACTGTTGGACCTCAGGAGCCACCTCTTGGAGGTGTGAGCTAAATGCATCCTGCAAAGTCTGTGAAGTTTGACGGAAAAAGCGGGGAAAAAACGCCAAGAAACAGTAGTCTGTTTACATCATATTACATCTGATTCCTCTACATGGTTGTGACAAGGACTTCCAATTTCTATCCACGATCCACAGTTTGGCATTTTGGTTTCAGCTCTGTCGGTCCAAAGAGATCTTGGCCCCAGGAGTTGGAGCAAGGGCTGAGGTAAGCATCTGGATCTCGTCATCGCTGAGTCCTGAGCCCAGCCCTGGTGACTCAGCTACAACAGCTACAAGATCAAGATGGATCAAGATGGATCAAGATGGATCAAGATGGATCAAGATGGTTCCTATGAAAAGATCCAAAAATATTCCGCCAATTTGAAACAATGAAGCTGTCGGCATGGACCACAAGAACTGAGGCGGAGGCCCAGTGGCATGGTCATCAAAGCATGGCCCATTGCATCCGGCGTCAATGCACCATCGCCACTGGCAGGGTGGATCTTCAAGGACCAATACATCAAAATTGCAGCGTCATGATATGTTTAACATATTTTTGACATATTTTTGACCTATTTATGATATTTATGATCATTCCATGAAGTCTGGATATGTCCAATGTGCCTTTCATGCCTTCCGTTCTGAATCCATGACAACTCACCCTATTCGCCGTGGCGCTGCATGCTGCCCACTTGCCGAGTGCACTACGACATGAAGTTAGTGGTGTCTTTATAACATGTTGCAAGTTATGACTATACGTGTCAGGTTTGCAGAACACAACATATCTTATAGAAGACCCGTTCAACCCATGCCAAAGAGTCTCATCGTCGAAAGAAGCCACTGACGAGATCCAATTGAGCTTCTGACCTCAGTGTTAGGACTTCTTGTTGCATCGTTGCACTGACACATCTCGAATGTTGACAGCCCTTTGGAACATGTTTCGGAATCAACACCATGAAAACTGTCCAGAGACCTTCAACGATCTGAACTTCCAAGCTTGAGAAACTGTAAGCCTCTATGCTTTCGGACCGACCAAGCGCCGGCGTATCCGAGCCATGATGACCCTGAAGGTTGACCTTGTAGACTCGTACATATTTCACGTCACTTGCAAACGCTTGCATAGCATGCAGCAATTTGTTCCTTTGTCAAATGACATTTGTTCTCCTGGGTACCCTGCTGAGGACTGACAGGTGCTGGGCCTGATGCCTTGAGTTCTGGATCGCATGGCACTTAGTCTGTCAGTCTCTTGCAACAATTTGCCGATAGTCAAAGGATGTCAAAGGAGGGCAAAGGAGAAATGTCATGACAACAATGAAATGTCTACCTTTTTGTTTTGGTGCAGTTCCCTGAGAAAGCCACTGGAGCAGGCTCCTTGGGAAGTGGAGGTGGTGGTGGTGGTCTCGAAGCACCTTCTGGCCTGTTCGCAACTCGCTCAATTCCTAAATTGATTTCTGCTAGTGTCTGATGACACACCAGATGACATGGTACTCCTGTTGTTTTTTTCTGGAGTTTAATATTTTGTTTCACGAGAGTGACGGAAAGTGACCATTTTTAGAAAGTCCCAAGGTGCCTCAAAGTTGTTTTCTTTGGGGCATGCGGTGCTGGAGGTTCTGGAGGACTTGGTGCTTCAACTGGTGCTGATTGCTTTGCCAGGTAGGCCTTTCCAAGAGAATCAAACCAAATAAAAGCATGGCAAGCACTCTCCTGCATGAGGCAAAACGGCCTTGACATAGGGATTGGCAAACAACTCGTTGATTGAAGGTCGCAGCCTTGTCACATTTTGTCACTGTAAATGAGCTGCACAGATTTTCTTTGCTGTTCAGACTTCCAGTCATCAACTAGACCTCACCTTGCGAAAAGCTTACCTGCACTACGAATTAGGCGCAGATGCAGCGCAAGCTCAGGTAGATGAAAGACGAAACGGCTGAGATCTGCACTCTGCATCCTTCATCAGGAGCTGATTGATGAGTAAATTCAGTTCAGGCCTAGGCTTTCCGATGCTCTGCGCAGTTCGCCAGGATTCCTGATGTCTTAGATGCGAGACACAGGGGCAAAAACCGAGGTTAGAACGAATAGAAGTCCGGAATGGGTTCCTCGGCCGCAACACGCAAGTCATTCATCAAACTAAATGAAAATCGAGTTTCCAAGACCTATGCCAATGCAGCCTATGCTGCCAAGAAACATAGTGCCCGCTTACTATCCTGTAGACCAAACCTAACCTGAGCGAAGGCAGTGAGATATTTTTCTGCGCAGCTCTGTGTTGAATCCTCTGCATTGCGGCTGCATCTAGCAACCTTGTTTGGTTTCAGTCTCCCTTCAAAAGTGATTGTTCTCGGTCCTCTCCAATGGGGTGTCCTTATAAGTGTCATTATTGTTGTTTTCTTTTGGCTCTGTCGCTCCTTTAGCGCAGCACAATGATGAAGATTCGAAAGCGTGCTTCAGCATGCAGCACCTTTGTCCAGGGATCGTGTCCAGGGCACATTCTCCAGGCACGTGATGCCGTGATACCACAATCTCTACAATCTCTACAATCTCTACAGGAATTGTGTCACAATTCACAGCCTTCACAGAACTTCACAGCCTCAAGCTGTGGGACTATGGGACAGGACATCAAAGACAGATCACCAAACCTCTTCGATCCAGACAAAAGGGCAAGGGAAATTTTGGTATTCTCACATCTCCTTCAATTCAACTGCTGTGTGATAGTGATGAGGGCTGGAAAATCGCCTCAGCATTCCTTGCAAAATGGCGAGAGGGCATGTGCGCATCTAGCAAAATGTTCTCAGTAGCACTGACCAAGTCCCGCGCTCGTATAGCACGCATCCCAAGGCCTGACAATCAGAGTCACAAGATGAAAAAGATACCGTAGGAAGGACAACTTGTGTCAAGCAACGAAGTACTAGAATAGGATGACACCGACAAATAAAACTACTGCCCTTGCTGGGTTGTCCACCCAAATGTCTGACTTCCAGTTGTAAGGCTCACTTCGGCAAACTTCAGGTGACATGTAGTAAGGCCTTAGGAGGTTGACGAATCCCAAGGACTCATTACTCCCTGGGTCTCTGCAGAATGTATCAGTTCTTTGACATCACAACAAATACGCACTCAGGTTTTCACGTGCCCACAATCGTGACTGCTGCCTGTGGAAAATGGCACGTCGATTTTGCGACGCAGCAGTGATTCACATTGCAGGACCTGCCTCTGTAGTTCCTTCGAGGACTCTGGAGACACCAAAGTCCCCCAGTTTGACCGAGCCATCTGCAGAGTCAAAAGAAAGCAACACACTCATGAAGCATCATGAAACATCATGAAACTACATGAGGAGCAGTTGGAGGCATTGAGGTTTCTGATTCGGAAGGCACCTTCTGTGAGGAAAATATTGGAAGTTTTCAGGTCACGATGAAGGATCTTCTCCGAGTGAATGTACCTTAAATCGAGATCCTTCAATTGTACATCAGCAACAGGCACACACGGCACACACATATTGAATTTTCACTAAAGCTGAGTGCCATGCTGCAGAGCAAGGCAGAGCTGTACAAACCAGGTCATAATCTGCCTCTGTGTGCAATTTTCAGAGATCTCAGAACACTCAGAAACTAAACTTGGCCCTGGACTCTTCTGAAAAATACGCACCCTCCTTTGCTTTTTCCTCAAAGGAAAGTGTTTCTGGTCTTCGTCTTCACCAGTCTAGCATCAGCATACAAGCCATTTGTTTGCCAACCATCAGGCAGATCTTCGTTGAAGCGTACACTGGATGTATTTTGTCATCGGAGCACTCTTGAACTATCAAGAGTGTCCTTGATCGCCTTCCTGATGTCGCCGCCTCCACAATACCTTGGAGAGTTGTTCTTCCTGTTTTGAGAATTTTGCAGTCGAGAGTTGTTCAGAGAATCCCAGCAGAGAACCCCAAGAGCACAGGCCATGCACATCGACAGCACCCACCGATGCAGCAACTCTCCAGCAACACTGCACAAATGGCACCTGCCTACCCATGGCAAACAAGGTGAGACAAACAGCACCGTACACCATACCCACAGCACCCTCCGAGCCCTGAGTGTGCCACTCCATCACGATCACCAAGGTGTTCGCCTAGGCCCGGGAATTTGGTAATCCTTGGATATGCGCCATCAATGTAGACAACTGAGTCGCAGACCCCTTCAATCAAGAAGCTATCTCTGTATGCCACGATGTATGGATGGCTGAGAGTCTGCAACAGGAAAACCTGCACAGTGCCATCTGTCTCTTTTCTCTTCTGGCATTCAATTGCATTTCAATGTACTCACCCATGCTGCGCCCATGCTGCGGCCTCTTGGTGTGCCAAGTCCTCCGAAAACGTGGCAGAAAAATTGCCGGAACGGTTTGATGGCAGACTAGAACTTGTGAAAGAGCTTTTGGGGGGTGTTTGCATTCATTGCAAGAGGGCAGCCCAAGTGGGAGTGCAATGCCTACAGATGGCCAGGGGCTAGTTTGCGCGGCAGGGAAGCACTCAAGGCTGGAGTCTCAATCTTCAAATTAGACCTATTGCAGGTTGTAAATTCCACCATCAAGGTCCAGGCCCCCACAATGAAGGCTGTAGCTAACACTTTAAAGATCTACTGAGACAATCCATGACAATGTGGGCCAAACATGTTCATCTGACAGCAAAAGAGCTGGATTTGTTCATCCTAAATGCCAATGCAAAGGTTTTGGGAAAAGTCGTTGTGGTTTTTGTTTCGTCTGAAGTCCGAGGTAGTCCCTTCTTCCAATGCAACTTCAGCTGGATGCTGCGAAGCGGCTTCAACTTCTTTCGGCCAGGTTTATGTATACATGGCATCTCAAAAGAACGTCAACTGAACAGTAAAATCACCTTTTGCTGTTGTCCAAGCACAAACAATCAGAAGTACTGGCTGTTCAAGCCACCTGGCCCAAAAAAATGGATCACATGTTCTTGTGCACAAAATCTATCGGCATGCATCTTAACAGTACACTTCGTTCCCCCGCAGTGCAATTAAGTGCTTTGAGATTGCTTTCAGTATCTTTGCCATAACTTCGTTCGGATCCACTCTGACAGAGCACTTGCGACATGGATCAACACGGCAGCTCCTGATCCTGATCATTCAAGGCGGCCAAGGAAATGCATTTGGCCACGAAAGTCTGCCCAGTCGCCTCGGCAGACAATCTTTCTCATAGTTTTCTCATGTCTTCATCATGTCATCATCATTTCATGATTTTTCGCTTTGCCAACTTACCAACTTAGCCAGCTTCAAACTCCTTTGTCTGGCACGAGAAGCATTCGGCTGCACTGCTTACATTTGGCCCCTCACTGCTTCTTTCACAAGCTGCGCACTGGCATACTGGCCACGGCCTGAACATGAAGCAAATTGCACCACTTAGAAGCAAAGTACACTTGCTTGCCACAAAATCCAACCCCGCAAGTACTTTGGATACTGAATCTGGCAAGACGATGTTCCGACTGGTGCATGGCATGCATGGCAGTGGTGGCACTGCACCCATGGCCAGCACTAGCTTGTGGCACCAGCAGTACCCATGGCATACGCATACGCAACGGTGACAGCAGCACCCTCCAACAAGAAGCGCCCCACAGCTAGCTCCCTCTATGTCAATGTGCCCCACTCGGATACATTCAGAATCATTCAGATATACGTATCTGTCGCTACGGGAAATCGTCGGCGTATGTAGAAGGCCCTCTCAATTGACCTGTGAAACTGAGCTGTATGGTGTCCCAGGGAGGAGCATACATGAGCATAAACAAGCATGGATAGAAATGGAAAGGATTGGCAACTTGACGCTTCAAGGCAAAGCCAAGTGGCCAATGTGTTGTATCTTCTCAAGGCCAAACCTAATCCGACAAAATGGAAGGATCATATTGACAAGCGCCAGCACTGAGTTTCTGGGCCTAAGTCGCACACCCTGAAAGGTCAATGTCGGTTGTAGGTTTCGACATTTCTATGTGCGCGGCGTTTGCGAGTCGCAATGGACAAATTAGACACTGAAAGGGTTCAAAGGTTCAAACAAAGCATTTCACCCTACTGACATATTGGTCAAAACATATCAATACGGCTCAAGACTGTTCAGTACAAATTGTCCAGATCTGCTTTGAGATGCTAAACTGGGTTAAGTTTGCTCCAGAGTTATATATGTCTGGTCGAATTCTATTAGAAGGTCCAAAATTTGATTTTGAATTGATGCACTCACCTCCAAGTTTCGACTATGTAAAGCCATTTGAGCCAAGGGTCAGCAATTGGTTAGCACATGCCATGAAGGAATCTTCAGTTCGGTGCAAAATGGCACAGCAGTCTTGATTCAATGCAAAAAATAACAGTTTGGATCTTCGCTGAAATGCCACTTCAGCTTCTGTTGCTGCTTACGCCAAGCGTTCCACAATTGAAGAAGCTCGCGGCTCTCACTTTTCAACTACGTGCAAGGCAGAAGGATTGGACGTGAACATTGGCACCTCACAGGTGCTGATCTGAAAATATGGCCATGATCGATCATGGAATCGACCATGTTATCAGCATGAAATCGTCTCTTAGAGATGGTTTGCAAAAAGAAAACTAATTTTGCCACAAGAAATTCGTGCCTAGGCTCCGCCAGCTGTCCCACACAATCTGGCCTTGCTTTGCCAAGCTCGCAAGCTTGACTCGCTTGAAGTCTGTTGCATCACTTAGTCGCACTTTATACTTGGTCATACTTAATCGCTTGATGATCGTTTTAAAATCTTTGAAATCTCTATTCATATTTGACTGAAAGACAACTTTCTCCTGGCCTTGATTTTCTGAGTACCCGGCTTCGCGGACAACTGTATTATGGAAGGTCAACTGATTACGTGCACCTGAGGCAGGTGGCATTGAGGCACCGTGACACGTACAAACAAGTTCAAAGGTGGTCAGGTAGCGTCAGGTAGCGTCAGGTAGCGTCAGGTAGCTGGCAAATGTGCCAGCATGCAAACTTGCACTCAGCTCATTCTTGCGTAGCAGTTGCTGTATCTATCTCAAGCCTGAACTGCATCTTGGCAAGATCTCTGTCTGCCTGCCCAAATGGAACAAAGTGAAGTTCACAAAAAAAAAAACGTCGCACATGGATTCTTTGCAGGTCTTGGCCCGCAAGTCGCCTGCATGCTTTGAAAACAAATGATGTTTTTTTCTTGTCTTTCTTGGCCAGATCCTGAGCTGTCACACTTCAGTTTGAATCTCAAAAAACCTGATAGAAGCCACGAACCCGAATGCATTTTTAACATGTTACGGAGAAGCGAAGTCATAAACAGCTACGCCTTTTTGTGCCCTGCAACAGCTGCGCGATACTGAAGTCCTTAAGCTCGAAGCACCTGACGGATGAGTAACCTGACAGTATAATACGCTCACCTTCTAGGCTGCGACAAGTCAATGATGCAACATCACTCTGGGTCACTACGACGAAACAGATGCCAACAGGTTTTGCGCAAGCTGAATGATGATCGAACAAATTTGCTGAGTCACAAAAAACATTCATGTTTTGAAACTGACCAAAAAAAATCACAAGATTACGTCACGTTGAAGTGACAACCGATCACACACAAAAATCAATGAGTCCATGCACACACTTCCCACTTCACACTCCACACTTTACACTGCACACTCCACACTTCACACTTCACACTTCACACTTCACACTCCACACTCCACACTTCACACTTCACACTTCACACTCCACACTTCACACTTCACACTCCAAACGTCACACTCCACACTGCACACTCCACACTTCACACTCCCACTTCACGCTTCACACTCCACACTTCACACTTAGCACTTCACACTTCACACTTCACACTTCACACTTCTTACTTCACACTCCCCACTTCACACTTCACACTCCACACTTCACACTTCACACTCCACACTTCACACTCCACACTTCACACTTCACACTCCACACTTCACACTTCACACTTCACAATTCACACTCCACTTATCACACTCCACACTTCACACTCCACACTTCACACTCCACACTTCACACTCCACACTTCACACTTCACACTGCACACTTCACACTCCACACTGCACACTTCACACTGCACACTTCACACTCTACACTTCGCACTGCACGCTCCACACTTCACACTGCACACTTCACACTTCACACTGCACACTGCACACTCCACACTTCACACTGCACACTTCACAATTCACAATCTTCACTTCACAATCTTCACTTCGCTACAAAGTCCCACGTCTGCCACGCAAAATGCACTTTCACACGTCACAAACGATCACCTTGACTCACTTCACAGCGGCGAGGACGCCATTAGAGAAAAAAACGACTTTCGCTTGAGTGCCACAAAGTCCCACGCCTGCCACGCGAAATGCACTGTCACACGTCACAAACCATCACCTTGACTCACTTTACAGCGGCGAGGACGCCATTAGAGAAAAAAACGACTTTCGCTTGAGTGCCACAAAGTCCCACGCCTGCCACGCGGAATGCACTTTCACACGTCACAAACCATCACCTTGACTCACTTTCCCCATAGACACCGCGACGAGCGATTAGAGCCCCGTGACACGAAAACGACCTGCAAGCAGTCCACCACTCCCAGACCCCCAAGAAAGAAAACAAGAACCCTTCGCTACGCATTCGGGAAAACTCTATACTACTGTAGTACCAGTAGATACATGTAGATACTAGTCATCATCTGCGCTGGCTCTACGTAACTGCCACGATCTGGTGGACACCCGTTCTTAAGAGGTGGGCGGTACTGGTGTGCTGCGCTCGCACAGGTACCTCGTAAGACATGATCTTCACGCTTGAAAAACCATGGTCATCCATGGTCAATGAAAAACTCATGAACTCGACTGCTGAAAAACAGGACTAAGTCCTCAGGGCGCACCCGAAAAGGCACACCATCCTAGGCATTCATTCTCCACTTCATGGAGTCAGAACGTCCAACCCACTCGATTCGTAAATCTTACAACAGTGTGATAGTTCATAGTGGGACTTGAAAGGCTAGAAAGACAAGGAAGATGTACATGCGATTACAGTATATACGGAAGATGTAAGATACATTAAGATACGGACCAAAGAAGGTACGGCAAACTGCGGATCTGAAAGCAGCGTTGGCACCATGAGCGTGTGGAGCTCTGGCCTCCAGGGCACAAAGGGTTCGAAGATGTTCGAAGGCTTCTCGTTGGTCAAGGCTTCGATTCTTTTTCAATCAGCATTGCATCAATGTGTCTTTGCACATCATACGTTTTTTCTCCAGGCTGCCATCTCTGACCTGCCATCTCTGACCATATCTCAACCTCTATGTACAAACACCCAAGCACAAAAAGCTTTTTGACCTTTTGCTTGAGTGTCATGATTTTCTTGAAAACATTGCTCCCTTCTCTGGCCGTCTTGACCATCCAAAGGCAATAATGCTGAACCAGACGGCATTCACTGAGCCAAACCAAGGGTTTGACAAAGAGTGTGCAGTGCGCGGTCTACACCTGCAAGTCTCCCGGAACTTGACCATACACCATGAAATAAAGACTTCAAATTTCTATAGCTATATTTCGTCTGTATATATAGAAAAATAATAAATAATATGTATATAAGTACATATACAGACAGACAGACAGACAGACAGCTAGATAGATAGATAGATAGATAGGTAGATAGACAGACAGACAGATAGATAGATAGATAGTTATGTATTTATATACATGTATATATATATATATAATGACCTTGACTCAGGGAAACGTTGTTGGCCTGCACCTTCGAGGTCTGCAGTGGATGCCACAGTGGGTGCACTCCGTTCCGAGCCTCAAGTGACTCAAGTAAGATTCTCCGCTCGATTCGACTGATCTGGACTGTTATATTAAGTTTTCAAAAGCTCGAAAGTCACCACAGGCTCTAGTCAAACGAAGCATCCTGCCGATCACTGCAGCAAAGCACTGCCCAAGCTCACAGGAGTGCTATGACATGTGGTGACTGAGCTGCTCACCACTGGATTCACATTCAGAGACATCGGTTGACTCCTCATGGCCCCAGACTACGAATCTCGAGGGAAACAAGCAATTGTTAAAAGGTTTGAAGGCTCCCCACTTCCTTTGCTTGTCACTCTCGCTTTGAAATCAGATTGAACTTGCGATGCTCAAACTGAGGTCTGGAAGGGTCAGAGTTTTCCGGCAATCTCCTGGTCAGAGTTTTCCGGCAATCCTCCACGACTCCGCATGCCTTGATCACTCTCGGGTTGGACTAGAAGCAAAGTGCTACAAAGAAAGCACGCCATTGTAATAGATAGTAATACTGATTTAATAGTGTATCATTGTAGGTTTCTGTAGGCTTCTCTAGACCAAAGTGTCGCCAAAGCCTTTGCAGAAACAGAGTGAAGCGGAAATCCCCATAGAACGTAGAGAAGAAAGGTCAGAGAGGTTGCTAAGGAGGCGGAGACGACATTCCAGAGAAGTCCACGGAAGAGAGAAGAATGGAGACAAAGAATCACAAAGGATCACAAAGGAACAAAAGAGAAAGACCCAGCTGAGATTCAGCAGTGGGAACCTTCGAGTTCAAAGCAGTTTTGGAGAGACTCTGCTCTCCATAGAAACAGTGGCAGGAATCTCTGAGGCCCAAGCTACGTTTATGCTGCAGCCTTTCCACCACAGTCCTCAACTCTGCCAGACCAAAGCCAACAGATTGAGATTGAGACATTATTGCTTGGTATTTGTGAGATGTGCTCAATATGTTTCGGTAAATGCTATTAAAATGCAATTCAAAGTCAAAGGCTATCTTTATGCGTTGATTACGTTGATTACGTTGATTGCTTTTCACAGATGGCTGGACGCAGCTCTCCTCAGCAGCTGGAGGGCCTCGGAGAGTTCACCTTGTGGCTCTGCAATCAAATCGATAGCATCCGATAGCATCCGATAGCCAGCAAGTCGCTGTGGCAAGTCACAAAAGGTGCGATGCGGCGATGAGATCCAATGACATCCAATCAGATCCGATGATGAGCGTTTGGGTATTGCTTTATTGCAAAGTAATGTGGTGTAAAAACATGTAGTCTGCTGTATGTGTTTTGGTTAATTACAATGCGTGCGGACTATACGTGTGCGTGTGTCTTTGTGTGTGTGATGCCATTCTATGTTGTAGTATGCTACGTCTACGTCACATCTTTTTGTTGACATGTATGCATGTGTCAAGGATTGATTATCAATTTGTACTGAGTGTACTGTCTACACATTTACGTACAACCGTACATGCATTTAGGTTGATTGGCATGTATATACACATATGAACTTGGAATACAAGCTCATGGCACCCAGTGCAATACCATACCGTGTAAAACAATATGAATTGAAAGTATGCGTCAGTGTGCACGGATGAGTTTGTTTTTGAAGTACAGTAGCATGCACAGCATTAGCAAAAACAGGAGGAAGAAAATGCAGGTACTAGTAATGCCCTTTTAGTAGATCCTTGAAGAAGTAGACTCCAGTGCTTCTCTTCAAAGCCTATTTCGTCACTTACGTCAGAAAAAACCTCATTCAAATGAAGAGGCTCATTGAGCAACATTCATATCTCGCGGTATCCGGCGCACGCTCACAAGGCATATTAAATATATATATATATAATTAATTAATTATATAGCGGAAATTAGAGTCAGCACCGTCAGCACTGTCAGCACCCAAAAGACAAGAAGTCCGCACCCGCCGCATCCTGTGCAGCCACATGCGCTGCTGCCATACACAGGCTGCAGAACACATCTGGTCGCTCCTCAACCGACGAAGCTGTACTGCGTTGGCCAAAAAAACACATTTGACATCTTGGATGGTCCAAAGTTCCAAAACCCATCCAAACTCAGCTACTCAGCTACTCAGCCCTTTCTTTCTGCACCTCCTGATCCAAAAGCGTAGCAATTCGGACCAGCAGTACACCCATCGCCTCGCTCAAAGGCAGGTGCCTCCCAGTGTTTTGATCTCAGAACAAATTTGTCGGCAGCTCAAGTTCGAAACACTTGATACATGAGACATGTGTGATGCTACTACAACTTGCAAGGGCGCAAATAGCATCTGCGAATCCCATCAACAAACCCGTGAACAAACACAATCCTGCCAATGCATCTGCTACCTATCAATCTGATAAATATATATATATATTACATATGTATATGCTACATAAATTATATATTATTTGTTATATTATATATATACATTATATATTATTATATTATATCATATTATCTTTTATTATACTATATTATATTATAATATATTATATTAGATTATGTTATATTATATTATAATATATTATATTATGTTATATTATATTATAATATATTATATTATGTTATATTATATTATATTGTAAATTAAATTATACATTATTTTAGATTATATTATATCAAATATATATATATATATTATGTATATATATATACATATTAATATTATAGAATATATTTATATATATATAATATTATATATATAGGGTAAATTTCCTGCAGGTATCAGGTATTCAGACTGACAGCGAAAATTCAGAACTTTTCAGCGTCTTGCTGCAGTTGATTCATCGGCTCACTTCTCTGGTGCTACCAGGTGCTACCACGGGTGCTACCGGTGTTTTTATCAGTTAATCTGACCAGGTAGCGGCTTGGTGCACAACGATATCAGGTTTGACGCTCCCGAAGTCTGTATAGTCTGTCTGGGAAGCTGTTGAAGTATTTCTTTCACTACAGGCTCCGTTTCAAGCTGTAAGCTTTTCAGAGAGATTCTCAACCAATCAGACATCAAGGTCTACAAATGCCACTAGAATAAATCGCTCACCTTTGGTGATTGGCTGTCCTCCATGACGCAGTTTGCCACTATGAACGAAACAGTCTCCCTGCTCGATTTGATATGCACGGTCATCGGCTTCAACATAGGTTCCACCACCTTCAAAGTCTGTGGCTTTGTTTAGCAGGATATTGAAGGAGACAATAGAACCATCTCGGTGAAGTGACAAGCCTGCTTGGCCATCGACTGAATATTTCACGAAGAACAGGTCTCTGAAGTAGAGCCCTTGGGAATGTGCAAAATGCCCTTCGTTTTCCGAATATGGCCATCCATGTCGTGCAGAAAGCTTTGAAAAAACTCTTTTCGACAGCGATTCCCGAACCCAGGCGTCAATTTCGGCCACTTCGCTGCAAGGGACATCTGTGGTTGCATACGCTGCATGCCGGTCAGTGGTCCATCCAGACTCGCGCTTTGATACAGCATCTTTCAGAGCATTCAATACAAAGTTGCACTCTTCAAGGGTCCAGATTTTTGGAAGGGTGTACGATTGCCGCAAGTGGTCGGGCACTTCAAGCTGCTTGGCGGCCCTTAATTTGGATGCTTCTTTTGCAAGCCGATCCTTCTGTTTCAACGCCTCCAACGCCTCCAACGCCTCCAGGCCATCAGGCGCTTCAGGCGCTTCAGGCTTGAGATGTTGCAGCAAGGCAAAAACCCTTTCCTTTCGACCTAACTGAGCTAGTTCCATTGCAGTAAAGCCATCATAGTCGACCAAAGTCGAATCCGCATTATGTGTCAAGAGTAAGCGTACCACATCTGCCTCACCAGCCCGAGTTGCTAGGTGTAGAGGTGTCTGACCACCAGACTGTACAACTGCACCGCTTAAAATCAGGTCTTTGGTCTGACCATTCAAATCAACTTTGCCGTCAGAGTTCAGCAAAGCTGTGACCAAGTCTACAAGGCCAAAGTGACACGCGTAGTGCAAAGCAGTGTAGCCTGTCTCCCGCTCTCGCTTACCACTTCCTCCACCAGCTCGAATCGCTTCGAGTCCACCCTCTTCATCGCAGCAAGCTGCACATCGAGTCAGTTGGCATCTTGGATCCATGGCATTGCACGGCGTTACATAGCATTACATAGGGGTAAAAGCAGTCCATGCAAGTAAAAAGAAGTGAGCGCTAGTTGAGGCAAATGCACCAAACCGCAACTCAATCTTTAACTTGTGCATTCGAATTTTATGTTGATTCCTTTTCAGAGACTCTTGGCAAATTCAGGTTTCATCAGTTTCATCTGTTCAATTTCACCATATTGCACTCTGTGGTCAATGCAAATGACATTGTATGGAAGTAGACTAAGTAGATGTCATGTTGTTGGTTGGCTCATGTCCTCCAATCCTGGGTATCTTCGCGTTACTCAAAAATCAAGCCAAAGGGCCAAAGGACTCAATATCAAAATTTCAAACAATCTTCGAGACAGGCGCATTGCTCTAAAAAAAGAGTTCCAAATGTGTTATGTCAAGTCTTGAGCTACTCTTGGGAAAGTCATTAGGTGCCATGGTCATCAAGTCTATCCATTGACCAACGAAGTCCATCCTCCAAATTCAGACAGACCCGCCTAACCAAATCTGCCGCAGGACCACACAAATGAGGCTGTTCCAAAAAGGTTGTAAGAAGAGTGGCTAGTCCTTGGCGCACAAGGCTCTCATAAGGCTGTGTCCCCTCAAAGAGTCTGAATACAAAATACAAAAAGACCTACACAAAGGTCACAAAGGTGTCAAGCAGAAACGGCATGATTCTCATGCTACTTGAGATGCTTTCATCTTGGGGTGTGTTCAAAAGTGGCGGATACCCAGGCTGTCTCTTTCCCGGTAAAATAGACCTATCGTGGAATTTGGATGAATTTGAAACCATGATGTTCGGAGATGTCCAAATCACAGCAAATGAGTGCAATACCTGTACCCATCAATTGGATTGACAAACATTTGGCCCTGCAGACAATTTTGCAATCGAGGTTCTTGTCCCCTCCGGCATCCCCAAAAGCAAACCTGCAAAGGCAAACGGATGCAAGCGGCAAGTTCATGAAGTCTTCATGACAAGGGTTGCCAAAACATCCATGAAGCTGACATGTTGGTGTTTTCTCTGTCTTTTTGTGTCTTTGCATGTTGGCGAGATTCATTGTTACATTAGGATGATTAGGTCGAGCCTTGGGTCGAAGCAAGGGATGCTAGAGCCTGTCAAAAATCGACCAGGTGACCTGGATTGACAAAGATACCTGAAGGATTACCTGAAGGATCTTAAGGGATCTTAAAAGATTTTTAAGGTCGAAGTCTCAGGCCGAAACAAACTGACTTATACAGCGACAGCAACAGCATGCAACAGCTGTTTCAAAATGTTTCAAACCCACCTGAAGCAAAGCAGGGCTGGGCGTTCCAGCACATTGCTCCAAACCCGCGGCAAAGGCAGCTCCAGGTGAAGGTGCCAAGGGGCCTAGCAAGACAAGAAATCGAAGAGCAGCATCAGCTGCTACGTTCTGCTCGCTGTGTGGGCCTTGCAGACCACGTTCCGCTGCATGTAAAGAAATGTTGAAAAGATCTTGTAGCTCTTGACATTTCAAGCCCATGTCTGCTGAAATCTTGATCCATGCGCCAGCTGCTTCCAGAGCCATGGATCGACTTTCGGACGAAACATTGGTGGCGACCAGTACACGGTGAAGAACGATTGCAATTTTCGATCCCAATCCTTTCAGGGTCTTGTCACCACTGCGTCTAGCTGGCTGTCGTTGAACGAGCGCTGTAAGGAGAGCACAGAGACGAGTTGCAATGCCATCCCAAACATCGGGAGATGTTTCGCGGCTGAACTGAGTCAGAAGTTCTTCCAGCTTTTGGCCTGTCCATGCAATGGCCACAACACCGCTTTGCGGTCGGAACGGAGCTGCGGAAGCCGGAAAGAGTCCGGTCCTGACGGTTCTGCCTTTGCCCAGTCCAGGTGCTGTTCTTGGACAAGCGGCTTCTAAGGCGCCAAGAGCATGAGGGAAGACTGCGTCTCGAAGCTGTAATGTCTGCAGCTGCTGCAACAGCGGTGGAAGTAGCCTCTCGGCCAGACGACAAGATCCGCAACGTGTTTCCGCAGGAATCAAGCCACAAAGATCTGCTATTAGCACGAAGGTCACCGCGTGTAGTTGCGAATCCATCAACGCTCTCAAAACAAGCCTGGCAATCCTTTGCAGCTGCTTCTTGACAGACGCCATACATCCCACAAGAACCGCTCGCAGTGCTGCAAACGCGGCCAGCTTCACAGGGACATCTGTGCCCGATAAAGATCTGCAAGCAAATCTGTAAATCACGGGAAGAATCAACTTGTCTGGCATGCGTTTGGAAATTTGAGCAAGCAATGCATATTCTGCACCCCATTCTGCGGCAGAAGCAGCCTCCACTGGAAAAGGACCGTCAGAATCAAATGATTTCAATCGGACCTCATCAGGTGCTACATCCTCGATCAAGATTCGCAGAACTTCATCTGCAGAGAGCTGGCCACCACGTGATGTGCAAAGCAAGCGAGAGTGTGAGTCTGCGATGCTATGCAACAATCTTAGTGCCAAATTGCGACGTTGCCCACGTTGAGTCACTGAAGCACTGAGCCCCAGCCGGACAACGGGACACAGTTCTTCAGGGGCCAATGCCGGGTTGTAAAAGGAAGTGTCAGCAATGAGTAACTCGTCTGCGGCAGCTGCCCTGGACAAGGCTTCCAGTGCTGATTCGCAAAGCTCGCTTCCGATGATCTCATGGCTTAGCAACACTTGGACAATCCGATAGTGGAAAACCTGGGCATCATCCTCTCCCCGAACAACGCTCGCAAGGGAGCCTAGCGACTCCAAGGCATGTTTTGAACAGGCAAATTCATCTTCCTGCATTCCATCACTGATTCCATCACCTTTGGTCCTCGCCAACATAGCCATTCGATACAATAGCTCGGAAAGCTCCATGACATGAGGCTCCAGGAAATCTTTCCATGGTGCCGACTCCAGTAGTCTGTCCAGAAGGTACAGAAAGGCGCGTCGCTTTCGGATGGATTGCGAGCTTTGCAAACAGCTCTGTGAATAGCCTGCAGGAGCTGCAGGAGATGTGGAGCTAAAGGAACTGCAATGATTGTGACCGCAGTGGGTACCCACACCGTTCGTCAGCCTGGTCTCAGAAGCAATGCCTCGCATCCACAGGAAAAGGTCCTGCCACGCCACTCCGTCTATGGCCAAACAGTTTGCCAAACAGGCTGTGCAGTCCACCAAACTTCGGATCACAGCTCCATCACAGTCTAAGGAGTCCAAAGCAACAAGAAGGCCGTTCTGAAGTTTCAGTCTCTCGGAAACTGGACCGATTGACCAATATGATGGAATCTGCTTGGCCAAAAGAACACCCGCAAGCTGGCGCACAGCTGCTGTGGCAGTTGCATCGGATAGAACTGCGAAAAGTTGCAGAGGATGCGTGTCGATCAAGCATTTCTTTTCAAGTCTCAAACGCGTACGGGGAGACAACGTCACGAGAAGCTGTCCTAAGTCTTCCTTCAAGCTCATGTCTTCCGAAAAGGTGCCTGTAGCTTCGCTACGTGTACAGCAGCGAAATGCATGGCAATTATCATAGTTTTTTCCATGACAAGTCGGGACGGCATGGCTCTTGAGCCATGGCGATCATGGCTGTTTGCATCTGACAGGCACTAAACAGCATGCCACGGATATCCTGTGATCCACTTGTGCTGAAACGAAAGTTTCACATGGCAAGGCTAACAGTGCAACTGACTTCAACAAGAGTTTGTTGCATGCTGTAGAGCTTTCCAGAGCAACTTGCCTCAAGCATCGTTTGAAAAAGTTGATGATGTGGCCGACAACTTGTCCACCCCTCAGGGTCAACCATTTCAGCCACAATAAAGGAAGAAATCTGATATCAAAAACCACCAAATTGCTGAAAAACTCCAAACAAACGGAGCACCCAGTACATGCTTGCCTCGCGCTATTGTGGTCCCCCTCCACCATGATGAACTCCTGAAGCTGTCAAGTGCTCAAGGACGTACTCAACAGAACAGCTTAAAACATCAAAGGAGCGCTGCAAAGTCCTTGCTTCCCGAGTACGCATCATACAGTTGCTGTGAATGTCGAAGCTGAATGAAGGAATCTGCAAGGCTGCAGTGGAAGGCTTCGAATGTGCTTGCACACAAGAGCTTTAAATCTTTAACCCGGATCAAAGTCTTATCCCTTGCCGCTAATGAAGCATTGATTGTTTTTGCGAGCACTACAGCTTTACATAGATAGAGGTCGTTTTTTGCTCTCAATGTGGGTTTCCCTGACTGCCAGGTAGGTGGAAAATTGCCAATCATCATACCTAGGACCTATGCCTGAACAGAAGGCATCAATCAAGAATGTAGGCCCAAGTTTAAGTGGTTGCAAGAACGTCCATCATGATACTGACATTGGGCTTGTGAGGCTGACACGTGCTCTGAAAAGGTAATGGAAAAAACGCCTCGAACATGTGCAAAGTAAGAGTAGGATATGTTCCTTGTTGCTGGAAAGAGTGATCATGCTGAAGAAAGTACGCTCAATCAACATTAGACGCATGCACCCTCGTGGGAAGTGGTGCACCTGGTGTTTTGTTTCTATCTGTCACTCTGTATTCTTTCTGGTTCAGCTGCCGAAACAGTTTGGGCACGGCAAGGTTACTTGTGAACGCTTCAACACGGCTAGAACCATGCAGTGTTAGGCGGGCAGACTCTGTGAAAAAAAAACTTATGAATCGCCTGTGAAATAGAATTAAGCCCCTGGTTCCAGAGGTACTGGAACACGTGACCTAAGGTATTGAGAGTGATTGGGGGGAGGGTGCAGCAGGTTCCAAAGGCTGAGAGGACCCAGGACTGTGGAGCCTTGTTTTTTTCTGGTGCTTCTTATGCTTCTGTTTTTTTTTCCACGGCTTACTTTGTTCCCCACAGGAAACCAGGCTTTCTTCCACTCTCATCCCATCCAGCAAGACAAGATCCAAATACACAACACTACTATACGACTCCCAGGTCAACTCCTTTCGGGCCTCTTCTGCCATGCAAGAAGATCGCCGGAGCAGAACTTGCAAGTGCAGGTTCAGCATTACAATCGCAAGATTATCAATTGTACTACAACCAGAAAGCCAGAGTCATGCTGGAATTCACCCAAGAAAAGAAATCCTCCTCTTTTTCCGTTGGGACGTCAAAACACAGCTGTTCAAGACTTTCCGGAGAGCTGCCTACGTCTCGCATGATGAAGGGGCACCAAATCCTGAGCGACTCTTAGACAAAGGCTACTGAGGTGCTGAAGCGTGCCAAAGTGCGAAGGTTTTGCCTACTTGCAGGCAGTGGCCTCTATGTCAAAGTCCGCCAAAGCTTTCACTCGCACGCGGATCTCGGACAAAGCAAGCATTCAAGCTGAAGCTATTTTCATTTGCAAAATCTGAAATTGCTAGATAGCCAGACAGATAGATTAGATAGATTTGATGGAATAGATGGAATAGATAGATTCGATAGATCTGATAGATCTGATAGACAAAAAGATAAGATTTAAGATAAGATCAGATGTCAGTTAAGTCTAGATAAGGCTAGATAAGAATCTATAAGAATCGATAAGACTCCATAGGACTCGATAAGACTGGATAGATCGATAGATCGATAGGTCGATCAACCGGGGTGCGGGTTGGATCGGGACGGTGGCAGATGGCAACCTTGCGGACTACCCCGACCATCCCGCCGTCTTTGACGCTAGTTCTGCGACGCTGATCCGAACCTTTCGATGTTGATTCCGGACGCAGCTCCTTGACGCTGATTCGACGCGATAGTTTCTGACCCGGAATTTACTCCGATCGATAGATAGACAGATAGATAGACAGATAGGTAGACAGATAGATAGATAGATACAATTCAATGACAGAATGACAGAATGATACAATGATAAAAATGCATGCACACAGCTATTATGATATATACTGATATACATTACATTTATTTATACATTACATTACATTACATTACATTACATTGCATATCTTTGTTCGGCAAATCCTCCTGAGTCTCAACTATTGCAAGGACTGCGCCCACCAACCACGAAGGTACCTGAGAATTGTGTGAGAGGCGTTGGAAGCGCTCTGTGTTAGTCACCGTTGCAAACGCTTCGAGGTTTCAAAGGTGAGGAACAGAGGGAGTATAGGAACCTGTCACATCCTGTCCTCAAGATTTGTCATTTTTACTTGACACAAAGCAGAAAATGTGCACCAGGGGGTGCTGGCAACGGCCATGGGAAGTCCTTGCTCTGCGCGAGCTCCTTGCTGGGGCATGCCATCCACTCCCTAGATCTTCGGGCATTTGGGATGCATTTGAGGTCCTCTACAAGTTGCCTGAGGCTTGCGAAAGAGGAATCCAAGCAGAGAGCACCTGCATTCAGGACCAATAGGACCAAGTAAAAGGACATGAAAGGACATGAAAGGTATATACATCACAAGATATGCATATATATATATACTTATACATAGATATGCTAAGATATGTGCCAAGTGTGATCAAACAGTTCGTGACGACTCCAAAGCCAAGTGTTACCAAGAGCCGCGGCCTAAATCTGAATCTCTTCCAGAATGCATCAAGGCCGTGGCTGCCCCCATGGAGCGACCCCAGAGGCCAATTTGACCTTGCACTGTTCACACTATTCGCTTAGCAAAAGAGCCTGCTCAGCCAATGCATGGAATGCATGGAATGCATGGAATGCACAGTAGTTGAATTCTGAGTTCAACACCACAAGTGGGCAATCGTCGTAGGAAGCTGATCACAGCCTGAGATCGCCAGTGTCACCGTATGAAACCGTAACGCCGTAACTTGAACGCCCAAAACATGGCAGTGTTGGACTGTGAGTCAAAACGCAACAAGAGGGCTGCGAGATCATCTCGTTCGTGCCATCCCAAGGAGACATATTCACCTCCAGGTATTGCATGTCACTTTGTCACTTCATATGGCAAAATCACCAAGGACACACCCACGTGACCCACGTACCTGATTTCATGATATCCATGCTGCCATTACAACATATATCAACATGTTTGCAGTCTTCGGTTGACTGCTCACAAAAAGCAGCAAGCGACTTCCTGTCTAACTCTGCATGCTGTGATCGGACACAGCGCTAAACCCCCTGAGTTTTTACAAGCGAGCACTCCACTTTGAGAGCTTTTCTGGGTGAAACTAAAACCTTTTGTCGCCAGCGACCGACATCTCAAACCTCTCGGCATCCATCGTCCTGACATGTAGAACAAAAGTGTCAATAAATCATGAAGTGCATTGAAGTGCACTTGACACAACAAGAATTAAAACTTCGTTGCATGTATCACCATGAATGCAATGGAATGGAATTTGTTTTCTCTATAGCTTGCTCTTGACATCGTTAGACTAGGCTCTGCCAAACCCAAGCCTGACACTGGCGAAGCAGCGGATGATTCGACTCTGTATGCGCGGAGATGTGGTTGTAGAGTTGATAGGTCTGAAAAGCAAACCATCCGACCAGCATGAAGTTCAACGCGCTGTGACCTGAGTTGGCACCACTACCGATTAGCGACTTTGCCCTGAGCTCAAGAGGTGTGCAAGTCTTGGGCCGAGACCAAGGACCAAAAAGGGTAGATGCACCATGCCAACCATCGAGGCTACCAGAATTCCCTCAGCTTTGATGGAAACTCGAGTCCTTTCGAGTCCAAACATGTCCAAATCGTCTGATTCGTCTGAACCACAACCAAAAAATTGAGAATCGCACGATTGAAACGAGGGATAGCACCACCATGAAGATTGCCGCCGTCCGTGCAGATGCCCCGCAGAGTCTACAAAGCGCAATGATGACCTTGACAGGAATCAGACATTATCAGACTCAGTCATGCTGTCATGTTCAATCTACAGTGGACTGTGATCCGGTGGATACACAGTTTCAGAGCAAAGAGAGACAACTACACATAAAGCCTACAGCCACGTGCATGCATATCTAGAGTCTTTGGAAGCGAGCCTGAGAGCAATCCAGCGGATAGACCGGGACCTGCATCAATGCTTTGCATTCTAAAGGCTTTCTGTGTCAAGACATGCACTTTGCTTCCCACCAACAAGTTGAACACCGCCAGCAGTATCTGCAATTGCATCGCGGATCGACAAAGGCCTGGGGCAGAACTCACGGCATCGGCAAAGAGTTGCTTCGAGGTGCTCTTCACATTGCTTTCTCTCAAGGTTGGGCTGTTGGAATCAACTGGACTCAACTCATCTCAATTCGATGTCGGCCTTGTAACGGTTCCGCCCAGTGTCCAAGCTGCTGCTGACACCGCAACTCAGCCCGTCAAATTGTGGACTCATCTCAAGCTGTTTGAAGCAAGAAAAGATTTGCATTCAAGGACTCTGGTTGCACTGAGACCTTTGCAAACAACTGGAAGAAACCCAGCCACACCAAGTATTGAGGAGCGTGGGTAAGCGGGCCTCGCTTGAAAAACCACAAACCAAACAAAAGCCAGGCGCAGTATTCGATGTGTGATGTGTGTGTGTGTGTGTGACATGTGTGTTCCTTGCATTGACATCCCTTTGAGCCCTGCCTGCAAGAGCAACTAGCAAGTCCCCCTTGGCTCCGCCACCACTACTGCAAAAAGCCAAGCCCCCAAGGGGCCACAGCCTCAGTACATCGGATTGATCAGTGTGAATTATCGATGAACTCTTGCATCTTGCTTTGAGCAATTATGATCAATTAGCAATTTCAATGAAGGCCATGCTCTCAGCCAAACACAGGATACGATCGACGCGGCCACCAACTAACTTGGCACCTGGATACTCAAAATCCGTCCACACCACTGCTGGCAACAAAGAGTCTCTCCGAAAAGCGCGGTAGACGCGAAGACAAATTGCCACGCACAAGAATAAAGTATGTACATATGATTGCGAAAATGCACAGTAAGATATGATGTTACGTAGTAATACATGATTGTGCAAGGTATCAGTATCGTATTCTGGATATTAAATAGATATGTGGCATTATGTGGCACATGCAACAGCTGCAGGTTTAGCTGCAGGGAACTTAGTTTTTGGAGACCATCTCCAAGTGGTACTTCCGCGTCTTTAGTTGCAATTGTGCGCATGTGTGGATACCAATTTGGTATCTTGGTATTTGTGGCTGTGTCTGCATGTGCGTGCAGGGGCATGGGGGGGCCGCTGTCTGCCATACATTCTGCTTGGGGGTGGTGAAAAGAGTCCTGGTTCAAATTCAGAAAAGACAGTAGTACAATAGCCTGTCGCGTCTCTTTTTTGAGAGTCCATGCACTACTGGACCCTCGAAAATCCAATCTTAGCGTTTCCTGCCATTCGCGGTGAGAGACTGCCAGTAGATTCAAAAACTGTATTTGCAAGTCTTGCGCCGCTCTGTTGAGGTCCGCAGTTGGTTTGTGCAGGCCTGGTCTGCTTGATTGATGAGGTCAGCCATCTGGTTGGCATACTCTCTGGCACCACTCGGACAAGTTGCTGTATTGTACAAGTATGTCACTCTTCGCTTGAACAAGACACTCAAAGTGGCCTGCGCAGTGGCCGAACTCATGCAGGAGCACCTTAGGCCAAAAAAAAGGAGGCAGAACATGGCAGGACCTTAATTGTCAAATTGTGGTACTTCACGTCACTATGTCTTGCACTGTCAAGAAGAGGATCAGGAAGCTCATAAAACACCTCAGGTGTATCAAGGTTCCAAGAACGAGCATGTACAAAAGAAATCAAAGGTACTTGCTGGCTGCGGTGTGTAGCATTGTGTGGCTTTAATGAATGATTTCCATGCATTCGAGCAACAGGCCAGCTGCACGTAAGACCTATCAATCCAGCTTGGTGATAATCAGGAAGCCCGTTTAGTCGCTTTGCTTGGCCCTGGCATGGATCGCTTGCATTCTGGCGATCCTTTGTGGTTCAGGCTTTGCCACTGATCGTCACTGATCATTGACTTTTCTTGATCTGTCTGCAGAGAAAAGATGTCCTCCTCATTGGAGAGCTCCCAGACAAAGAATGCGATCAAGAAGAAGTGAATCTGGCAGTACTGCACATTGTCCATGTGGAATTTATCAGAAGATTCAAAATCATGCAGAGAAATGCAGACAGTGAAATCTGAGAAAGGCACGTAGACCGGAATACCACAAGGGCTGCAAATTTGATATTCCAATGGAAATCCACCAAACCTCCAATTCGGAAAGGGATAACAAGAGTCAAATCTGCATGCCACAGGTTGACCATACCACCTCTTCGGTTGCTCCTATGCTACGGGCTGGCCTTTCCACCGCCATCGCAAAGAACTGGCCAAGGTATTTATCGACTTTTATCTTAGAGTATATTGAACCTATATGCTTAAGCTCTTGCTCTTTGATGTGCAAAATTGCGCTGCGCAGATCCTGTCAAAACTTGCTGCTTGAAATAATACCCTGAGTCTGGCATAGAGTGGCAGTTTCTGCTGACACACCTTCAGTACACGTTGCTATTTCGCATTGAAGACGACGAGTATAGCTTTGCCCCGTGCTTGAGCAAAAGAAAAGCAGTTGTGGTTTGCGCTACCAGGCACCATCCTGGAACAGAAATTGCAAGCAACAGGTGAGAAACGGTAAAAACAGGCAAAGTGTTTCGACCTTCGGATTGGCCACAGCCAGCCGCATCAAAGCAGAACAAAGCCATGCGCCTTGCACTTCAAGGCATGCATTCAAAAAGGAATCAAATCACCCGCAAAAACCATGAAGTGTGGACTGAGTGGCAGGACTGCGAAATCAAGGCGCCAACCTAGGAATATAGCTACAACATCAGACCGTTTGCACAGATTTGGGGGTCAGATACTGTTCTCTTTTTGATAGCATGCACAGGCATGAACCTGGAGCGACTAGTGCAAGGCTGCAGGCATGAAACGCAGGAAATACATCGAAATACGACCATCAATACACATGATGTGTCACATGTGTATAGATTCGATAGATATCGATAGATTTCGTTTTTGTGTATCGCACATGGCTGGGCCGCTTGGATTTTCTTACCAACATCTTACCAACATCTTACCAACATCTTACCAACATCTTACCAACATCTAGGTGTCCGGTATCTGGCACCTTTAGGCCTTTGGTGCAGAATGGAGAAGCAACTTTCGCAAGAAAATAAACTGATACGTTGCCAATCACTGCCATACATTGGCGACAAAATCAAAGAAAAAGTGCAACTCTCCTTCGTTTTAGCATGCGCCAAAATATGAAATCATGTGAAGCTGCCACGGGTTCAGGATATGTATCGTGCAGTGAAGTGAGAAAGACGTTCAGTGAAGTACACGATTACACAACAGCATAAGTCGCAGTATGAGTCGCAGTATTAGTCACGAATATCCTACATACTACTGAAAAGTTTGGGGGGTGAGACCCAAATGGGGTGAGAAAACCACCTTTAAAAATATGAGAAAACATGGGAAATTAGGGAAAATCATGGAAGATAATGAAGAAAATATGACAACATGACAAGGGACATAGAAACATGACAATTTGAGAATTTGACAGTTTGCGAGAACTGTGGCTCAAATTTCTCAGTCAATGCGCTTGGATGGTATCCAGCACGAGTTTGCAATGTCAAGGGCTCAGGTTCGTACAAAGCCTGTGGGCAGATCCATTACATGTGATTCTCAAAGGAGAATCAGGACAGCAGTGGTCTCCTGTTTCTTGAAGGTCAAAACATCTTCAAATGAATGGGCTTCAAATGGCAGGGTCTCACAGAGGGCAAGGTAGGGCAGGGTCTCGCCCATCAAACATCTTCAAATAAATAAGAGCAGATGGCAGGGTCTCACACATCAAGGAAGGCAGAATCTCACATAAAGGCAGGGCTTCACAGAAGACAGGGTCTCGCCCACTAAACAAAGGCAGGGTCTCACAGAAGGCAGGGCATCATAAAATAAAACATAAATAAACAAAGTCAGGGTTTCTCACAGAAGGAAGAGTCTCACAGAAGGCAAAGCCTCACAGAAGCCAGGGCCTCACAGAGGGCAAGGCCTCACAGAAGCCATGGTCTCACAGAAGGCAAGGTCTCACAGAGGGCATGGTCTCACAGACAGCAAGGTGTGTCACTCATAGCAGGGACTCACACAAGGCATGGTTTCACAGAACACAAGGTGTCACATGTTGAACTGAGGCCTAACTCCCACAGAAGGCAGGGCATCACAGAAGGCAGGGCCTCACAGAAGGCAAGGCCTCAAAGAAAGCAAGGTCTCACAGAGGGCCCAACATTATGAACAAAGGCAGGGTCTCAGAGAAGGAAGGGCCTCACAGAAGGCAACGCCTCACAGAAGCCAGGGTCTCACAGAAGGCAAGGCCTCACGGAAGCCAGGGTCTCACGGAAGGCCAAGTCTCACAGAAGGTCTCGCAGAAAGGCTTCACAGAAGACACAGTCTCGCCCATTGAACAAAGCCAGGCTCACAGAAGGCAGGGGGGTGCCAAGCCTAGTGTGGCTACAAGCATGCGTATCACATATGGCGCAATGCAGGGTCTCACACAATAGACAGGGAAATAAAGGATTCCGCACCTGAAGGTGTTTTCACCCGTGAAATCACACGCTCCCGAACTGTTGCTCTCCTCTACTGCTCCCACACGCGAGCTGCTCTTGCTCACTTTCCGGCCCTGGACACTCTTCCATAACTGAAGCTTAGGATTTTATATTTGGTCTTCGATAGGAGCAAGATTCAATCTATAGACATGCTGCACATTTTTCGATAAGAACAGATGGCAGGGTCTCACACATCAAGGAAGGCAGGGCCTCACAGAAAGGCAGGGCTTCACAGAAGACAGGGTCTCGCCAGGGTCTCACAGAAGGCAGCAGGGTATCATAGAATATAGTTAAGGACAGCTGGTAGGCAGGGATCCGCGCTGATGATCTAGTAAGCAGATTAGGTACACTTAAGTACCCCCATGATAGCAAATTCTGAGGTACACTTCTGCCCACTGGGGTGCCTTTGTTTGTATGTTGTATGTAGCTGAATCTGCCTACTGGGGCCGGGGCTCCCACCATTATGTATATAAACAAATTACATATACCTCAGAATTTGCTATCACGGGGGTACTTAAGTGTACTTGCCAACTAGATGGGCGTGGGGGTACAATTCTTACTAGATATTACTAGATCATCAGCGCGGATCCCTGCCTACAGGCCATCCTTAGCTATGAATAGTATCGGTGGGAGATGCACCCTCTGCCAACTGGTAGGAGTGGCGGTCTTGATTTTTCTTGCACCTAGTATCCAATACCCCAAGGTCATGAAACACATAGTACTGCAGTAAGCAGATGGTGGGGGGGGCGGGTTTGCTTTCTTTTTCCCCTCTTCTTGGTCCTTCTCTACCCCATGGTGGAACTACATTACTATTTGCTCCTAATTTGCGGGGTTGTATGGGTCCCCGTGCGGACAGGCAGCGTACATGCATACATTAAGGATAGACAGTATAGACAGTGCTAGTGCTGGTGCTAGTGTTAGTGCCAGTGCTGTTCAGCAAATGGAGCCGCGAACTGAGGCGATGTCTCTCTATCTATCTATATATCTATATCTACCTATCTACCTATCTATTTGTATATATGCACATGTCTATGTATATGCTCATTATATCCTCAATGGAAAGGAGGTGCAGTAAGCAGAAGCCACAATATGTTTCGCACCCTTCTGAGGTACACTTCTGCCTACTACCCCTGCTTGTCCAAAACCTGCGAAAATAGCCTCCCCGACGAACATGCTAAAAACACACCAAATCGGACACATTTTAGGGCAGTAGTAACACTAAATTTCCTGCCTCCTGCCTACCGGACGTCTCAGACTATAAGCCACGTCAAGGTCTCACAGAAGGAAGGGTCTCACAAAAGGCAGAAGCCAGGGCCTCACAGAGGGCAAGGCCTCACAGAAGCCAGAGTCTCACAGAAGGCAAGTCTTAGAGGGGAAGGTCTCACAGAAAGCAAGGTGTGTCACTCATAGCAGGGACTCACACAAGGCATGGTTTCACATCTGAAACAAAGGCATGGTTTCACAGAACATAAGGTGTCACATGTTGAATTGAGGCTTAACTCTCACAGAAGGCCGGGCCTCACAGAAGGCAGGGCCTCACAGAAGGCAGGGCCTCACAGAATGCAAGGTCTCACAGAAAGCAAGGTCTCAGAGAAGGAAGGGTCTCACAGAAGGCAAAGCTTCACAGAAGCCAGAGTCTCACAGAAAGCAAGGCCTCCCAGAAGCCAGGGCCTCGCAGAAGGGCAAGATCTCACAGAGGGTCTCACAGAAAGGCAGGGCTTCACAGAAGACAGAGACCATTAATTAAACAAAGGCAGAGTCTCACAGAAGGCAAGGCCTCACAGAAGCCAAGGTCTCACGGAAGGCGAAGTCTCACAGAGGGCAAAGCCTCACAGAAAGCAAGGTGTGTCACTCATAGCAGGGACTCACATAAGGCACGTTTTTACATCTGAAACAAAGGCATAGTCACACAGACGCAAGGTCTCACATGTTGGATGAAGGCCTAGCTCTCACAGAGGCAGGTCCTCACAGAAGGCAGGGCCTCACAGAATGCAAGGTCTCACAGAATGCAAGGTCTCACAGAAAGCAAGGTCTCACAGAGGGTCTAACATTATGAACAAAGGCAAGGTCTCAGAGAAGGCACAGGAGGGAAGGCCTCACAGAAACGCAGGCTCTCACAGACTGCAGGGCCTGACTGAAGGCAAGGCCCAACATGTGAAAGAAGGCTGGGTCTCATAGAAGGCAGGGTCGCACATAGGACAGAAGGCAAAACTTCACATGTGAGAGAAAGCAAGGTCGGACATGTGACAAAAGGTAGGGTCTCACATATGGCAGAAGAGGGTCTCGCATATGACAGAAGGCAGGGTGTCACACACGAAAGAAGGAGGGGTCTCGCACATGACAGATTGCAGGGTCTCACAGATCTAACAGGGTCTCGCATGACAAGGCCTCACTCACTGGGCAAGCAAATTCAAATAAAGGTCGTAAACAGGCCAGAAGGGAAGGCATCAGAGAAGGCAGGGCGTCATAGCAATTTCTCGCCAAAAAAAGCATATTGCAGAAGTCTGGGTGCAGCATGGTTTCACAGATGGCAAGGTCTCACGGAGGGGAAGGCAGGGTCTCACAGGAGGCAGGGTCCCACATCTGAAAGAAAGCATCTTATTTGCAAAGGAAGCATAGGAAAGCAAAATGTTTTTTTTCCGTGATTCTTATGTTTTTCTCTTGTTTTTACCAAATAATCATGTGCCTTCCATGTTTTTCCTGGCAACCCTGGAAAACATCTAATGGGAGGGGTTTGGGAAGGATTATGGGGTGTGTGGGGAGGTGGGTGGGGGGGTTGGTGGTGGTGGGGGTGGGAAGGGGAGGGGTTAAGGAGAATGGAAGGGGTTGGGCAAAGTGTTAAGGGGGTGTGGAGGGGGGTGGGGGGGCTATTGTGGACAGGAGGGGGTGTGCTGAGGGAGGGAAGTCTTGCTCGCCCCGTTAATTGCGTTTTCCTCGCCCCGTTAATGTTGTCGAACGTTTGTCGGAGGAGGTGGTGGGAGGGATTAAGGGAGAATGGAAGGGGTTGGGGAGGGTGTTAAGGGGGTGTGGAAGGAGGTGGAAGGGGGTGGGGGTGGACAGGAGGGGGGGTGGTCCTGCTCGCCCCGTTAATTGCGTTTTCCTCGCCCCGTTAATGATGTCGAACGTTTGTCGGAGGAAGGGGTGGGAGGGATTAAGGGAGAAGGGAAGGGGTTGGGGAGGGTGTTAAGGGGGCGTGGAAGCGGGTGGAAGGGGGTGGGGGTGGACAGGAGGGGGTGGTGGTCCTGCTCGCCCCGTTAATTGCGTTTTCCTCGCCCCGTTAATGTTGTCGAACGTTTGTCGGAAATCTGCCCTATTCCGACCCTTCCAGCTGCTGTGAGACGCTGCCTTCTGAAAGACCCTACCTACTAGGCTTCTGTCCTGCGAGATCCTGTTAGATCTGTGAGACTTGCAATTTGTCATCTGTGAGACCCTTCCTTCTTTCGTGTGTGAGACCCTGCCTTCTGTCATAAGCGAGACCCTGTTAGATCTGTGAGACCTTGCAATGTGTCATGTGCGAGACCCTCCTTCTTTCGCGTGTGAGACCTTGCCTTCTGTCATATGCGGGACCCTCTTCTGCCATATGTGAGACCCTACCTGTTGTCACATGTAAGACCTTGCTTTCTCTCACATGTGAAGTTTTGCCTTTTGTCCTATGTGCGACCCTGCCTTCTATGGGACCCAGCCTTCTTTCACATGTTGGGCCTTGCCTTCAGTCAGGCCCTGCAGTCTGTGAGAGCCTGCGTTTCTGTGAGGCCTTCCCTCCTGTGCCTTCTCTGAGACCTTGCCTTTGTTCATAATGTTAGACCCTCTGTGAGACCTTGCTTTCTGTGAGACCTTGCATTCTGTGAGGCTTTGCCTTCTGTGAGGCCCTGCCTTCTGTGAGAGTTAGACCTCAGTTCAACATGTGACACCTTGTGTTCTGTAAAACCATGCCTTTGTTTCAGGTGTGAAACCATGCCTTGTGCGAGTCCCTGCTGTGAGTGACACACCTTGCTTTCTGTGAAGTTTTGCCCTCTGTGAGACTTTGCCTTCTGTGAGACCATGGCTTCTGTGAGGCCTTGCCCTCTGTGAGGCCCTGGCTTCTGTGAGGCTTTGCCTTCTGTGAGACCCTGACTTGGTTTATTTTATGATACCCTGCCGTTTGTGAGACCCTGCCTTTGTTTAAGGGGCGAGACCCTGTCTTCTGTGAAGCCCTGCCTTTCTGTGAGACCCTGCCGTCTGTTTAATTTATATCGAAAAATGTGCTACCTGTCTATAGATTGTACCTTGCTCCTAGTATAGACCAAATATAAAATCCTAAACTTCAGTTATGGAAGAATGTCCAGGGCCGGTCCTGTCATTCTGCCGCCAACCAGAAAGTGAGCAAGAGCAGTTCGCGTGTGGGAGCAGTAGAGGAGAGCAACAGTCCGGGAGCGTGTGATTTCACGGGTGAAAACACCTTCAGGTGCGGAATCCATTGTTTCCCCCTGTCTATTGTGTGAGTCCCTGCTATGAGTGACACACCTTGCTTTCTCTAAAGTTTTGCCCTCTGCTAAACCTCGCCTTCCGTGAGACCCTGGCTTCTGTGAGGCCTTGCCTTCTGTGAGACCCTGGCTTCTGTGAGGCTTTGCCTTCTGTGAGGCCCTTCCTTCTGTGAGACCCTGACTTAGTTTATTTTATGATACCCTGCCGTCCGTGAGACCCTGCCTTTGTTTAATGGGCGAGACCCTGTCTCCTGTGAAGCCCTGCCTTTCTGTGAGACCCTGCCTTCCTTGATGTGTGAGACCCTGCCATCTGTCCATCTGTTCTAATTTATATCGAAAACTGTGCTACATATCTATAGATTGTATCTTGCTCCTATCGAAGACCAAATATAAAATCCTAAGCTTCAGTTATGGAAGAAGTGTCCAGGGCCGGTCCTGTCATTCTGCCGCCAACCAGAAAGTGAGCAAGAGCAGCTCGCGTGTGGGAGCAGTAGAGGAGAGCAACAGTTCGGGAGCGTGTGATTTCACGGGTGAAAACACCTTCAGGTGCGAGGTCCTTTATTTCCCTGTCTATTGTGTGAGACCCTGCATTGCGTCATATGTGATACGCATGCCTGTAGCCAAACTAGGTCACGCCGGCATTAGCGGCGCTGGACTTTTTGGCAGCTGGCGTGCAGCGATGTCTGTGTTAGTGAAATAGAGCTGGCATGGCCGCCCAGACATCTCCTTTACAGTTGCGGCGCCACATCCAGCTGTAAATCCAATCCCACAACGCAGGATTAACCTTTTTGGTTTTTGGATCCTTTACTGTGATCTCGGATGGAACATACTTCTTCAAATCTTGCCATGCTCTGTCCAAGGTTTGAGTGCCAGCGGTCACTGGCTTTTGATTCAAACCATGTACTTGACGGCTAAATTCTAAAAGAGAATGGTTGACACTGGCATAAGGCAAGGCAGCATCTTCTGCTGCTTTCTTCCAAGCTCGTAGCATCCACGTGGTGTGCAAGTGTACATGAACGTTAACATCCCACCCCACCCCCCATCCCAGCCCCAAGTAGCAGCAACGTAGCATCCACGTGGTGTGCAAGTGTACATGAACGTTAACATCCCACCCCACCCCCCATCCCAGCCCCAAGTAGCAGCAACGTAGCATCCACGTGGTGTGCAAGTGTACATGAACGTTAACATCCCACCCCACCCCCCATCCCAGCCCCAAGTAGCAGCAACGTAGCATCCACGTGGTGTGCAAGTGTACATGAACGTTAACATCCCACCCCACCCCCCATCCCAGCCCCAAGTAGCAGCAACGTAGCATCCACGTGGTGTGCAAGTGTATGCGGATGAGGAATAAACGGCTCTGATATGTGAAAAAATAGTAAATTCCCCAGCGCCGCTAATGCCGGCGTGAGCCCAAACTAGGCTTGGCACCCCCCTGCCTTCTGTGAGACCCTGCCTTTGTTTAGTGGGCCAGGCCCTGCCTTCTGTGAAGCCCTGCCTTTCTGTGAGACCCTCTGTGAGGTCTTGCCTTCTGTGGGACCCTGGCTTCTGTGAGGCTTTGCCTTCTGTGAGGCCCTTCCTTCTCTGAGACCCTGCCTTTGTTCATAATGTTGGACCCTCTGTGAGACTTTGCTTTCGACGCCCTTCCTTCTGTGAGAGTTAGGCCTCAGTTCAACATGTGACACCTTGTGTTCTGTGAAACCAGGCCTTTGTTTCAGATGTGAAACCATGCCTTGTGTGAGTCCCTGCTATGAGTGACACGCCTTGCTTTCTGTGAGACCTTGCCCTCTGTGAGACCTTGCCTTCTGTGAGATCCTGGCTTCTGTGACGCTTTGCCTTCTGCGAGGGGCCTTCCTTCTGTGCTGCCTTCTGTGAGACCCTGCCTTTGTTTAATGGGCGAGACCCTGTCTTCTGTGAAGTCCTGCCTTTCTGTGAGACATGCCTTCCTTGATGTGTGAGACCCTGCCATCTGTTCTAATTCATTTGAAGATATTTGAAGATGTTTGATGGGCGAGACCCTGCCCTACCTTGCCCTCTGTGAGACCATGCCATTTCAAGCTCGTTCATTTGAAGATGTTTTGACCTACAAGTAAAAGGAGACCACTGCTGTCCTGATTCTCCTTTGAGAATCACATGTGATGGATCTGCCCACAGGCTTTGTACGAACCTGAGCCCTTGACATTGCAAACTCGTGCTGGATACCATCCAAGCGCACTGACTGAGAAGTTTGAGCCACAGTTCTCGCAAACTGTCAAATTCTCAAATTGTCATGTTTTTATGTCCCTTGTCATGTTGTCATATTTTTTCATTATCTTCCATTATTTTCCCTAATTTCCCATGTTTTCTCATATTTTTAAAGGGGTTTTTCTCACCCCATTTGGGTCTCACCCCCCAAACTTTTCAGTGAACATACTCTTTTTTGAGCTTTCTACGCAAATTGCCTCCTATATCCTCCTATACTTAAAGATCCTATATATAACAATTGCACAAGATGCTAAGGAATTTAAAAAATGTTGCCCCCACGCTATGACAGCGATGGAAGCTTTGCTGGAAGCGGAGGAGACCAGCTAATGCCAACTCTCCGTGAGAAAGCCATGCTACTTGCATGACGGGGTAAACCAAAGAATCAGTTTGAAGCTTCTGGGAAAAAGAAAAAGAAGAATGAAGAAACAAAGTTCTTCTTGGCATCCCCGCAAGGTTGCAGGCTTCCAAGCGGCTGGATGAATTTCCATGCAAATAAACAACCACCTCAATATTCCAAATGATTGCCAAAATATCTGCATTTCTGATACGCAAGTTTGAGCTGAAATAGATCTCTCCAGTCAATGGTTGGCAGGAACAATATGAGGCCGGGAAGAGAGCAGGAAAGCGTTGAATTTCAGCCTTCTTGTCCTGCAAGATTGAAGAAAAAGAACCCAACAAAAAGGACAGTACTTCAGAAACTTCACAAATTGCGTTGCATTGTATCAAGCATCGAAACTTGTTTTGACCTGGCTTGGAGAGAAGAAAGAGCACGAAAGAAGAACACCTCTTTGAGTCCTTGAGAATGCACTGAACACAGCACGCATCAAACATTAGCAAATCTCGAGACTGTCTAGAGACTGTTGAGAAAATGCGAGACGTTCAGATTTGTTCTGCACATTTTAAATGCTGAGAAGTCCTGAGCTTCACATCTCGCCTAGTTGCTCTGACTCCGCCCGCAACAAACCTTGGCAAGGCACCAAAATCATGCAAGGATGAGAAAGTGATCAGAACGTGGAGACTTCACAACAAATTCACGCATGTTTTCTATCCCAGAAGCTCAGCAGGACCAAGATCAGACTCATCATAAGTAGCGCGAGGCCTTCATGGCGAAAGTGATCGAAAGGCAAAAAAGGCACCCAGGGTGTTAGCGGCCGCTTTCGTAGCTCACAATATTTTGCAACATGTTGCAGCAACAACAACAACAACAACAACAACAACAACAACAACAACAAGTGAACCAGCCAGCCCGGGGGGAGGGGGGAGGTATAACTGTGAAGTTTCATGCAATTGGAGATTCCAGCCCCCTTTCGTGACAACAACATCAACAACATCAACATCATCAACATCATCAACATCATCATCATCATTATCTGTTTGACTCTTTTTGAAACAGTAGATGATCGATGTCAATTCGTTGCCACTTGTTTGGTTTACAACTTCCCTTCAAGGCAACTGTTGCCACTCACTCGGCACTGCACGGTCGAATGATCAGGTTCCACAACTTAAATTCGTACCTGCCAGACGCATTGACATTGACATGGCATTGACATTGGCATTGACATGGAGTCATTGGGCCAAATTCATTGACACAAAAGTTTGTTTCAGCAGGCGCTGGATGGCGTTCAGATCATCAAGCCCATTCGCAGAACTTTCATCTTGTTTCGCCTGACAAAACGCAGCAAAGAAAGTCAACAAACCGTAACAAACCGTAACAAACCAGTCGAAAAGAGAAGAATATTCAGAATACAGGTCTCAACAGAAAAGATGTCCACGCTAAACACGCCAAGGGCACAATACATCGAGATGAAGACGTTGTTCCCAGGCAGGACATGAGATGGCAGAGGGCAGGGAAATGTGAAGAGGTTAAAGCATATCGTTTGCCTTTCACTTGCTTGATGAGCCAGGAATGAGGACCATGGTTGTATTGCTGCTGCCTTCTTTGGTGCTCAGTTGCTCAGTTGAAGTCAGGGCCTATAGATATGTTAGAGGCGGTGAAATGCAACTGGAGTTCGGAATCTTAGAAGCTTGTATGCAGCAGGGTGAATTATTATCGTCTATATGAGATACTTTGCTCTACAACTGGTCAGCGTGTCAATGAGTACGTTCGCCCTTCCTTGGGCCGGAATGGAGCAATGCATATCGTTGTCATCCTCCACAGTCTGTGGCGCCAAGAGCAACGAGCAAGCACGATTGATGAGAAACACAGAATGCCATGTGGCACTGTAAAGATGAACAATATTGCCATATTGCCGCTTCTTTGCACTGCTGCGCGATGGCCGTCTCTGACACTTCTGCCCACTTTCGGCAAAGGTGAAAAGCTCTCGACAAGTCTCAGGTCCTCTCAGGTCCTCCAGATCCTCTGCCTCAGCCAAGCACACACTTAAAACATCTTAAAACTGCTGATCCACTGCAGTGAATCAGTTCTAGTTTACCAGAAACTACAAAAACTACCATTTGCTGTGACACACCAGACATCTCTGCTCTCTTTGGTGTCCTCCTTACACCATGATGATGAATGTGTACCTTCGTCTATCTCACTCCAAACAAGTATATACACATGTGGATAGCGTTCAATCGTTCACTTCCATGTTCATGTTTCAGTGTGCATTGATTTCATGGGTTTATGTCCATGTCTCATAATGAGATATTGAAAACCGTGCTTACCGTCTGCTTCTCCCTGAATCTAGGATAGAATCCAAATGCTGCAAGACTTGACAGAGAGAGACGCGAGTGGGAATCCCAACAGGAGGTGCCCTTCATGTCCTTCATGAAAGCCCTTGGAATATGCATGAAGCTGTCAATCGCAAACAGGTTTGGCGGGACCAAGCAGGAGCGAGTATTGCCACACCAAGAAAATATATCTTCAACGATATTCAACCCACCCCGCATGCACCGCATATAGAAAGCCTCAAGTAATGGAACTCCAAACCAGCCTGAGCGTCATATTCATAGCATCAGGGGAATACAAATACAAATCCCTCACTGGGTCTCAGCTCACGTACATGGTCTATCAGGAACAGAGAGATAAATGTCACATCTTGTCTGAATTTGATGTACACCGTCTAAGAGAAACACAGGGATGGGCATAGAAGAAAGAAAGTGCCATTCCAGGCAAAACTTATCCGGGTCAATCGTTAAGACCCGGAGCAATGCGCGTCAGCGGAATCACAATTCTGGCGTTCCGCCAGTCCCCATTATCACATCTCTGAAAGGCTTTGGTTCATCACCTAGTAGTCGTATGTTTGTGTGTGTGTGTGTGGAAGGAAGGAAGGAAGGAAGGAAGGAAGGAAGCAAGGAAGGAAGGAAGAGTCTTGCATTCACAGAAACACCTGTCTATAGGCAAGACAAAGATATATAAGAGCCCAAGTGCACAAAAATGTGCGTACATGTGTATATAGAATTTATAGACATATATGTATCTGTATAAATATATATATATATGTGTGTTGCATTGGCTCAGCAGCTAATAGCGCCACACCTTTTTTACTTGTGGGGCGCACCTGGAACTGTTGTTGGCCTGGGAATCAGGCCTACTTGGATTGACAGCTATGGCTGTGCCGGCAAAGGGATGGCTCTCTGAAGACGGCTGAGCTTTGGTTGTGGGTTAAAACAGGCTATTTTTGCGTAAGTAAGAACCCACAAAAAGTTTTTGAACAACGAGCAGAGCAGTGGAAGGTGGGGTGGTGGTGGTGACCCTAAAAGAGGCTGCGTGCCCAATCAAACATGAGAGAGGCATGTGTTGCATTGGCTCAGCAGCTAATAGCGCCACACCTTTTTTACTTGTGGGGCGCACCTGGAACTGTTGTTGGCCTGGGAATCAGGCCTACTTGGATTGACAGCTATGGCTGTGCCGGCAAAGGGATGGCTCTCTGAAGACGGCTGAGCTTTGGTTGTGGGTTAAAACAGGCTATTTTTGCGTAAGTAAGAACCCACAAAAAGTTTTTGAACAACGAGCAGTCCCAAACATCCCAAACTTCCTAAGGCGGCTGAGTTCCTCTTAAGTGTAAAGAGCGGACGGGTCGAGATGCTCTCTGTGCATCTGCGTCAGACTGCCTATATGCACCTGGTAGTCTATCAGGTGGTCTTATCATATAATTCCATCGTTGTCCGAATAGGGCACCGATCATGGCAAACAAACAGTGAAGCAGCAAGGTAGTCAAAAAACCTGGCTGCCAAAATGGATGAGAACTACTGTTGCTTCCTTGCGTGCTCTCATCAGGCATCATGTACGGTGGCGCGACTAACGAGGACTCAAAACTTGTGACTGCCTCATCAAGGATTGTATCCACCAACATGATGACAAGGCTGACAGAACGTCTGATGATGAGTCGCACGCTAGTAGCCAAGCTCTTTGCCACAAGGACATGAAACAATGGCCTAGATAATACAACTTCCGAAATGACTACAAGCATCAGTGAGAGCATGATCCTACCCCGCAGCTTTCCAAGGAGCCATTGAAGCAGCATCCGCGGGATGCTTGAAATAAGTTTGCAACAAGCCAAAATGTTTCCCATTCTTCTCTGCTGCGGGGGAGTGAGCGCTTTGATTTCCAAAAGCTTGCTCTGACAACCTACGCTTTGCAAATTGGTTGAATCTAGGGTCAGACCTATAACTACGGGCAGCCTTCTTCAAATCTTCCCATCCAACGTCCAAGAACCTAGCTCCCTTCAAAGGACCACCCGCCACCACTGCCTTCTTGAACTGCCGTTCGATTTCTTCCCCATGCTCTAATGACTGCGACGGCATGTTCGGGTCTTTCGATTTGCAGACTGGGGCATGTACCAAATGCTCCAGGGCCACTTGAGCAGCAAGGAACTTCGGGAGCACGAGGAGAAAACTGAAACGGCACAAGAAGCTCTTCAACTGACGGGCGACAACTGATGGTATTGAAAGTGCTATTTGTTCTGCACGCGCTATCTGCACGTAGTGTTCTAAAGACCTGAGGTGTGCCCAACGTCCTAGAAGTCTGACCCTATTGATTTCCATCCCCTGGTCCACAAGCAAGGTTGCTCCACCAGCACGCAGCGACGCTGGTGACAGTCGCAGCTCTCTGATTTTCATAGCACTGCAGACGGTCTTAAACATGTGTCTAAATTTTGCAGCTGTGCCAGGCCAACGAACTGCATGTTCCTGTGGAGCTCTCATCTTCAGCCAGCAGAGCCAGTTTACAGCGTCTGGGTGTCGTAACTCAGTGAACTGTAGCCGTCCCATTTGTCTGGCGTTCTTTGGCCGCACCAGTCTGATCACAGCAAATGAACATCCGACTGCCAAAGAGTTAGGCAAGGTTGCGTCAGCAGCTCTCAGGGCTAATAACTCTCCAGGCCTCAGCAGCCCGAAAAATCCCACCAGTAGCAAGGCTGAGAAAATCATCCAAGCGTCACAAGATTTTTGGTCGGCCGACTCATGAGCTAACAACCTGGCTTTGCAAACCATCACACATAGCAGAGGCAAAGGTATGGGAGGTCTCAAACCTGATGGTTTCTGTTCTTCCCACGATTTCAAGGAGTTCCAAGTGCCTTACAAAGAGTGACGAAGTCTTGGTCTAATGACCTGCACCCACAGTATGCCATGCTTGGCAACCCTCAAGCTAGATCGCCGATCATCGGCGTGCTTCTCTCGTACAAACTGTTCCAGAATTTCGTCTACAACTCGTGCCTTTCCACGTTGGACCAGATTCCAGTCCAACTCCTTTCTGTCAAAAAACTCTCGCAAAGATCTGCCTCCTTCCAACAGCCGCCTCTGGTAGGCGATACTGTATTTTCCCCAGCGAAGCTTCAAGGCGCTGGCTCCAGTAGGTCCGTCTCCAAGGCGAGACATGCATCCATGCAAATGCGTCGGATGACGCCTAATTATGTCCTCATGCAAGTAACATGCAACAGTGTAAAAAACTATCAACCCAGGTATGATTCTATAGAAAAGCTTTTTCGAAACAGCGAGAATATGTCTGACAGAGTCGTGCTGGATAGTTTCCTGCCAGCGATGACCTCTTTTGCCATTTGTTTCCCCACTTGACTCCTCCCAAAACGGCGACGTGTTCATGATCGTGACTGCAACGGATGCTCAAACCTTCCAAGTGTGGCATGGTGCCCGCAAAAATGGTTGGCTTTTTGGCTGCACTCATGACTCCGTTATTATGTGGTATTTTCAGCCCTAACATGCATTGATCAAGGGAGATTATCTTGGACCCCGTGCTGCTTAACAGGTGGCACATTTCTGGCATTTTCCATGCCCAAGAGCTTAGTGGGTTCTCTAGGGTGAAGAATGAGCCGTGTGCGTGTAGCAAGTGACAAAGGTGAATTGTTCTCCGCAAGATCTGATTGCCAAGTCTCTCACGCTGCAAGCTGTCATCTCCTTCAGGTCTATGTTTTGTCCTAGTACCTTTGTTCATGTTTTGCAATATGCTGAAGGAACCACATGGAAATCCAAAATGCCACAATTGTTTGGGTTTGGATGCATCCTTACAAAGTCGCTCAAAAACTGCGTCGTTCAAGATATCATGGTGCGGATCAACCCTTCCATTTTGCATGATTTCAACTGGAGTTTGAACTGTAAAATTGTTTCGTTTTCTGAACGTTGAAGTTAAATGTCCCGAGCCCGCAAAAATCTCACGAAAGGACCACCCCTTTGCAGCGGGGTGTTCGACCTTCCCCATCGCACGCTGCGGTTTCCGTATGTTTTTGGGACCGGCGCCAAGTCCGTCAGGTTCAGGACTGATTGGATCCCCAGCGTCGGATTGCTGTTTGCGGACTTCCCTCCAGATATCGCGGTTCGACCGGCGGGTCCTAAAGTGGTCAAGCTCTTTCCCAAAAATTTCTTTTGAAAGCTCATTAGGGGGCCCTGTTGGTTCAGGGATACGTTTACCCCTTGAAGGATAATCGGCAGGGTTACACTCCGACCTAACCCAAACTAAATGGAGGGTCTTACGTCCCAGCAAAGTCCAACCCAGCGCTCTACGTAAGATACGGTTCAAATTTTTTGAAGATGATCTGCCTTTCGACCAAGCACCTGCTGCGGCCCGGGAATCCACCAGTAGCACACAACGCAAAGGATCAGAGCCTTGGTGAACTAAATCTTGCAGCTCACGTAGGATCATTTTTAGCTCTAAAATGTTGATATGCTGTTTGTGGCCAAAACTGCAGGTCTCAGTTTGGTTCCAGGGCAAATCAGAAATCAAAAGTTCCAGTTCCCTAGGAGCGGGTCTCATTGAGCTGGGTGGCTGAACAGCGCCCTTTTCCCAATCCAAACGCACATGCTCCCCCTTATGTTCAGCAAAGCGATAAAGGGTTTGGGACACTCCTGGGGTTACTATAGTGGCTGCTCTACCACCCATGCTGAGAGATGCATCACTGGCCCCAAGACGGCTCGAAATGGGCCATCTGACGTTGCTGTGGCATAATGGAAGCATCAAGCCGCAAGACAGGAGTTCTTCTCTTACACTAATGGGCATGGGCTTACGATCCCCATCTTCAAGATTTTCAATCCATATGAAAGTGTCCTGCAACAAGCACATCATGCTGCGACGGTGCATGAATGGGTGAACCAGCAGGCCTGTCACGCCTTGGAGCAGCTTTTTTGAAACAACCTTCAACTTGCATACTCTTCCCAGTAAGCTCGAAAGTTGTTTGAGCTTCAGCAGTGGTGCCCCGGCGCGCCCGCTGTGGCTGTCCAGCTCCGTCCCCCACGCCACAAATTTTTCTGCTTTATCAAAGGACTTATTTTGAGAAGTTGGGATTCCATGCTTAGCGTATTGTTCACGGCTACGTTCTATTAAGACTT